CCATGCTTCTCCTTGACCGAGAGGTCAGCTGCGAAAACACATCGATGTAAAATGGGCTTGTCCGGGAATCGAACCCGGGACCTCTCGCACCCGAAGCGAGAATCATACCTCTAGACCAACAAGCCGCCACCTAAGCGCACCTGTAATTAGGTAGATCGTTCTGGACATGGCTTTATCCGACTCGGTATTTATGCGCCACGCTCCTTGGGGATTTGGGGCTCGTCCACATTCGCTAAAATTGCTACAAAGCGTCATACAAACCATCAAAAGTTGGGCTTGTCCGGGATTTGAACCCGGGACCTCTCGCACCCTAAGCGAGAATCATACCCCTAGACCAACAAGCCGCTGCCACCTCCCAGGGCGATGGAAAACACACTCGCTGTCTTCATCGCCGTTTCTTCAACAAAACATGCCTGGAATGCAAAAAAGTAAGCAGGGCTTGTCCGGGATTCGAACCCGGGACCTCTCGCACCCAAAGCGAGAATCATACCCCTAGACCAACAAGCCGCCGTCGAGAAATACAGGCCGCATATATCTTTTTATTCTTATTCTTACCTCCTTCTTTTACAGGTTTTCGGACGTCCGTCTTTCAACACCGATTCGCTTCGTATAAGAAATCTAGTACAGCGAGGGTCGGACTCTAAAGCTCTGCCCACCGACTGACCGCTCGTACTCACTTTGATGGGTTCCCAAGCGCGTTGAACATAATGGTGGCTTCTCTTCGGCCGACACGCTTTAGCCGTGATTCGCTCGTGTTAATTGGCCACTCACACAGCCTGTATTGTATAACACGTACGAAGGAGGCAGAGTAACCATTTTCGCTCTCTTTGACCATTTTAGTGCACCGGGCTCAGAATCCCACCGACCCCATGCTTCTCCTTGACCGAGAGGTCAGCTGCGAAAACACATCGATGTAAAATGGGCTTGTCCGGGAATCGAACCCGGGACCTCTCGCACCCGAAGCGAGAATCATACCTCTAGACCAACAAGCCGCCACCTAAGCGCACCTGTAATTAGGTAGATCGTTCTGGACATGGCTTTATCCGACTCGGTATTTATGCGCCACGCTCCTTGGGGATTTGGGGCTCGTCCACATTCGCTAAAATTGCTACAAAGCGTCATACAAACCATCAAAAGTTGGGCTTGTCCGGGATTTGAACCCGGGACCTCTCGCACCCTAAGCGAGAATCATACCCCTAGACCAACAAGCCGCTGCCACCTCCCAGGGCGATGGAAAACACACTCGCTGTCTTCATCGCCGTTTCTTCAACAAAACATGCCTGGAATGCAAAAAAGTAAGCAGGGCTTGTCCGGGATTCGAACCCGGGACCTCTCGCACCCAAAGCGAGAATCATACCCCTAGACCAACAAGCCGCCGTCGAGAAATACAGGCCGCATATATCTTTTTATTCTTATTCTTACCTCCTTCTTTTACAGGTTTTCGGACGTCCGTCTTTCAACACCGATTCGCTTCGTATAAGAAATCTAGTACAGCGAGGGTCGGACTCTAAAGCTCTGCCCACCGACTGACCGCTCGTACTCACTTTGATGGGTTCCCAAGCGCGTTGAACATAATGGTGGCTTCTCTTCGGCCGACACGCTTTAGCCGTGATTCGCTCGTGTTAATTGGCCACTCACACAGCCTGTATTGTATAACACGTACGAAGGAGGCAGAGTAACCATTTTCGCTCTCTTTGACCATTTTAGTGCACCGGGCTCAGAATCCCACCGACCCCATGCTTCTCCTTGACCGAGAGGTCAGCTGCGAAAACACATCGATGTAAAATGGGCTTGTCCGGGAATCGAACCCGGGACCTCTCGCACCCGAAGCGAGAATCATACCTCTAGACCAACAAGCCGCCACCTAAGCGCACCTGTAATTAGGTAGATCGTTCTGGACATGGCTTTATCCGACTCGGTATTTATGCGCCACGCTCCTTGGGGATTTGGGGCTCGTCCACATTCGCTAAAATTGCTACAAAGCGTCATACAAACCATCAAAAGTTGGGCTTGTCCGGGATTTGAACCCGGGACCTCTCGCACCCTAAGCGAGAATCATACCCCTAGACCAACAAGCCGCTGCCACCTCCCAGGGCGATGGAAAACACACTCGCTGTCTTCATCGCCGTTTCTTCAACAAAACATGCCTGGAATGCAAAAAAGTAAGCAGGGCTTGTCCGGGATTCGAACCCGGGACCTCTCGCACCCAAAGCGAGAATCATACCCCTAGACCAACAAGCCGCCGTCGAGAAATACAGGCCGCATATATCTTTTTATTCTTATTCTTACCTCCTTCTTTTACAGGTTTTCGGACGTCCGTCTTTCAACACCGATTCGCTTCGTATAAGAAATCTAGTACAGCGAGGGTCGGACTCTAAAGCTCTGCCCACCGACTGACCGCTCGTACTCACTTTGATGGGTTCCCAAGCGCGTTGAACATAATGGTGGCTTCTCTTCGGCCGACACGCTTTAGCCGTGATTCGCTCGTGTTAATTGGCCACTCACACAGCCTGTATTGTATAACACGTACGAAGGAGGCAGAGTAACCATTTTCGCTCTCTTTGACCATTTTAGTGCACCGGGCTCAGAATCCCACCGACCCCATGCTTCTCCTTGACCGAGAGGTCAGCTGCGAAAACACATCGATGTAAAATGGGCTTGTCCGGGAATCGAACCCGGGACCTCTCGCACCCGAAGCGAGAATCATACCTCTAGACCAACAAGCCGCCACCTAAGCGCACCTGTAATTAGGTAGATCGTTCTGGACATGGCTTTATCCGACTCGGTATTTATGCGCCACGCTCCTTGGGGATTTGGGGCTCGTCCACATTCGCTAAAATTGCTACAAAGCGTCATACAAACCATCAAAAGTTGGGCTTGTCCGGGATTTGAACCCGGGACCTCTCGCACCCTAAGCGAGAATCATACCCCTAGACCAACAAGCCGCTGCCACCTCCCAGGGCGATGGAAAACACACTCGCTGTCTTCATCGCCGTTTCTTCAACAAAACATGCCTGGAATGCAAAAAAGTAAGCAGGGCTTGTCCGGGATTCGAACCCGGGACCTCTCGCACCCAAAGCGAGAATCATACCCCTAGACCAACAAGCCGCCGTCGAGAAATACAGGCCGCATATATCTTTTTATTCTTATTCTTACCTCCTTCTTTTACAGGTTTTCGGACGTCCGTCTTTCAACACCGATTCGCTTCGTATAAGAAATCTAGTACAGCGAGGGTCGGACTCTAAAGCTCTGCCCACCGACTGACCGCTCGTACTCACTTTGATGGGTTCCCAAGCGCGTTGAACATAATGGTGGCTTCTCTTCGGCCGACACGCTTTAGCCGTGATTCGCTCGTGTTAATTGGCCACTCACACAGCCTGTATTGTATAACACGTACGAAGGAGGCAGAGTAACCATTTTCGCTCTCTTTGACCATTTTAGTGCACCGGGCTCAGAATCCCTAGCATTATAATTATGTTCCAAATTTTTTTTTTTTTTTTTTTTTTTTTTAAAAGTCCACTAATTAGGTCAACCATGTATAGAAATTGAATATGATTACAATGGTTAGCCACGCCTACGACTCCATGTTTATTGTGCTAACTCTGCTTTCCATTTTTGTGCCCTGTACCATGGATCCACAATGTGAGGTGTTTATTGTGTCTGGATGACTGAGACTTGTGAATCAGTCATTCTTGCTTGACCTATATAATTGTGTTCCAATGTATTCACATTTTATCTCTGCTGTGTTAAGCTGCCATAATCGACAATAGAGGATACGCAATATAAATTTATTAACTAGATAGCAAAATAATCAACTCCCCGGTCAACTTTGAAATTATCTGTCTAATTATACGCGTGGAATTCCTTTTTTGTTTATAATGGATAGCGATATACGCACATATTCGTAATAGTCGTACATAGTAATGTTACCATTTTGTCGGGAGTATCATACCATAAATTTGTATAATAGCAAACATTCTCTTTCACTGCCCAGTAAATCCGGTTAGTCGTTGTTTAGGGCGGTGTGATATGATACGAGATCTATTGTATTGTCAGTTCGTTCGACCCCTTGTGGATTCAATACAATTAAAGCTGATTATCAAAAAATGTTGACTTTGCTGGTGGCTTGATAAGTAGTCTGTATTTTAATAACAAGCGGTGAGTAGTGTTTTATTCGTAAACACGATGATACCTACGGGGAAAAGGCTAATACTAGCATAGGAAAACAAGTTTTGTTAAGATAAGGCAAATTGTAAGCAAAAAAAATGAGTTAATTCGAGATTGAGGTGCTTTGTTGAACATAAAACCCGTTGACGCTTTTCTAGTTGACTTTAATATTCTTTCAATAAATCCTATTAAAACAGTCTGTTAAACACTATCTATATTTATCTTTTAAAGGATGATAAAGTCCTTAATTCTGCAGTAAAATTATAGTCTAAAGCTATAAAACTCGTGCTATCTTCTAATACCAATAAAAAAAACAACATATTTTTAGCTCACCTGTCGACTGATATATTTATTTTATCTTTTATAGTACCAATAAACGTCCATTGAGAACAGCATACAAAACAAATATAATGCATGGGTATCAATATGCCTATATGCATAATAAAAAATAAAATAAAACCATGTACGAACAATCCAAACCATTAAACAAAATTCGAAGTCATAAAAAAACGGTATTATAGGCAAAATAGTGTACGTAATCTGCCTCCAAGCCGTATATTGTGGTTATAACGAGAATACAATATGAATATTTACATGAAAATATGATATAAACAAACACATAGGAATACAAGACGTTCAAGCAGAACAGGACTAGAGTAATACAATATAATGAAATTTTGATAGAGAAACGTATAATACTTCTGCAAGATTTGGGCCCTTGGGGTTCATATTGCATATATGACCTGTGTCAAATTGTACTGTGATTGCGCAAGCTCAAAATATATTTCAAAATACTGCTATTTTGTTTATTTATGTTAGGAAATAGAGCATGAACAACGATGTAAAGGAAAATTCCTTCGGGAGTGAACAAAACACTTATTGCATGGGCATGTAAAAGCCATTTCATTTGATTAGATTTTCCATCTACATGTATGTATATATATATAGAATTCCTAGAAAGCGATGTCGTTATCAAATTCATCATGCGTATTGCCTAATAAAAGCTAAGAGACAGGCCATAGATGGTTTAATAGAGCTAAATAATAATTGTATAGTCGTACCTCCAACTGGTAAGTAGATAAAACTACTATATACATGTACACATAAACTGTAGAGCTACCTACGATATGTCAATAGTCAACGTGAACGATTTACTCATTTAATGATTTAAATTTTTGTATCAAGATGAATTCTATTTTAGCAATGTGTTCAAACTACAAGTTTTCGTATACAATAATTTGTTTAGAATAGAATACACATCTATATTACGTTTCGTTTTTAATACTTTCGATGCGGATGTAAAATCCGAGGGTTTGAACTTTTTTCTGAACAAATTTGATATATGTGAAAATAGGTCGATTTCATATATCAATATATACTCATTATAAAATAAAATAAAACCAAGTACGAACAATCTAAACCATTAGACAAAATTCGAAGTCCTAAAAAAACGGTATAGGCAAAATAGTGTAATAAGGCAAACAAATAGTGTAATCAGCATATGGACTGTTCACCGGGTACAAAATTCACGACAAACAGTGGTAAAAGGTGCCCGGAAGAGTAACAGAAGAATGTGAAAAATATTATTTCTTGTATATCAATATCTCCCGAATAGAAATAAATGGTTAAATTTGATTGACAGACACTACCTTTATTTCACTGTATTTTCCAAATATCATTGGTGTTACAAAATTATTTCTCCGAAGATTAAAAGATCAATTGTTGCTATACTATATACCGGAAAACACCGGAAAACAACCGGAAAACACCATGTTATACTGAATACCGGAAAAGACCGGTATTTAGTATTTTCCCGGTGTTTTCCGGTATTCAGTATAACATAGTGTTTTCCGGTGTTTTCCGGTTGTTTTCCGGTGTCTTCCCGTATATAGTATTAGGGGTGTCACAATCGGAACAAAATTTGGGGTCGGGTTGTTTCTGAGGCAAAATTTGTCACTGAAGACGATTATGAGATTATTTTACTTCTGTGACGTCATTTTCGGTTGGGGTTTTTCTGATTTCCAAAATGGCCGCCAGAATTTGACGAAAAATTAATTTCCAGATAGTATGGGTGATTATCACGCAAGGTATGGCTTGTAATATATCATATATAAGGTTTTTTAGTAATTGAACTGAAAAAATAATCTCTAAAACTAGTTCCCCCAAATCCAAGATGGCGGAAATTCAAAATGGCGGCCAAAATTTACCTAAAATGGCTGATTTGTCAGATAAAAGTCATTTCACTCTTTGATATGATTTATAATATGTAATTTAAAGGATTTTCAGTGTCACTAAACTTAAAATTAATCTAAATATAACGGGGTTCCAAAATCCAAGATGGCGGAAATTCAAAATGGCGGCCATAATTTCCCTAAAATGGTCGATTTTTCGGATAATCGTCATTTTTAAGTTTGATATAGCTACCATCTTATGGAGACATAATGTGTGGTGCATTTACAGTCTTATAAAGCTCTATTCTTACATAAAGAATTCTTGATTCGCACGGAAGTGTTTTAGCCGTGATCATTGTAAGTCATGCTTATGCCAAGATCTGGGTAAGTGTTAATTTAACTAGATATCAGAAAAGTACCACGTTTTCATAAATGTACTCTTTAGATAAATTGTACAATATTTATCAGTTCACTAGTTACGTGTTGACCTTTAACATCACACTTAGATCCTGTACGCTTTGTGTCTTACAGTCAATACATGTCATGAAGAACTCTTTAGACATAATTTCGTTTATAATACTTTACTCGTTTCTATTGAGTTGTTTAGCAGAAGTTAACCCATGACAACAATATGTTGAGACGACTACGTAACAGAATAGGACGATTCAATGTTATTAAAATGACACAATGACAATTTTAATTTTATTACCAACCCTTTCACAATATTTGAATGAAATATCTCACACAGGGTGTTAATCTGTTTTCAGTTTCTATTCCAATTCAATAAAACATTTAAAACATTTAATACATGTCTTGGCTTGATTCATTATTTACAATTTAATACGTTAATCGTGTATTTTAAATAATACAGTTCAAGAGATCAAAACATTTCCGAATTTATACATTCAACATTACATGTAGACCTAAATGTATTTTTCAAATACGTGTATAAACATTTATATGAAATATATTATAAACAGATATGCTATGACCAGCGTTGCCATTATCTTTATTATTCGACTGGAAAACTCCTGTCATTCACTCTGTCGTTCGACTGATCCATCATTCACGTTGTCATTTCCGAGTCTGAAATTTGGGGTATAGGGGTAGCTCATACCGGGGAGTAACATAGGCCAGGTGGCGTTAGTCTACCACTTCCGGTTTCGGAGTTATGACCCCCGAGCGAAGCCGGGCATTCTTCTAGTATATAAATAAATATATAAATAAATCATCATCATCGTCATCATCATCGTTATCATCACTATTTAACACCAATCATCGTCGCCTGACAATTACCTTATCTATTCAAAGCGCTTGTTTAGTTTTAAATACTTGTGAACTTTACTAAAACTCACTTTGTTGAACGGGTTACTTTCGTTGGTATCGCCATATAGGAACGCTTTTGTATTTATGGATTTAAATGGGAGGGTATTTAATGTTGAGATACGCTGAGACGAATAATTTGGGCAGTGCAGAAAATAATGGTCGCTGTCTTCTTGAGTATGACCACAACTGCATGTCGGGTTATGTGAAATATGCATTAAAAATCTATGGAAGTTTAGAGCACTTTTACAATTACGAAGTCTGGAATGTATAATCTGAAATTTACGTTCTCCATAGTAACATCTTACTGACATCAATATATACAAAAATATAAAATGGCTGATTTGTCACATAAAAGTCATTTCACTCTTTGATATGATTTATAATATGTAATTTAAAGGATTTTCAGTGTCACTAAACTTAAAATTAATCTAAATATAACGGGGTTCCAAAATCCAAGATGGCGGAAATTCAAAATGGCGGCCAGAATTTCCCTAAAATGGTCGATTTTTCGGATAATCGTCATTTTTAAGTTTGATATGGCGAGTGATATGCGATTTAAAGGGTTTTCTGTGTCACTCAACAACCTCAAAAGAAGAGTTTCCAAAATCCAAAATGGCGACCAGAATTTCCTAAAATGAACGATTTTTCAGATAATCCACGAACTTGAAAATAACCTCAAAAATGAATTTTGAAAATGAATATTACCTCAAAAATGAATTTTGAAAATGAATATTACATCAAAAATGAATTTTGAAGATGGTAGATGATTGCTTAAAAATACAACAGGACAATCGTGAATTTTCCTATGGGATTGGCTTGTAATAGCAAAGAGTAGTAGTTATTTTGATGGTAACTGGAACTGTTATACTGGATCTCACATAAACAAGATTTAATATTATTCCAGCAAAACAGTGAGGTATATATATCCAGTTGTTAAGAATTTATCTATTGTTTATTCAGAAATGGTTCGAAATAGTGGTTCAGTGAGTAAGACTCGCTAAGAACGAGATCTGGGGTTCGATCAATATGTTTGCTGAAAAAGAACCTTAGGATTTTCCAGTGTGGTTTCTCCTTGTCAGGATGCAGCACCGGGGGCTTCTCGAGAAACCAGGTTTATATGTACACGTTGACGTGCGCATACAAGAACCCTAGACAGTTGGAATTCGAAATAAGAGTACACCATAGTACCACTGTCTGGGCCAATTTTCCTCATAGCACACTGCTTGACGAATATCAATATTTATTAACTTTTGTTCAGAAGACTTATGTCCGGAAACCGTTTGTGGTATCATCTAGACAGATGAATTCATATTTGTCAGTCATGTATTTCATAAAGTGAAAAGTGTAAAATGAATCATCGAAGTCTCTGTGTCCGCAACTTGTGTGGTATGGTATCCACAGATCATATTCGTCTGTAATGTAATGCACACCAAGTTCTAAGTTAAAAATAATCATCACGAAAATAATTGGAAATGCATTTACGACTAGGTATCCCAAAAGTCATCCCCCACGATTTCCTCTTGTGTGGTATGGTATCCACAGATCATATTCGTCTGTAATGTAATGCACACCAAGTTCTAAGTTAAAAATAATCATCACGAAAATAATTTGAAATGCATTTACGACTAGGTATCCCAAAAGTCATCCCCCACGATTTCCTCTTTTCTTATGTGTTGTTCTTACATGTAGAACTTGTTGTGAAATACGTAACTGACGAAACTGACCTGTGGATACAACATCTAGACTATACCACAAAAGTTACTGGACACGGAGTCTTCGATGCAAAAACGGACCACATTACCATTTCTGAACGAATAGGAGAACTTAAATTCTTAACGACTGGATATACCACAAATGATTCTCACTCCGGTAAAATGGTGCAAAGACAAAGGAGATGAAATTAAAAATGCGTCAGTTGGCCCCGTTGTATTGTTATGGGGGTTTTATGCATAAAAACAATTAAGCTACATATATTGTGTCTTAAGGTTAAATTCTTTGAAATTCTAATTAGCTGACTGGTAAGTTCTGCACATGGTTTATTTATTGACAGGTAGATTCCTGGGTCAGGTCAAATTAAGTTGCCCTTAAAAAAGTATTACAATTTGCTATTATAAACCAATCCAAGAGAAAGATTGATGATTGTCCCTTTTTTTTCTGAAACAATCATCTTCAATTATCAAATTCAGAGAGAAAGAGAGAGAAATGGGGTTTAACGTCCACTCGGCACAAACTAGGTCATTTCGGGACTAACATATGGTTTAATTTTATTTACATAATTGGCTTGTGCGTAGGGGTCTTTAGCAGTGGGAGGAAACCAGAGGACCCGGAGAAAACCCACGAGGTTGGACAGGCGACCCTACTCCTTGCCACGTACAACCGGGGATTCAAAATCACGCCAGTCGACTCAATGACAGACTTTATGATACAGCACGCGCATGCTAACCATTCAGCCATCCAACCCCCCTATCAAATTCAGTGACTCTGAAAACTTAATAGAGGACATATTACAAGCCATATCAAAACAGAAAATTGACGATTATCTTAAAAATTTATCAATTTAGAGAAAATCTGGCCGCCATTTTTTTAATTTCCGCCATCTTGGATTTTGGAAACTCTATTTTAGATTGATTTTAAGTTCAATGACATTGAAAACCCTTTAAATTACGTGTTACAAACCATATCAAAGAGTGAAATGACTTTTATCTGACAAATCGGCCATTTTAGATAAATTTTGGTTGACATTTTGAATTTCCGCCATCTTGGATTTTGAAAACTCTTTTTTTCTTTAGATTAAGGTAGATTCCTGGGTCAGATCAAATTCAGTTGCCCTAAAAAAACTATTACAATTTGCTATTATAAACCAATCCAATAGAAAGATTGGTGATTGTCCCTTTTTTTTCTGAAACAATCATCTACAATTATCAAATTCAGTGACTCTGAAAACTTAATAGAGGACATTTTACAAGCCATATCAAACAGAAAATTGACGATTATCTTAAAAATTGACCAATTTAGAGAAAATCTGGCCGCCATTTCCGCCATCTTGGATTTTGGAAACTTTATTTTAGATTGATTTTAAGTTCAATGACATTCAAAACCCTTTAAATTACGTATTACAAACCATATCAAAGAGTGAAATGACTTTTATCTGACAAATCGGCCATTTTAGATAAATTTTGGTCGACATTTTGAATTTCCGCCATCTTGGATTTTGAAAACTCTTTTTTTCTTTAGATTAATTTTAAGTTCAGTGACAGTGAAAACCCTTTAGATTACATATTACAAACCAAATCAAACTGTGAAATGACTTTAATCTGACAAATCGGCCATTTTAGGTAAATTTTAGCCGCCATTTTGAATTTCCGCCATCTTGGATTTGGGGAAACTAGTTTTAGAGATTATTTTTCAGTTCAATTACAACAAAAACACCTTAGATATGATATATTACAAGCCATACCTTGCATGAAAATCACCCATCCTATCTGGAAATTCATTTTACGTCAACTTTTGGCGGCCATTTTGGAAATCAGACAAACCCCAACCGAAAATGACGTCATAGATAAAAAAAATTCTAAAAATCGTGTTCAGCTAGCAATTTCGCCTCTGGAAATTGCTGGCCTGAAATGATTTGTAAAAAAAATGTCTTATAGTTTTGCAGGTCAATTGGAATTAGAGTATATATATATGAGTCTAGCAATACAATTCAAGTAACGAAGTATGATTTGCATTTTCGGAAAATATCAATCCACAATGATATGTACCACTCCTATGCATCTCCCGGCTTCGATAAAATCGGATTAAAAACAGGCCAGATCAACCTATCAAATTGGTTCACGGCAAATACAGATGGCGATCGTCTTGTTGATAGATAAATATTATTATTGTTAACTAAAATGTTAAGTACGTGTTTAAATATATAGATGAATTATGGAGCCATTCCCCGCCCCCCCCCCCCCTCTCTCCCATCTTATATACCATGTAAATGCCCCGTACATTAGAATTGAGAATTCAGTTCAGTATATGTTTAAACCAGTTTTCGGATAATTTATAAATAATCTTATCATTTAAATTAAAGTAGCTAAGTCTCGAACTCAATATCATGCAAAATCTTCGACAGTGAAAACCCGAATTATTTGTCAGTTTAAATCAACATTGATATTGTGATGTTATCGGAAAAAGATGAACTTCTGATATCCAATATTTTCTTTGTTTTGTTATATTATTATTTTATTTACCTCTATATATATCTTTTCAGAATGATGAATTCGCCAAAAGACTTCGAAGAAGATTTTTTATCCTGTTTAATATGCTTCGGGAAATTTAACCACCCCAAAACTCTGCCATGTCTTCACACATTTTGTCTTGAGTGCTTAAGATCATACATAAAAACAACCACACATTACCAGAATGGAACGTCATTCAAGTGTCCAACGTGTAGAGATTTAGCGGCTGTGCCACATCCCCAAAGTCCAGATTGGGCAAGTCAATTTAAAACCAATTTTTACGTTAACAATTTAATGGAGGCAGCTGCAGCGACTAAGACAGCTCCACAAAACACGTTGGTTAGTTCCGCCGACTCCACGCTTCTGTCCAATAAAATAGCCATAAAAAAGAAATCCGAAATTGCAGCACATCAATCGCAAATAAAGCCTTATCTGTTGTCTTTGGATCTGGTGTGCATAGAACTCGGAAAGGAACTGACGAGTATGAAAAGTGAAAAGGAAAGAATCAAAAATGTAATATTGGCACAATCTAAACAACTTCTACTAATGGTCCAAAAGGAAACAACCAAATGTTTGGGGCGATTAGAATCGATATCATTTGAAATTGATGGAACTCTGCAAAGTCGGATTGATTCAACCCAAAGACTACGTTCATCTGTTGAAAGTACATGTAGTGACATGGACACTCTAATTAACGGATCCGACACAAAAATAGTTGAAGACGGGGAACGAATTTTGGGTGAAAAACAGAGACTTATGAGTATATTGCCAACTTCATTGGAGATTCCAGTTTTTAAAATCAAATATAATCCTGGTGCTATTAACATTGGCGATGTTATAGGAACTCCTGATTATAAAACGGAGAATCGAGTACTGCCGCTTGATGATGCCAGAGGAGTGCCCAAACCATCGCCCTATTTCAATCCCAACAATAAGTTGACGTATTTTTCTAAATTGGAAACAAAAGTAAAAGGCGACAAACACAACCCATCCATCCGGGATATTGCCCTATTACAAATACAAAGTGGTACGATGGTGGTTACAGATTCAGGCAATAATTGTATTAAATCGTTTTACAACAATAAGGGGGCCAAAAAGGACAACAGTCGACTTTCTACAGGACTTCCTCCACATGCTGTCACGGTAATCAACGCACAAAACAAGATCGCAGTTACCATACCAAAAGCTAAAGAAATCTATGTTGTAAATGTTACTCCGAATCTCGCACTAGAAAAACAGATAAGGACACACAAGAAATATTGGGGTATAACCAGCATAGATGGGGGCAATTTTGCTGTTAGCACTTGTCCTGGTAGTGAAGCTGGGGTGATTGATATCATTAACCTGACAGGCGAGGTCTTGCAAAACATCCATACAGCTGGTCTCTTTCCTAACCCTCTTTATCTTACATCGTTATCCACAGGGGACATCATCGTGTCAGATTGTACAGTTCAAAAAGTTGCTGGACTGCGCCAAAACGGCGATGTTATATTTGGAAAAGATAAGCGTTTTATTCGGCCCATGGGAGTGGCGTGTGACTCTTTTGGAGGAATTCTGATCGTTGATGCAAATCAAAACGTAATTGTTATGAACGGACAAGGTGTGGTTCAAAACAAGTATGCCCTCCAGTGTAAAGACACCAAAAAAGAAGTCATTCGCAGCTTGGCTGTGCATGAAAATATAGTGTATCTCGTGTCAGAAGACTCGCTCGCATTTACCTTTCTGCTACAGTAAACTCGACGAGTTTATCACTTAGGGTCAAATTTCTAACAGTAATAATAGCAATTTGGTGTTCCTAGACCGATAACACCTTTGTTAAAAACATTCCAATACTAATAAAACTGTCAATTGGTGGTGATTCTACGTTTACATGTTAATTAACTTTTGTTTAAGTGGCGATGGTGAAAATTGTCCTAATAGATGTTAGCCCCTGAATACCCCCCCCCCTTCCTTCCTTGAATCCGGTCCTGACCAGAGGAGAGAGAGAGAGAGAGAGAGAGAGAGAGAGCGAGAGAGAGAGAGAGAAATGGTGTTTAACGTCCACTCGACACAAACTAGGTCATTTCGGGACTAACATACGGTTCAATTTTATTTCAATAATTTGCTTGCGCGTAGGGGTCTTTAGCAGTGGGACCTGACCAGAGGCAAGGTACCGGGTGGTTAATGCAAGGCGTTCTCCAGTCGATATTGCCGGTCAGATGTTCCTTAGAGAGAGAGAGAAATGGGGTTTAACGTCCACTCGACACAAACTAGGTCATTTCGGGACTAACATATGGTTTAATTTTATTTACATAATTCGCTTGCGCGTAGGGGTCTTTAGCAGAGGGAGGAAACCGGAGGCCCCGGAGAAAACCCACGACGTTGGACAGGCGACCCTGCTCCTTGCCACGTACAACCGGGGATTCGAAACCACGCCAGTCGACTCAATGACAGACTTTATGATACAGCGCGCGCACGCTAACCATTCAGCCATCCAACCCCCCTAAATGTGGCAATGTCCATCCTAGGAAAATATTTGTAAGGTGTCGGGCCCTCATCTCTCCATTCCTCGAGGAGGGAATGGGGTTTAACGTCCCTCCTATCTGCATCTACTGGGCTAATACAGTTTGTCAAGAGAGTATGTTATCAAGGACAGCAGCGCTACGGACTATTCTTTTTTCAAATTCCGGCTGTAAGGGGCTCTTTTAGGTCCACGGGACCTCGGTCCGTCCTGCACCACTGAAAAAGGGTAACCAACCAGGCAGTAAAATCCAGACGAACCTCCCGGTTAGCGAGTCTTACCCACTAAGCTTCCCTTATTTATTTTTAACACCACACATTCCCCTTTCTCCATAATTCACACAAACTCTTCGCATACTCAACTTACGCTGTATGTCTTTAATCATATAGATTTTCGATTTACGCCCCCCCCCCCCCAAAAAAAGCAAAGTGCAAGAAATTTTCGAGAACATGTTCCTGAAGCAATGGCCGAGAGTTTACAACCTTGATATGATGTACGGAAAAAAAGCCCGCGGCCTTCCTTGTTTGTTCCTGAAGCCCCCCCCCCCCTCCAACAACTCTTGCTACAACCTGTTCACAAGGCTGGTGGGGTTCAGCGAAACCAAGGTCTCGTCGAGCGTATCGAAGACAGCATTTTTGGTGACAATTTCAAGCGATTATGTAGAGAGAAAAAACACATTCATTGCATTAAAATATTTGATACATTCTTTGTTGCCATTTCATATGTTCACACAATATTTACGACAAAGTGATGTAAGAAATGAAAAACAGCCAAATTCGAAGCGGGGCTAACTTAATAATTGTATTTTAGGTCTTTGAAGCTTGATAATTACAAATATACTGTTTATGTTTTTATATAATAAATGATATTATATTTAATATATCTCATGAAATTTTATGTAATTGGCACCCATTTGTGTGTAAAAAAAATTGCAAAAGCAGTATCTAAACGGCCAATGAAATTCCATTGAAACATGAAATAGGCACAATTTATGTTTATATAATGACATGCCAAGCGGGGCGATGCGAACAACTTTATTAAAAATGATACTTACATTTTCATCTGGAGTCTTATTTAAAGTGCCAATTTTGTGTTAAAAGCCCTTAAAACTAACTCAACATACGTGATACGTTTTCAATCAACATAAACCCGTCAGTCTTCACCTGGAAACGAGTAGTATTATACGGATAAAAAAAAAATATTGGCACTTCAGTCAGTTATATAGAGGTAAAACTCGTGTTTTCCTTTTTGCGTTCGTCATTTCCGATTGTTGCAGCATTGATTACGCCTCTATCATAGCAATGTTCTCTGTGATAAAATAATATTTGGAACATGTTTAACCAGTTCTATCACATATGTGATAATGACTGGCGCCAATATTGTCCTTTAAAGGTCTATAATACTAGACATGCCATATACAAAGTATTTACTCATTTGGTTTTGGGTTTATGATAATTTGTAAAAAGATAAATCAATAATCTCAAATGTGTTTATTGAAAAATGTGATGGGCCTATTCGAAATTTATAAATTTATTAATATTTCTTAATGTTAATAATGAAGGCTTACGTTAAAGCGAGAATTTCAAATTTTCTAAGAAAGTCAAAACATAATTATTTCTATGTCTTTTGCTCAATAGGTTATTATACGATCATGGGCATTATATCCCACCCTTAAGAATCTATGACACAGGAAATAACAACACAATTACCTCCCCTGTTTTGCTATTGACAACATAGGGAAACTATTTTCCAACGTTGGAATTTGAAGTTAAAAATGATATTTTTGCCAATTTCTCAGCTGGCAATAGCGAATTATAGGATTAATAGGATTATTCTTTAACAAGGTAGGACTGTTTATAGATACCATCTATTTTAAGGATTTATTTTAATACATTTTAAAATATAACTTGAAAATTTGCAATTTCCGCTATAATAACACAACATAAATCAGAGAGGTTTTAGGAGCCAAAGATATTTTATCTTGGGAAAAAAATCATTTTAATTGAGTTAGATAGATAGGCGTGTGGCACTTTGGTAATTTCAAAGTATTTACAATCTAGATTAGTCGTTTAAGTTACAAATATCATATATGTTTGTGACAATTCTCAATAGTTCCTGTTATCCAAAATACCATAAAACTACGAAATTCAAGCGATTTAGTTTATCGATACACATTATATGCATTGATTCATCAATGAAGCCTCCGAGAAAATCAAATGCCAAGGTCACGAATCAAATGCCAAGTTCAAGGCCAACCCACCGATACCTTTCAAAGCGAATAATACGCAATAAACTCATTTATTCCACCCCTTTACGAGTGACTGGCCATGTGCAAACATTTCTACATCGTATGGAACTCCCCCCATTGATATTGTAACCGTTAGTTCAACCTGTCAACAGTTTTCAATTTCGAAGCGTATATTGCTTACACCGTAAGCAAGCAATTTTAACTAAAATCAATTAAAATTGCATTTTAAGTTACAATCGCTCTTCGTTAAAAGTATAGAATTTAAAATTTCATTTTAATTTTAGTTAAAATCTATTTTAATGATTTTACATTAAGTATTTGTGAAATAGGGCCACGATTCTTAGTGAACGAAATGGTAGACTAACGCGTTAGAGAATTATTTCTAAGCTGTAGGCCATAGGCGCCCTGCGAGACTTGTGTATTGAGACTATAATATTATAGACTCGCTTGTCCTAACCAATAGAATCAGTTTAATAGCGAAGGTCTGGTAGACGGAGGCTTTAATGTCCGATATTTTTTAGAAAACACCTATGTGGTTGAATGATGTGCCTGTGAGTGTGGAAATCGGCCAAGTAGTTGTTCTGGTTGATGTTTATTTTACAGGTAAATTTAGTTTTTTATCATATCCGCTTATTTAGAGGTTTGATGAATTGGAAATGTTCATAATACACCCCTGTTTAGACTGTATGAAATGTACTATTGATGTTGTGGAGGGCAACAACATACACAACGTAATAATAATGGTATTTATAACGTAAAAATGTGAATCATGATTCATTGACATTAGGCCTAATGATCTATATGGTCTGCTACTTGTTTTCGTATTATTAATAGCCACCTACAGTTGAAGGGTTGAACGAATGAAATGTATCTAAAACTATCTAAATAGATATTATCTATGATCCATTCACTTGATTTGATATTTGTTTATTTGGTGCAATGTCTATTTTCTGTCTTGTCCGCAGGATTTATCTTGTAGATTTTTGTTTTACGTGTAGTGCGGTCCTCCTGCACTTACTATTAGAGTAGAGAAAACACCCTTTTCGGACAGCATAGGGATAGGTAGGCCTACATCTAAATAATCATGCCATAGCCTAAATATCAAAATAAAATGGGTATGAAGAATCCGATAATTCGCATGTTGTATGGGATGTTGGAAAGGTGGGCCTATATACATGGTCATAGTTAGGCATAGTTACATCGTTACATTTTCGGTATTTATTATACCACCTTAAGTTAATGGCCAGACAATTGAAATGGATAGACGTAAATAAAATATAGAGTCTATACTATTATTAGTGCCAGTGTTTGTTTAAATCAGTTGAGATTCTTGTCGCTTTTGCAATGTCTGTGCTTTATATCTGTTATTGACTGTTTATGTGTGGTAGGCCTACGGTCTTGCTACAAGTACAATGAGTAGGGCCTTCATTAATTGGACTGTTTATAATTATTTTATTGACGGTACATCAGCTAAAATGTTGACATTGTCATATCGATTGTTATTATGACCCAACCATGTTACAGCCTCCTTATTTATTATAATCTAGTGCTTTATTTAAAGACACATTATGGGAGATAAGATAAAGAGATGGCAGTTCTCGCTATAATAGTTAAAAACTAGATAGTGTAAAGGTAATTTGCTGAAAATTTCAGTCAAATTATTCCACTATGAGCCAAGAAAGAAGCGGGTGAAATTTTTGCATAGTCTCGGTCATCATTACTAAAATCATTAATATAAACAGCATAGTCTCGATTATCCACTTTTTTTGATTTAATTATCAATGGCTGTTAGCGGCATATAGGAATCTAATCCAGCCAACATCGAAGGCTAGCCTTGACATCGAGAGTTGATTATGGTCTGGATAAGTTAATTAATGTCTAATTGATAATTTAGATAACATTTCAGGCCTAAAGAAAGACTTGTAATAAGCAGATTTTGCTCTTGTATAATGCATGTTTAATCAAAAACAACAGAGACAACAGAATGATGAAGAATTGTACCTAAAATGAAGCATTTTAATGCAGCCCTTTTGAAATTTATAATCGTACTGCACGAAAAATAAATGTATTTTTGTTTTTGGACTAGACTCTGAATTATTGAAATAAAATTAAACCATATGTTAGTCCCGAAATGACCTAGTCTGTGTCGAGTGGACGTTTAAACCCATTTCTCTCTCTCTCCCATAGTACTATGACAATTTTGTTTTGAAGACTGTGATATTTGTTTTTAATCTTAGGTTGATGACTAAAAATATGTTCGGGAATAAGCTATTGAAGTAAACCAATGGTTAATGAGGATGTCAGCTGTTTCGTAACCTGGCTGTTTCGTACTTAGTTCATTCGTACCTCACATGAGCCGTTTCGTACTTCATGTCGTACCTCAAATTGATTCGTACCTTTTCCTATGTTGTTGAAATCAGTTAAAAGAAATTGAAATAAAGTTGAAACGATTTGATCAAATGCAACGGAAACGCTATTTTTAAATTTATAAAAGTGGCTGCCGAGCCATAATTAGAATATGCACGAGATTAGTTTATGAAATAAAGGTGAAACATAATAAAACAATTTTATCAAATTCAACAGCTGTGCTAAATTTATAAAAATTGCTGCCGAACGAGCATTAGCTACGATGATTTAATAGCGAATTTTATGCATTGATAATTACATGAATATGGAAACATTTAAATCATATACCACAGCCTGTTAAAATATTAAAAAGAGAATTAGCTACAATGATTAAATAACAAAAAGTGAATTGTTGCATTTAAAAAAACTAATAGAAATTTCCATATTGATATTACACAGCCTGCCCAATAGTAGTAATTCACACACAAAGAATATATTTGAACTAAATTTGCTTCAGCATTTACTAAATTTACATCGGTTATGATCGAAAGCCATACCTAAAATGAAGCATTTGAAATCAGCCCTTTTGAAATTTATAATCGTACTGCACGAAAAAAAAATGTATTTTTGTTTTTGGATTAGACTCTGAATTATTGAAATAAAATTAAACCATATGTTAGTCCCGAAATGACATAGTCTGTGTCGAGTGGACGTTAAACCCCATTTCTCTCTCTCTCCCATAGTACTGTGACAATTTTGTTTCGAAGACTGTGATACTTGTTTATAATCTTAGGTTGATGACTGAAAGGACAATATTGGTGCCAGTCATTATCACATATGTGATAGAACTGGTTAAACATGTTCCAAATATTATTTTATCACAGAGATCATTGCTATGATAGATGAGTAATCAATGTTTCAACAATAGGAAGTGACGAACGCAAAAGGAAAACACGAGTTATCCCTCTATAACAGATACATGGGAGAATTGTCCTTGAAAGCACTAAAAATATGTTTGGGATTAAGCTATTGAAGTAAATCAATGGTTAATGAATGTCACATGATGATATCTTTTTGTTTCTCTATTTACATGTAAAATAAATTTTCCATATTTTCATCTCATCCCAACGACTGGAAAAACTTTTTATGTCAGCCTTTCATGAGAATATTAGTCATACCTTCAGTTAGCTGCTTTTCAAATTGCGCTAGATGTTCATCTACATGTACTATGAATGTTCATTGAACTGTTCTACTGTAAAATTAATGGCGACATTCTAGTCCATGAATGATCGTTTATATTAATATTTAATTAGGCTTAGTACGCGGACAGGTATATTGGCTTTATGGTTAATCAATTAATGTTTTTTCCTTTCAGCTTTTGACGTTTTTATCCTTATCTAGATTACATGTATAATGAAATATGAAAAATGGCAGCTTCAGAAACATTATGTTGTTGTGAATATGAAAATATGCATGGAGATCGAAGTCATCTCTTGGCCTTCTGCTGTGATTGTGAGGCCTTTGACCAAACGTGTGACAGGTAAATATGGATGTATACGTCTTTTTACATGATCTCGAATTAAATTATAGTTTATTTCATCTAGTATTCTTTTATTGAGTCGAATGGCCGAATAGTTAGCACATGCGTGTTGTATCATAAGGTCTGTCATTGAGTCAACTGGTGTGGTTTTGATTCCCTGCTGGTTGTACGTGACAAGGAGTAGGGTCGCCTGTCCAACCTCGTGGGTTTTCTTTGGTTACTCCGGTTTCCTCCCACTGCTAAAGACACCTAGACGCAAGTCAATTATTGAAATAAAATTGAACCATATGTTAGTCCCAAAATGACCTAGTTTGTGTTTAGTGGACCCTCCCTCTCTCTCTCTCTCTCTCTCTCTCTCTCTCTCTCTTTTTATTGAGTCAAGTCTTTTCCTCTATTTTAAAATTGAATTGTTGGAAACTAAACATGGGCAACATCAATATACGACTCCATTTTCAGTCAAAAGAAAAAAGAGAGAGAGAAATGGGGTTTAACGTCCACTCGACACAACTAGGTCATTTCGGGACTAACATATAGTTTAATTTTATTTCAATAATTCGCTTACGCGTAGGGGTCTTTAGCAGTGGGAGGAAACCGGAGGACGCGGAGAAAACCCACGAGGTTGGACAGGCGACCCTACTCCTTGTCACGTACAACCAGGGATTCGAAACCACGCCAGTCGACTCAATGACAGACTTTATGATACAGAGCGCGCACACTAACCATTCAGCCATCCAACCCCCCCAGTCAAAAAAAAAAATAAAAAATCTCAAAGTAAAGAGAAAAACTTGTGTGTAGAAGCTAGACAAAACACTCCATAACCCTCCACCGGGCACTGTGACAATCAGCATTAAATTGAGTGATAAAAACCAAATTTTGAACAAATAACCCAAATAGTGGGAGACGAAGCAGTCTTAAGGTGGGCTCGTAGATCATGGAGATTTGAAGTTCGATTCGATTACATATTTAATGTAATGTAATAATAATAATAGTTTATTCATAATTACATGTACAAGCACGAGTGTGGAAGTTACAACAAACATTTCACATTGTGATGCATTACAATATCTTATTAAATATCTTACAAAATAACATAAATTTTCAAAATATGTATGTCAAAAGACAAGTCTCGGGGGGTTATCTCTGGTTCACTCGGCACATATACATACATACATACACACATACATACATATTAAAAACAATAGGTGACAGAGCATTCAGTATTCATGCACCAAAAGTTTGGAATTCATTACCTTTTAAAATCAGAAATTCTCCATCAATTACAATTTTTAAGAAAAATATTAAAACTCATTTATTTATAACTAAAGTCTTTCTTCAAAAGGGGATCACGGTGGCTAGGTGAATAAGACGCTGGCTCACTAGCCTGGAGGACGCGTGTTCGATCCCTGCATTGGCCGAGAAAGTTCATCAGGATTTTTTGACGTGGTTCTCCCTTGTCAGTGGTGCAGGACGGAGGGCCTGACAAGGACAGCTCCTAGTCGTTTGGATGGGACGGAAAAACAAGATCCCGTGTACACATTGGCATGCACGTAAAAGATCCTTTGACAGTTGGAATTCAATGTAAGAGTAGGCCGTAGTGCCACTGTCCGGGCAAAATTTCCCTCGTAGCACACTGTATGGTGTATGCCCGTCTTCATTACCCCAGTTCGGAGCAAAACAGTAGGACGTTAAACCCCATTTCATTTCATTTGTTTCTTCGAAAATGTATATTTTAATCCAGATCATGATATTTTATTTCAGAATTATTGTATTTTGTTGTTTTATATTATTTTTTACTACATACTTTGAGCACTATGTGAATTGTGAGCTATATAAATGTTCTTAATAATGATTGAAATAAACGTATATATACCGGGAATTTGAAATGGCGATGGAGTTAAACTCTGTATAATTGGGGAGGTGCGATGGATGACATACGTTTGTCATAGATCCATTGGAGTTAAACCCCTCTCTCTGTGTATAATTAGGGTGTTGGATGGTCGAATGGTTAGCGTGTGCGCGCTGTATCATAAGGTCTGTCATTGAGTCAACTGCCGTGGTTTCGATTCCTGAGTTGTACATGACAAGGAGTAGGGTCGCCTGTCCAACCTCATGGGTTTTCTCCGGGTCATCCGGTTTCCTCCCACTGCTAAAGACCCCTATGCACAAGCGAATTTTTAAAATAAAATTTAAACCATATGTTAGTCTCGAAATGACCTAGTCTCTCTCTCTCTCTCTCTCCCCCTCTCTCTCTCTCTCTCTCTCCCCCTCTCCCCCTCTCTCTCTCTCTCTCTCTCTAATTACTATCAACTGTAAAATGACCAGTTCCATCAGTTTTCTTAAGATTATCTTTTTGTGTTTGCAGACTTTTGACCTGTCGTTCCGTACCAACAGAAACATTACAGAGATTATGGGCAACCATACATGATAGATGTCGTATTCCATGGTTTTCTGGTAAAGGAGCTATACAGATCAAGCTGGATGTTATTGTTCCTATTATAATGGTACCAGCATGTCTGTCATTTGGAACCCTGGGGTATTTTGCTACTGTAGCGGTTTTGATGTTTATGCCTATTTTTATGTTAACTTTTTATACAATATGGCGGCGCCAAGGACATAAAAGGACACCATTTTTCTTTATTTGGGGACTAACGTCTGTGGTATTTTCATTCCTGATATTTAGTGGTTTTGTGATCAGCTTTCGTGAAATTTTATTGTGGGAAATTCTGTTGCTTTTTTCTGCCTTGTTTTTGATGTTTTACGCTGTTTTACATGCACGAAGACAACCTGGCTATTTTTCGGTTGTTAGTAAATCACAAAATAAAGAACTGCGATATCGGCCTTCTTTGACCAATGGTCATGTCAAATCTGGAAATCATTTTGATGATGAAAAAGAGTTTCTGGAATTACAAATGAACAGAAATGAAGATGCAACTTTACCTGCAGAGAAAGTGACGTGGATTGATTCAAGACCTATCAAAGGTAAGTCATCAGCCAAACATATTGTTCCAACAATGGGGGATCACGGTGGCTAAGTGGGTAAGGCGCTGGCTCGCTAGCCTGGAGGTCGGGTGTTCGATCCCTGCATTGGCCGAGAAAGTTCATCTCGATTTTACGGCGTGGTTTCCCCTTGTCAGTGATGCAGGACGGAGGGCCTGACAAGGACAGCTGTCTAGTCATTCGGATGAGACGAAAAACCGAGGTCCCGTGTACACATTGGCGTGCACATAAAAGATCCCTTGACAGTTGGAATTCGATATAAGAGTAGGCCGTAGTGCCGCTGTCCGGGCAAAATTTCTCTCATAGCACACTGTATGGCGTATGCCCGTCTTCATTAGCCCAGTTTGGAGCAAAACAGTAGGACGTTAAACCCCATTTCATTTCATTTCATTTGTTCCAACAATGATTTAAATCACTGAATCGTTATGCCAGTAAAAGGACATCTCGATCAAGTTCCTATTTCTTTTCATTAATTTCATATTTCATAAGTTCTTTCATAAAATTTAAGAAGAATGAAAGAAAATAAAAATTATAATGTAAGATTCATTTTTGTAGGGATTGAATGATTAGATGATATTTTTCATGTTGACGTATATTGTCGTCGTCCATGTCCGTCCATCCACAATTGTATGTGGACACTCTACAGGTCACAATTTTTATCCGATTTAAAACAACATTGGCATGTATCTGACCGTAACTTCATGGATTATGGATCCTTTAGAGGTCACAATTTTTAACTGATTTTGTTTAAATTTGAAAAGTAAGTTTATAACCCAAATATCTTGGTTCCTTTCGATATTCGCAGTTTGCACATATCTGACCATATCTTCCCGGATTATGGCCCCTGATTGAACAAAAAAATCACATTATTTTTTTAGCTCGTTCTCTGTCCATCTCTTGCAAAATGTGGGCTTATCTTACATGGCAACCGCTTGTTTTTTTATTCTAGACCATAATACTAAATGTTTGTAAAGAAAAAAGGATCTTTAGTTGCTGGATTATGGTTCTGATTGTTCGGAAATAATCAAGTTTTAAGCTTGTGGTCCCTCTAGAAGGGACAATTTGGATTCAATTTTAAACATACATTATGCAAGAGCTAAATCTGCCTATTGTAGGTCTTTCTTTAGGCCTGAAATGTTATCTAATTATTAATTAGACATTAATTAACTTATCCAGATTTTTTTTATAAACAGTATTTTTATTCAGGATGTCTGAATGGGAACGGGGAACAGGCTTAGCTGATGTAAAACCCCTCTCCCTTATCCAGATCATAATTAACTCTCGATGGCATCGCACTGCAATGTTTATTGGATTAGGTTCCAATTTGCTGTTCGACTTCCATTCATAATTAAATCATGAAATGAATAATCAAGACTATGTTTTTTATCCTATTCCTACTGACTTTAGTAATGATGATCAAGACTATGTTTTTTATCCCTACTCCTACTGACTTTAGTAATGATGATCAAGACTAGGCTGAACATTCAATTGCTAAAATCTCGGTTCATATTAGATCAATTTAACAGAAATTTTCAGCAAATTCCCTTTACATTATCTAGTTGTTAACTATTATAGTGAGAACTGCCAGTTCTTTATCTAATCTCCCATAATGTATCTTTACTGTACTAGTTGTTAACTATTATAGTGAGAACTGCCAGTTCTTTATCTAATCTCCCATAATGTATCTTTACTGTACTAGTTGTTAACTATTATAGTGAGAACTGCCAGTTCTTTATCTAATCTCCCATAATGTATCTTTACTGTACTAGTTGTTAACTATTATAGTGAGAACTGCCAGTTCTTTATCTAATCTCCCATAATGTATCTTTACTGTACTAGTTGTTAACTATTATAGTGAGAACTGCCAGTTCTTTATCTAATCTCCCATAATGTATCTTTACTGTACTAGTTGTTAACTATTATAGTGAGAACTGCCAGTTCTTTATCTAATCTCCCATAATGTATCTTTACTGTACTAGTTGTTAACTATTATAGTGGGAACTGCCAGTTCTTTATCTAATCTCCCATAATGTATCTTTAATAAACGTTTAAAAATATCACAGTTGCACCTCAATGAAGGTTGAGGGTGAAATTCTCAAAAATCCGACCGATACTGTCAGACGAAAGGGCCGCTCCGTGTACGCCAATAGTCTAAAAGTATGCATTACCAAGGTTGTGGACCCGGTAGAGGTCACAATTTTTGTCCGATTTTGATGAAACTTAAATTATACATGTATGTTTATATCCCAAAGATCTCAGCTCCTTTTGGATTGTAACTTCCTGGATAATGTCCCCTGATTGTTCGAAAAATCATGCTTTTAGCTTGTACACCCTCTAGAAGTCACAATTTGGATTCAATTTTAAAAAACGTTCAAATATACCGCCGTTACACCTCAGTGAAGGTTGAGTTCAAAATGGCCATGTATACGAAAGTTGTGGACTTGCTATAAAAACCTTTAACATTTTGGCATATTTTATAACCACTGATAAAATTGTAAGTTTGATTTACAGTCTGTATATGTTGCGATGATGAAATGAGTATATAAACAAAGTTGAACAAATTGGTTTGTTTACATTATATACTCTTCAAAAAAAGTAGGGGATATTGAAATGCAAATACCTATGCAGGTTTTGATATGATAGTCATGGACATTTGACATGCGTTGAAAGTATGTTCACAGATGAAGAACTTATCGCCCCAACAGAACCCCTGAGCTGCACATGCGACATGCAATAGCACCATACATGTGGGAGGGGTTCATTGTCAAATTTGACACTTCAAGGAAGGGTTGATGAAAACTGCCGCGTGCTGGTTTATCTATCCATGTTTGCTTTCCTATCGGTTCTTGCAAGAGGAGTGGGTCAGATTGCCCCAAATCGTGATAAGACAGTTGATAAGGAGCATGCCACGACGAATTGCTGAATGTCTGAGGATTGGTGGAGCAATTACTCATTATTTAGACAAAATTAAAAAACGTCCATTTTCACTTTTGACGGTGCATCTCTTTTGCGAGTGAAATGGGGCCTTCAGATAAGTCGCCCATATGAACTGTTTATGTTCATGTATAGGCAATTGGCCTGTTCTTAACATACACTGGTTACCTCTAATAAAAACAGCAGTGCATTTCCGCAGTTTTGTATTGTTTTTGAATATCCCCTACTTTTTTTGAAGAGTATATCAATACTAGTAACTGGTCTGACCAGTCTGGTCCTGACTAAATTAGCACTTTTTACTCTATTTATGCTTGAATTAACAATTTTTTTTACCATTTACAGTCAATAAGATGTTTGCTTTAAATCGACTTTTACATGTTTCATTTATTTTTTTTAAAGTAATTTTAGAAATGTTTTCAGAATTTTACCCGCAGCAACTAAAACGTTACTATTGCCGGCTTAATTTTGCTTATTCAATTTTATAGAGCTGTTTTTAAAGGAACTGTAAGTCAGAATAGGAGGTTTTGGATTTTTTTTTGTGGTGCTAATTCATGAGAAGATGAACCCAAACAATATTTAGCTTTCCTTTATCTTCTATTCAGGAGTTACGCCTCTTTTGCCTAATATAGTGATAATTTGTTGCTTAGATACAGACTAGTTTTATTAATTGAACCGTGCTATGAATAAACATCTTCCTATTGGTTGGGTGTAGATACAGTGATAGGATTATTAGAATGAATATGTGACATCACTTGCTCATCACATGGATTAAGAATGAATATGTGATGTGTAGTCCATGTGACATCACATATTCATCACATGAATTAAGGCTGTAATAAAAAAAAGGGGGGTCTGACACATACATGGTCATATATTGTAAAATTTTGACCCTATTTTTCTGGAGTTTGTGTAACATATTTATAATAAATGCTGATTTCAGGTACTGTCATTTTATGTGCTCTAATATTTATCGGGAAATGTTGTCCTTCTAATGGGAGGAGGGGGGGGGATTACCGAATGGTTAGCACCTGCGTGCTGTATCATAAGGTCTGTCATTGAGTCAACTGGCATGGTTTTGATTCGCCGGTTGTGCGTGACAAGGAGTAGGATCACCTGTCCAACCTTCCATTTCCTTCTAAAGGAAAGGCAAAAGATAAAATTACTATTGAATATATGACAATGATCTATATTTTCTTATTAAATGACATATATGAGTGTAATATGATTTCTCTAATCTGAATGGGGATCACATGGCTAAGTGGGTAGGACGCTGGCGTGGTTTCCCCTTGTCAGTGATGCAGGACGGTTTCCCCTTGTCTAGTCGTTCGGATGGGACTAAAAACCGAGGTCCCGTGTACACATTGGCGAGCACGTAAAAGATCCCTTGGCAGTTGGAATTCGATATAAGAGTAGGCCGTAGTGCAGCTGTCTGGGGAAAATTCCCCTCTTAGCACACTGTATGGCGTATGCCCGTCTTCATTAGCCCCTGTTAGGAGCAGAATAGTAGGACCTTAAACCCCATTTCATTTCATTTCATTTCTAATCTGAATTATCAGATATGCTCCTTTAAATATATATTTATATTTTTTATTGCAGATGGAAAGTTGATGATAAATTGCAAATATTGTAATTTTCAACGTCCTCCCCGAGCTGGTCATTGCAATATCTGTGGATTGTGTATAGCTGTTAGAGATCATCACTGTGTCTGGTAAAATACCTTCTTTTCCCCTCTTCAACAACATCATTGAAATGTATTGATCACATTATTTTCTGTCAATTTTCAATCTGTTACTCAGGCCTGGAAATAACGGTTTTACCTGTACCTGACAAAATGTCAGGCACTAATGAAATAATACCTGACATTTTCAACTTAGTGCCAGTCATGTATTAATAATATCAATAAAAAAGACAAATCAGTGCTGGACAAAATGACAGACACCAAAGGTTTAGTGCCTGACAAAGCCTGAATCTGTGCCTGACATTGTCTGTGACAGGTGCCTTATTTCCTGGCTTACTTGTATGCAATAAGCTACAAGATCAGTGCTTGTATCATCTCTCTCTCTCTCTCTCTCTCTCTCTCTCTCTCTCTCAATCTGAAATTAGGTGCCTGTCCAACCTCGTGGGTTTTCTCCGGGTCCTCCGGTTTCCTCCCACTACTAAAGACCCCTACGCGCAAGCAAATTATTGAAATAAAATTAAACCATATGTTAGTCCTGAAATGACCTAGTTTGTGTCGAGTGGATGTTAAACCCCATTTCTCTGTCTCTCTCTCTGAAATTAGGTTGTTCAATTTCACTTGGCTGCAATGTGTTGTTGTGAATTGTAATTGCTTCCAACTATTTCAACAGAAAGGTAGGAAATAAAATTAGAGATAAATATTTTGTCATCCAGTCACTTCATTGCTTCTGGTTGTTTAAGACTTGGTAGATAAATATTTTGTCATCCAGCCTCTTCATTGCTTCTGGTTGTTTAAGACTTGGAACTTCAACTCAACTTCTAGTTTATGTTTAGTTCAATAGGCCATGTTACTAAGATTTTACTTTTTTCAGGATTGACAACTGTATAGGATCAAATAATCACAAATCCTTTCTGGCAGCCATGTTTTTATTTATATTTTGTGGTTGCTATGGTTCTCACCTTACCTTAACAACTATTTGCACTCCAGAAATGTACTTTGATTGGATTCTTGTGCCTAGTGATTGCAGATGGCTTTATGAGGATTTTAGGTGAGTAAATTTTAATCACCTGCTTTTTGCCCCGTCTTCATTAACCTGGTGCAGAAAGGTAGAACATTAAACACCAATTCATCTTGTATCATTTCACTAGCTTTTACTTCTTATTTTATATGTTTTTAAAATTTTGGAAATATATGAAGGCAATCAGCTATATGGAATTGTTAGTTCGTGTAGAAAGATATGGTGCTCAAGGTATTTATTTTACAAGTATAAAAAATGTTTCCGTTTTATCGAATGAACAATTTATTGTTAATTCGCGTGGAAAGATATGATGTTAAACATGTTACAACTGGTATATTAGTCGAGTATTTTACATTTTACAGAAAGTTTACGTTTAATCGCAAATTCCAATAAACAATTTATTTTTAAGTTGAAGGGAGTGTCCTACAGGTGGTAGACCATATTAAATGCTGCTTGAATGTGTATTTTCATAAACTTTGTATGCAGATAGATTATTATTCTGAAGGTTCGTCTCGATAGAAATTAAGATTTTGTGTGAAACAGGTGTCCTGGAAAAAATGGGTTCACTAACATCAAATATCTGGTTCTACAAATTGTATTTGTCCCTTCTAAGCTAATACCTGTGCGGAACAAACCTTTCCGTTTCATCGAAAATTCCAATAAATAATTCAATTTTAAATTCAGTGGCTACGAAAACCCTATATATGATATATCACAAGCCCTACCTTGCATGATACTCACCCATCCTAACTAGAAATTTGTTTTTCGTTAAATTATGGCGGCCATTTTGGACATCGGACAGAACCCCAACCGAAAATGACGTTACAGAAGTGACATAATCTCAAAATTGTCTTTAGGGACAAATTTTGACATAGAAACAACCCGTCCCCAAATATCGTTTCGATTGTGACACACTAGCTAAAAGTTCACTAAGTTTGTGCCCTGCCTCGCCGACGTTCAACATTTTAAATTTGACAGTCTACTTAAGACTTTTGTTGAGTTTGCGGCCACCGCAGCTGTACAGGGAGGGCCACTGGGCGTATTTATTTATGCCAAATGAATAACTTAAGAAGACCACACACATAATTTGGCTAAAATTACTCTGAACATGATTTGGTAGTAAACTTATAAAATAAATCATGAAAACCTGGGAAAATAAAAATGCCAAAAGGTTGCTTTTTCCAGAATAATCTGTTGATTTGGAAAATATATGATTCATTCAACAACATGTATCATATAGCACCAGAAGTAGCATTTTCTTGTGAACATTGTGAGCCATATTCCATATCCATAGGTCGATCTTTTCAGGAGTTACGAAGGTTTCCTCAATGCGCTCAATTTCAATGAAATAACGGCGGCCATTTTTAAAGATGGCCACCAAAATGCAATTTAGCAAAGTAACCCGGAAGTCCATCAACCAAATTTCAACACTGCAGCCACCAGGCTAACTGAAAATCATGGTTGAATTATTCATCAAATTGGTAATGATGTTCCAAAATCCCAGGTCTGTCACATGGACTAATATAATTTTCCTAATAACATGTACATAATACAGTAAACTTCGCACAAGTCAGATCTATGTGGACTGTCTAATTTTATCTGTGTTAAGCGAAGATCCGAGTTAGCCGAAGATCAAAATTCAATCTAGGCTCGATTAGAAATAAACTGCAAGAGCTGGATAATAATTGATTCAAGCCACATTTCAAGCTTTTGTTCGTAAGTGCGAGTAGATAACTTCCGTTTTGGTGCGAGTAGATAACTTCCGTTTTGTCAACATCTTTGAAAATTTTCCCTGAAAGTGTCTTGTGCAGCAGATAGCGAGTTTCGAATTTTCCGGGAAAATTCTACTATTGTGTCGCGTCAAATAGGCTGATTTGAGTAAAAATGATCGGGGAAAGTATTTTGGGGCTCTGTGCATGGAATACCTAACTGTGTTTTAGACCATCGGGACAAAACTGGCTTAGTCAAATTCTGAACATACTGCTGATCTGACTTAAACGAAGGAAAATAGCTGGAATTAGATCAAACAGACTGACCATTTTGATCTGAGTTGACCAAAGATCGGACTTAGGAACTCAGACTTATGCGCATAAATTTAATAAGAAAAACGTGGAGTTGAGCAAGGATCCAACTTATACGAAGTTTACTGTATTAGCTTCTTACCTTAAGTAAAGGGAACACAGGGTAAATCTACTAACAACCATACATGTACAGTGGAACCCTAAAAATAAACGTTCATTCGATGAACAATATATTAAAGTAGCTAAGTCTCTAACTCAATATCATCCAAAATCTTCAACATTGAAAACACGATTTATTTGTCAAATTATATCAACATTCATGTTGTGATCTTACCGGAAAAAGATGGGCTTTTGATATCCAATATTTAAGACAAAATAAACATTTTACCATTGGTACACGAATCGTGTACCATAATGCGCTTCAGCCCCAGTTGTATCAAGAGACTCGAGGGACGAGGCTAGACACATTGCACCAAATCAAACGGCGTATGCAAACTGGAATAACCAGACGCTAGAAATTTGCACTCGCTTGAGACTGCTGGCTTATTTCGCCGAACATAAATGATTTGAAATTGGAGTAAAAACCGAAACCATTGAATGTAAATCAGTTTATATAAATTCATATTACAGTATTATATGCGTTGCGACCCACTTTTGTCAATTTCTAGGTCCCAAATGTTAGCGATTTATTAGCTCCTTTAAGTAAATAATCTGAATACACTTGATCGATCAGTGACCGTGTCATTGACCGTTTAATTTACATCACAGTTTAAACATACTGATATTATAAATCTATGATTTGATTTGAAAATGAACTATTGATTGACATAAATTCTCAGGGCCGTAACTAGCTCAGAGCAACGAGGGGGGCGGGAAGTGTTCTCGGGGGTGCTGTAATATTGACGGACAATGTATATCTATTTTTTTTTTTATGGTGGAAAATTTTTTCACAGGGGGGGTGGGGTGGAGGGGTATGGGGCGAAACTAGTTACGGGCCTGAACATTCTACGATAGATCAGTCATCATTTTACATAATTAAATAATAAATGACTGACTATAATAACAGGAAAGGAAGATGGTAAAATTACCTCTGAGGTTGCAACATTGCTACCACCTTTGAGCTCGTCAGAATGAATTAATTTGAATGAAATTGTCAATATATTAATTTTTCATTATTTAGTTATATAGCAAGAATGGCCAGCTTTAGTCTTTATCTAAATCTTACATAATGTGTCTATAAATGGCTATAATCACCAAATTATACACCGGCCTTCACATCCTATATCTATTTATATAGAATACACCGGCCTTCACATCCTACATCTATTTATATAGCAAGAATGACTGGCTCTTTATCTAAATTTTACATAATGTATCTATAATTTTATAAATGTCTATAATTATAATCAATTAATCTTACTTTAATTCTTATTAACAGAGTTTCCGATAACCATTTTTTTCCGGTTTTATACCGGTAGATTTTAACATGTACCGGTAAATTTTAACATGTACCGATAAACAATCTTTCCATCGGTTCCATCGGTCCATGGGACCGATAAACGTCAACAAATTAACTGCTCTACTTTATCTCTGGTGTCAAAAGCTTCGTGGCAATGGCTGTCAAACAGCGGTGCTCTTTATAGTAACTTGAGTCAAGGGCTTTACTAAGGGTGAATCTAATTTTCAGACATCGGCATTAAAAGATCATAAAAATAGTGCCGGTCACCGAGAGGCCGTATTCATCCATTCCCAAAAATCCAACATGCAAACTCACATGGCACAAGCACAAGAAAAAAATGATGACAATTTAACAGCAATGATGAGAATGGTTTTGTTTATGGCCAAAGAGAACATTTCTAGTAGTAAATTTAATGGACTTATGCAATTACAAAAACAAAATGGATGCCCTGCGTTAACTGGTGTCATTTACACCCATTCCGATAGTTTTGAAGATATGGAAACGGCCTTGGTTCAAACAACGGTTGACGAATTGAAAGATAAAATAGCTAGCAGTAAATTTGTTGGTCTTATTGTTGATGAAACCGTTAATGTAGTCACAGAGAAAAAACTAATAATATTTTTGCGAATTTTAAATAACACCGCGAAAGCCAAGACAATATTTTTAGGAAATTATTCAGTTCATAGTGGCATGGCCGAATATATCGTTGACAAAATAAAGGAAGTTTTTAAAGAATGGGGAATTCCTTTAAATAAAGTAATTGGTTTGGCTAGTGTGATGACAGGAATTCGGAATGGTGTAGGAGTTAAACTGCTAACTGACACTCCGTTTTTGATACACGTTCACTGCATTGCTCACCGCGTGGCTCTTGCATCACAGGATGCCGCCAATTTATCAAAAAAGATTGGTCTTAATGTATGTATAAATGTCTATAATCACCAAATTATACGCAGGTCTTTCCATCCTATGAAGTTGTTGGGTTGAGTTCTTTTACGGACATGACACATGCTAATGTATACACAATATCTTGGTTTTGTGGCCTGTACAAACAAGTAGGTGCTTTTCCTGGTCAGGCCCTCCATCATGCTCCACTGACAGAAGGGAAATCATGCTAGAAAATAATAGAAAGCGTGTTCTCATAAAGACAGCTTTTAAAGAGTTTGAAAACAAATTGAAAGTAGAGATAAAATATCAGTAGGATCAAATTTTATATTATGATATAATATTGTCAAATAGCCTGTTTTGCAATATTTCAATATATCCATGTATCTGTTCCATCTTAATGAAACATTCCTTCTTTTTTTTCCAGGATATCTATGTGTTTTGTTACTTCCTGTTACAGCCTTGTATCCTGTGCTATAATGACATTCGGCTTCATTCATCAAATAATACTTATCAGTCAGAATTTGACGTCTCAAGAACTACATACAGCCTCAATGCGAGGTCTCACACACTGTGTTTTCTTTGCAAGAAACAATGTCCATAATCAAGGTTTCCTTATAAACTGGATTGAATTTCTGTTTTATCGAAAACGTCGAACATCATCCCAAATTCCTTTATAAAATATCAAATCAAAGCATCAATTCATTATGAAATCAAACGTTTAACGAGTTATAACCGCAGGACCATCTCTGTTTATAAAATATGTGAGTCTAGGAATATTTCCACACTAATCTTAGATAATGGATGGATATAACGCATTAAAAATAGAGTGGTTTATTTTACATCCATTACAAACCCAACAAAATACAGGTCTAATTTAACTCATTTTGCCATGAAATTGACCATTTCAAAAGACATTTTCACTCAAATTACACTGTATAATCTTCTTTCAGAAATTCAGGGAAGGCGAGACCACGGTATCTTCCTGATTATTGTATGTCTTTGGACCAATGGGAAAACCAATACTACTTATTGTAGTAAATGTAGCAATCGGGAATTGAGCTGATATTGTTTATAATATAATTGCGTCAGGAATATAATTAGCATTAGTTAATTTCTATGATCACAATTTAAATGAGACAAAATTATTCATTTCTAAAATATCAATATAATGAATTTTTATATGACCTCATTGAAATGTGGTCATATATTGCAGTCACCCTCGTCCGTCGGTTCGGCGTCCACAATTGCTTGTGGATGCCCTATAGGCTAAAGTTAATATCCGATTGACTTTAAATTTATACATAGTGTTTAAGGTCACGAGACGTAGAAGGCTATACATTTTCAAGGATTTCTGATAATTACTGCCAGAGTTATGGCCCTTAATTACTTCAAAAAATCTTGCGAATGCTCTACAGGCCAAAGATGCCTATACATTTTCAAAGGTTTCTGATAATTACTGCCAGAGTTATGACCCTTGATTACTTCGAAAAATCTTGTGGGTGCTCTACAGGCCAAAGTTATAATTCAATTGATTTTAAATTTATACACAGAGTGTTTAAGGTCTTGAGATGAACAAGTATATTGATTTTCTAGGATTTTTGATATCTGAACAGCTAAATCTATGACATTAAATTTAAATGTGTGTAATGATTCTCTGATAATTACTTAATGAGTTGTTACTCTTAATCAGATTTTAGTATATTATAAATGTTCCACTACCAACAAAAGTAAAAATATTCGACAACCCTTGCTGACTGCCCAGATGACTTAGCTGCTGTGGGTTTTTGTTTCGTTGCCTGGCAACCTCTCTATTTGTGTGGAAAAGTCAAATAACACGTTTTAAAAGACTAAATAACATGTTATCAATGTTTATTTCCATATATTTGCCCCCCAAAAAAACCCCAAACAACAGTATACAAAATTAACTTATTATTTGATGAAACTTGTAAATTTGAGCTTTTTGTTGGTTGCATTATAGTCCGGTTGTAGCTGGTCAATTTAATTGGGGTTTTTCTGGTTCAGATATGTGCCACACATCACCACTGAATTTTCTCAAGCCCCACCTCTGTAGACAAATATCTTGTGTCCTCCACTGCCTTCGTTTACTCCCATACCAAGTTCCCAGGGATATAGAAAACAGTAGTTTAGAGGACATGGAGGCCTCGTAGTAAGCTCCCAGGGATATAAAACAGTGGTTTAGAGGACATGAAATCCATGTACTAAACTTTTAGGGATATAAAACAATAGTTTATAGGACATGGAGACCTTGTACTAAGCTCCTACGGATACAGAACAGTAGTTTAGAGGACATGAAGGCCTTGTACCAGGGGTACAGAACAGTAGTTTAGAGGACGTGAAGGCTTATAGTTATACACACACATCACCTATAATACTGAGTGACATTATTAAGTAGCAGTACGCTAGAATTGAAACTGATTAGTTTAACAGTTGATGTTTATATCAACGAATATAAATATTTCATAGTCAATGGTTATATTTCTAGACTCACAAAGATATTGTTGCTTTTATTATATTTTAATTACTTATGTTAATAATTAATATTTTATATACATACCTCTATCTATCTATATTATTGTATACCCGGTATTTACTTTCTTGAATACAAATTATCGTGAAAGAATAACAAGAAATAATTGTAAACTGCATAGTTTAGACTTACAAGGTATTGTAAGATGTTCGAAGAGGTCGGTCGACACAATATCATGTTGGAAATGTCCCAGAAATTAGGCAAGTTGACCTAGACTTGTTTTCTTGGAAATAGATAAAAAGTCAGTTACTAATCTCTGTTTTTCACTTTTAATTTGAATCAGCATATATTCGCATAAAAATGTTTCTGCAGCCTTTTCTTCTATTAAACTAGAGCCAATCTATTTTAATGATATTTATTTATCTTAGTTTTTATGTGAACTGGGGTGTTTGAAAGATTTTGTAAGCTTTCTCACATTGAATTCATCATAATATTAGGTTATTTTGTAAGATTATTAAAACATTGCTTGACAATGATACATGCATGATGTTATTGAACATGCTTATAATGACAAGAGAAGCCTAGTCGAAACATCGCTCAGTAATAAGCAGTAATTGTATTCTATAGAATTGTGAACTGTATACTCCAGTTCAATTACTAAATGGCATGGTAACAATTTATATAATAAGCTAAGAAGTGGTAAGTCCATAAAGTTGTGTATTTTTATCATGTTATACTCCCACATAAACAGTCATGTAAGGATGTATTAATTATATTAATTAAAAATGGTTTAATTATATTATTTACAGTCAAATAGTAGACATGGTTTATTTATATTATTTACCATAAAATAGTAGACATGGTTTATTTATGCCATTTGTAGTCTAATAAGGAACATTATTTATAGAATCTGTAGTCTAGTAATGAACATGTTTTATTTATGATACCAATGACATTGTTTATGCCATTGTGTAGTCTAATATTGAACATTGTTTATTGACCATTTATTTTATGTATTCTATTTGTAGTCGAATAATAAACATGCTTTGTTTATATCATTCATAGAATATTTAAATTATGTGAGTTGCTCCCACAAAACCAGACTTTTGGTCATTTTTATAAAAATAGAGCTGGCAGCATATTTGAATAGTCAACAGCCTAAGCTTTCCAAAAATGCAATTCTTTTTTAATTTGTGGTATCATCTGGAGTTCGGCTCATTCACAACAACAAGACGGCATAGAGTTTATGCTTCCGTGCACGTAGTACAAAATGAAGTTGTGCGACAAAACACCTGGTTTCGTGGGAGCTGGTCACATATGGTGTCATCCTCTGCATCGTTTGGATATTTTTTTTCTGCAGTGGTTTGCATTCCTTCTGGTGAACAGATTTGAAAGAAACATAAGCATAATTTTTGTCTTGCTTTTTTAATAATTTAAATATTACGAAACCGTCTTTAAATTGTGCTTTTGTTTTAAAATATGAAGAATAATTAAACTTGATTCTATACTTTAAACGCACATTAGGTATGATTAGATAAAGAACTGATAACAGAATATGCTGAAAATTTCAGTCAAATTGCTTTATTCTGAAGCGAGATATTAGCAATTCAATTTTAGGTCTAGCCTAGATCGTCATTACTAACATTGGTATGATAATAAACAAAGTCTTGATTATCCATTTTTACTGTAAATTATCCATCACAAAGTGTATTCAAATCCAGTAATTATCACAGGCTAAAGATGGCATCGAGAGTTGATTATGGTCTAGATAAGTTAATTAATGTCCAATTAATAATTTAGATAAGATTTAAGGCCTAATGTATGTTTAATTAATTAAAAGAACACAGGCAAAATAATTGTTTAAGTTACAATGAAGTTTGGATTCCATGAAATACCAGCAGAAAAAGATAGCAAAAAGTGGTCAATTTGATATCATCATATATTCCATAGGTAGTATTCCCTAAACCAAAAAACTTGACAAGATATTATGAAATTAAGAATTGTTTAATTCATGACACACATTGGGCGACGGCGCTTTATCATCAATTTTGTGTTATTTTTAGCCTTTGTATCCTTACAGAGATCCAATATTACCTGCCATTATACCAGGGATTCGTCTGCCTATTTATTGTACTCTAAGTAAGGAGTTATTTCATGGTAATTTTTATAACCCCCCTCCCCCAACATACTGCTTTAACATAGTAAAATTGTTTATAATAAATCTATTTTACTGTATTTTAAGAAATTGAGTATGCCATATTTATAATTTATACTAGTTGGTAAATTGTGTATATTTGTGATATTACATTAGAATAATGTGTACATGTAATTGCTGATTTATTTAATAATAATAATAATAATAATGTATGTGAATATTTAACGTAACATTTAACGTAACTGTTATGTCTGTTTCATTTGTATGTACAGAATAACGTTAAGCTTTGTTACGCAGATTCAAGTTATTGTCATGCTCTGGTTTGTCAAGTTATTTGTCAGGTTCTCGGTTGACTGATTATAGCTGTGTTAAAGCCTGGTTCACTGATTATGGCTATGTTGGACTCTGGTTCACGTGTTATTCCGTTTATTAATGATAGGACAAGCGTACAATTTTTGTTTTAAAAAGACTCAGTATAAGTCAGCCTGTTTACTACTTCTACTTTCGTATTTGGCCAACTGTGCTGACAACCAAAGAAATAAAATTGTTAAGTGGTATATCTTCACTCTGGATTAATCTATGGACATAAAATATCGTAACAAGATAGATCCCGTAACAAGATAGATCGTCAATCCAGAAAACAGATCAACATAATATAAAATCAAAATCAAACAAAATCAAACAAAGTGTACAGGGGCCTGTTTCACGAAATTTTAACTAAGATACAATCCAAATTTTAGTAATTTGATTGGATAATATTAGAATGATTTTAGTATCTGCTAAAATTGGATTTTTATCTTTCATTAAGATTTGGAGAAACAGGGCCCAGGTCTACTGTTTATTCCAATATGTGGTGTATCTATTTCTGTAATATATATATATCTATATATGAAAAGCTGGTGTATATTTTATGGCACTGTTAATATTATTAAAAGTTCTATAATTGTTATAAATATATTTTTTGTTATCTACTGTATTCTCTATATCCTATTTTCATTTTACATGTACATAAAATAATTTCAAGGAATACTCAGTTCTTGTATGGAAGTTAATATTTCACAAGAATAGGTATTATGTTGCAAACATTCAAACATTTGAACTGAAAATTCACCATTTTTCAATCAATCTGATCATAATACAGATCTATATTTTGTTTCGTTTTTTTATATTTTCGATGTCCTACACTACATAAAGATCTGACAAGTTATAGCGATAGGTCATGTCAGGGGTCAAAAGACCGACTTATGACCCTATGATGTCAGACATTTGTTTAACCAATCAGCATTGATGTTACTAGTGGATTACCCACAGTTCCGTGCAAAACACGCCTAAAGCTTGCCGTGACAGACCGTTTCATTGGCTTATCCCCGACACCATTCAGAACACGAGTTAAATAACAACTCTTCCAGATCCAAGTGTAGTAAAGACAAGTAAAACGAAATTTTGAACTATAAAAACGAAATAGGATCTGTGTTTTAACCAGATTGATTTTTGCCAGCCATTTAATTTTTTCATTAATTTGGTATACAACATATTGGTCAATCATTTAATTTGTTCATAAATATTTTTATAAAACATAATGGTCATAACATGACATCCTGTAAAGATACATTATGTAAGATTTAGATAAAGAACTAGCCATTCTTGCTATAATAGTTCGAAAATAGATAATGCAAAATTAATTTATTGAAAATTTGTTGTTTTGATAAGATATGTGCATTGATTGTTTATTATCGTAACCACAGTACTGGTTTTTCAAAATATAGCCCTCGCTTTTCCATTTTAAAATTTAATCAATAAAATCTGCTTAACATTGGATCCATCAGATGAACTAGAGAGTTGATAATGGTCTTGTCATGTTAATAAATGTCTAAATAATAATATAACATGGGGGGATTAATCAAGCAAGGGGATTATCGAATACAATGGTGTTAAAAGTATAGTCTGTTTTTTTTAAACTACTGGGTTTAAAGTAATAAACAACTTTATTCACAATAAATTTCATAAAAGTAACAACAAAAATATATGTATCAAACATAAATCATAATCCTACTAAATGTGATATGGCGTCAGTATATTCAATTGCACTTTTTACTCCATTTAACAGTTTGATTTTTAGATCATTAATAGATTCTTCTACTCTTTTATAATTTTGTCTTTTAGGGGGCAATCGTCCCCCGTTATCCAATTGAACTATTGTATTTTCAGTAAAAGTCTGCTGGTGCTATTGGGTTTCGTATTTTTTACTCTGTACTTATACCCCAAATTAACTAAATTTTGACCTTGAGAATTAGGAATAAACCCTATGCGAACTTGAGCCATTTTAAAAGATATAATGTAATTGGGGGTGACAACTATCCTTATATAATGATAGTGAGTTTCTAATCATATATTTGATTGATTTATGAGTACTGTCTGAATGAAAGGTAGGTGAATAATATTTAAGATACTCGATAACCGATGACACATGAATTTAACTTATATATTTTAATCATTAAAATAATTAAATTTTAACTAGGTGAACAGTACTAATAAGGATACAGTCTATTATCCTTTGTTTACTTAAATTTTCACACCACTACCCTATAACACCAGTTGATTGGGGGCACAGTGGGATTAAACCGCAGATTTAGCTCTTGACTAATGTATTTTTAAGCAAATTTTTTTTATTCTACTAAATGTTGTTTTAGAGATATATTCCCTCAAAGCTAATGAGGTCATCAAGAAATCTAATATTTCTTATGCCCTAGAAAAATATAATTAGAGATTGAAAGTGATTTTTAAGTTCACAATACATAGTATAATAAAAAATATACTTAAATGTCAAGCTCAAGTTTGGTAGACAATTTTCATACAGTTTGAAACTGAATATGGTTTCATAATTGTTTTTAATAATAATTATACAGTTTAAATATAATTTATGTATTTGGCGTAAAAATATATCTTTTACGAGAAATCCTTAAATTAATTGTCTGGTTTTGCTAATCATTTCATATTTTATATTAAGTGGTTTGAACCATGAAACCTGTGTTATGTATATTGGTACTTATTAACATGTTAAAGGTTAACGGAAAAGCTTCAATTTTTTTTTAAATAATGCAAGTAATTATGTCCACATATCCTTTCCATAAGTATAACACGAACCCGTCGTTCTCCGTAAGTAATCGTAACTTTACGTCAATAAACAATCTGTGACGCCATTTTAGTCCTTCTGCTCATATTCTAGGCTATATTTCTATGAGCAGTCACGGATTGTTTATTGACAGAAAGTTACGACTACTCAAGGAGAACGGTGGAAATTACTAACGTTGACATAAGTATAACACGAACCTGAACATCAATATTACCCGCAACAGGTAAATTTCAACGTTAGTAATTACCGCCGTTTTCCGTCAGTAGTCGTAACTTTACGTCAATAAACAATCTGTGACGCCATTTTAGTCCTTCTGCTCATATTCTTGTCTATATTTCTATGAGCAGTCACGGATCGTTTATTGACAGAAAGTTACGACTACTCAAGGAGAACAGAGAAAATTACGAAGATTGACATTTACCTGTTGACATAATTACATGCATTATTTAAAATAATCCTCCCACTGCTAAAGACCCTGACGCGCAAGTGAATTATTGAAATAAAATTAAACCATATGTTAGTCCCAAAATGACCTAGTTTGTCTCGAGTGGACGTTGAACCCCATTTCTCTTTCTCTCTATTTAAAATGAAAATTGAAGCTTTTCCGGTGACCTTTAACTGTATAGTTAGCTGACCATGAGTAGCCCTCTTTGTTTTCCAAAATATGATCAATTCTATTATTTACCTTGGGTGAGGTACAGGTAAACATTAAATCTAAGTCTGATTAATGTAGATACAGATGGTGTACCTGGTTAAAAACACTACACCTGTATGTTGGGTAAAAAAAACACACATTTTCATCAAAGAAACCAAAGAATATTTATGCCTGAAAAAGAATCACATACATGTTTGTCAAAATCCAGAAATGTTTATAGAATTAAAATATTGTCCTCTGCGAATATTAATCAGGAGCAGAGTTTAAATATTTTTTCACAATTAGAATTACCAGCCTAAAGACACTATTCTAATTGACCAATTCTGATATACTGTTCAAACCCTATATAGTAATCAAGACATTAAAGGGACAATAACACTCTTGCTGGCTTGACAGCTCCAATAAATAAATATTAGCCTTATTCTAAGTATTAGATGTTTAAGTGTCCTACCTGTTGTGTAAATTAACCATTACATCCTTTTTTACTTGTCCAGAGGGTTCGAAAATATTTTAACATCCAAGTCACATTTGAAAAGGTTTACTTTAGGCTTTTCAAATCATTTAGTTGAATTTTTCCAATTTTTTAAATTAGGTGTGTTAAGATAAAATTTGTATCATCAATTAATTGGAAAATTGTAAAATAGTACAATTTGTTGACCAGAATAAAGATTGGGACATATTATTCAGTTACAACAAGAGTGGTATTGAGCCGTTAAATAAACAGTTCTATATAAAACAATTATTATATTTTAATTGGAGCTACGTTTCTACATGAAAACAAGAGAATGCCTCGGATTAAAATATAAAACCTAATGTGAATTACTTGTATGTGTGTAACCTAGTGAAGTTTGGTTGATAATCACAGTTGTGTGTATCCTCTCCCTTTCAGTTACCTGTCTTTATTGAAATTTGAACTAATTGATATTGTGTTTTGCTTATTAGGGAAGGATTCTATAATAGATAAGGGAGAAATATATCCTGTGAGTTAATGAATTATATAGACAGGGCACTATCACTTAGCATTTTTTAATATACATGTAGCATAATTGATTTAAACAGCCATTGATTTAAGTTAGGTGGAAAATTTGAGACTATTAAACAAATCCATGAGGGAGGTTTAGACAGGAGTAAACGACCCTTGTTTTTTTGGCCCAAATTTATAGACTCAAACTGATTTAAATTGTTATTTATCCCCCCCCCCCCAACCGCCCCCATCTGTCCAGACACACCTACCACCTTATCTTCTACACACATGGGTTTCCATGGCTCCTCAGTAGATGTAAGTGCTTCTTATTGTCAAATTCTCCTTCTTATGGACCAAGGTTTAACTGAATTGATTTCTTTTTAAAAACTGAAACAAAATGTTGTCGTTTATGTAAATTATACGGGATATATATTATAACTTGGTATAAAGGTATATAAACCTTATTTGTTGATTTTATTAAAGATAATTTTCTACTCTTCCTGTATATAAACAAGTTTATATCATCCCCTGATTCTACTAATTTACTATAATAACAGGTGTAAAATTATAATATACTATATAAGACAAGAAAATAAACATGTATTCTATTTTTGTCTGGTTTTGTGAATTAAATGAAATGGGGTTTAACGTCCTACTTTTCTGCTCCCACTGTGCTAATGAAGACGGGTCAGGTTTTGTAACATTTTCATCTTTCTGTCAGTGGCATGTATGAAGGGATGTGGTCATGGACCCCCTCTCCCCTCCTCGAGAGACCCCGATCCTACGGCTCCACAAAGTTTGTATCTGCAATTTTCCCCATCTTTTTTCCAAATTTCTTTCTGAGTTGACTCTATTTTTACTCTAGTTAGTTCACGTAATTTGTCTAAAAATGAAGAGAAGACTATGGCGGAGGTTAACCGCCATTAAATATACCATTTAACAACTTCAAAACATACAATTACCAGCGATCTAAACAGCTCAACTATTAAAAAATAAATTTCCTGTTCAGGCCTCTTCTCTTGAAAGCTGAACAATGTGACATCTTACAAAAATGCTACAACAAATTTTTGGTGGCCTACTTTCCCAATAATTGGGCACTTGATTAGCTTTTACTTTAAGCGAGAATTTCATATTTTCAAAGAAAATCAAAACATAATTGTCGACTCACTATTCTACGATCATAGGTATCATTCTCACACTTAAAAATGGCTTCACCCCGGAAATAACACAATTACCTCCCTTGTTTTTCTATTTCCCCAATGGAGTAGCTATCTTCAAACGTTTGAATTAGAAGTTGAAAATGATATTTTTGCCAATTTCTCAACTGGCAATAGTGAATTATAGAATTAAAAGGATTATTCTTTAACAAGGTAGGACTGTTTATGGATACCATCTATTTTAAGGCTTTATTTTAATACATTTTAAAAATATAACTTAAAAATATGAAATTATCGCTTTAAGATCGATTGACGGCTGCAATACCAGCCCGTAACATCGCACCCACTCTCCACCTTAACGACAGGCAGGTATAAATCATGGTGTACTGATGGGCCCCGTACCGGTGTGCCCACATCTAGTTTCACCCTGTCACCAGCTTCAATTAGCATTTTAACACTGTACATACCACCTCTATTGAAATTGTTCGTCTTTCGATGTAGTATAAATGCGGAATGTTATGGGGGGCTCCAACAGGCTAATCCGTCCCAGGAATTTGATACCAGAAGACTTCTGCTCCAGAAGATTATGAAGAGTTGTCTGGGTTTCTGTTATTGGTGTTTGGTGGGTTTTTATAATCGGTAATTTTCTACAAAAGATTTTCTACACATCAATTTGATTCCCATGGTTATGTCGCAACGAGAGAAAAAAAATCTCGGGGAGGTTTCAGGAAGGTCAACGGACGTGACGAGATTTAATATAACCACAACGTCAGATATAGTGAATCATATATAAACCCCGATCTCGTTCAGACTAATTGTGCTTTCCTCGAGGAATATATTTCCCTAATTTTGTTCAAACACTAAAGAAAACACTACAATGATTAGGTAAAAAAACCTTTAATATAAAGTGATCTCGGGTATTTTGAATTAGATAATGAATAAGTGGTCTGGTGGCAAATAATATATTTCGTGTAATAATATATTTCGTGTAATAATTAAAGATACATTATGGGAGATTAGATAACGAGTTGGCAGTTCTCACAATAATAGTTAAAAACTAGATAACGTAAAGGCAATTTGCTGAAAATTTCAGTCAAATTGATCCACTATGAACCGAGAAATAAGCGATCGAAAGTTTCGCATAGCCTCGGTCATCATTGTCGGTACGACAAAAATCATAGTCTCGATTATCCAGTTAAATCAAGAAGGAAAGTTATGTAGCAAATCGGATCAGAATCCAACAATTATCGCATGCTAGCGTTGACATAGAGTTGATTATGGTCTTGATATGTTCATTAATGTTTAATTAATAGTTTATATAGAGACACACAACCTTAGTAGTAAAATACTGGATTCTTTTTTTTTTTTTTTTAAAATCCTTTAACTTGAACTTATTTTCATCAACTTGTTCGTATCAGCCGTGGAGTATCGGGACTTGGATGTTGAATAGAATCTAATTTGAACCTTCTGATTTAAACGTTGATCTGAGTGACAATCTTTCCTCAAACATGATCGTCCACGAATGGTATATAAATTATAATTTATAATTCATCCACGTACCCCATACACAACTTTATTATAACAAATAGTGAAATGAAATCAAATGGGGTTTAACGTCCTACTGTTCTGCTTTGATTAAGCTAATGAAGACGGGCATACGCCATACAGTGTGCTATGAGGGAAATTTTGCCCGGACAGCGGCACTATGGCATACTCTTATATCGAATTCCAACTATTAAGGGATCTTTTACGTGCATGCCAATATGTACACGGGGCCTCGGTTTTTCGACCCATCCGAACGACTAGACAGCTGTCCTTGTCAGGCCCTCCGTCCTGCATCACTGACAAGGGGAAACCACGCCGGAAAATATGGAGGAACTCTCTCGACCAATGCAGCAATCGAACACCCGACCTTCAAGCTAGCGAGCCAGCGTCTTACCCACTTAGCCAAGGAACAAATAGAACAACAGACTAATTCACAAGACGCCATAAATACAAGTGGATTTAAGGACGCCAAAATGTGACGAAAAAAAGTCTCTTTTCCTCCAAAGAAAGTTTAAAATAAAAAAAAATGAGCTGCTTGAAAATGGTAAATAGATTTACGCAACATATTTAAATAATTTAAAGATACATTACATGAGATTCGACAGTTCTCACTATAATAGTTAAAAAATAGATAACGTAAATAGAATATATAGATAACGTAAATAGAATATATAGATAACGGAATATATAGATAACGTAAATAGAATATATAGATAACGTAAATAGAATATGCTGAAAATTTCAGTCAAATTGCTCCTATCTAAACCGCCCGTCTTCATTAGCCCAGTATAGGAGCAGAACAGTTGGACGTTAAACCCACAGAGGTGTATATACACCTAGGGTAGGGTATATACACCTAGGGTAGGGTATATACACCTCTATGGTTAAACCCCATTTCATTTCATTTCTCTCTAAACCGAGATATTAGCTTTTGAATTTTAGGCTAGCCTCGATCATCGTTACTAAAGTCAGTACGACAAAAAAACAAAGTCCCGATTATCCATTTTTACTTTTAATTGTTTTTTTTTAAAAAAATATATATACCCATCCGCTTAATATCGCAGGCTAGCGATGACATCGAGAGTTGTTTATGGTCTGTATAAGTTAATTAATGTCTAATTAATAATTTATATAACATTTCAAGCCTAAAGAAAGACCTGCAATAGACAGATTCAGCTCTTGTATAATGTATGTTTAATATGATTATTACAATGACATCATTATTAATGTGACGTCATAATGTATGTTTAAGGCTTAAATTGTATGGCTGACTTGGTAATCGCGAGTACTAGTTGCCAACCTAACCTCATTATCCAGACATTCGTATAGCCTGGCACTTTATAAATACCGTCAAACTGGAAAACGAAAGTTTGTATTTCCTGAAATGTAATATATTCAAAGTAGCTAAGTCTCTAACTCAATATCATCCAAATTCTTCCACATTGAAAACACGAATTATTTGTCAATTTAAATCAACATTGATGTTGTGATCTTACCGGGAAAATATGGGCTTTTGATATACAATATTCAAGACAAAATAATCATTTTACCATTGGTACACGAATCGTGTACCATAATGCTTTTCAGCGTCATTTGTAACAAGGGACTCGAAAAACGAGGCTAGGCATATTCCACAAGTCATGTCAAACGATGCCACCATATTCTTATCTGGCGAGCATGCGCAATAAATACTGTCGGTGTAGACTGGAATAACCAGACGCTAGAGATTGCCATTCGACCAAGACTTCTGGCGTATTTCGCTGAATATAACCGATTAGAAATTACAGTAAAACAGAAACGATTGAACGTAAATCAGTTTATATACATTCATATTACATTATTATATGTGTTGTAACCCATTTGTGTCAATTTCTATATCCCAAATATTCGCGACTTAGCTCCTTTAAATAATTACACAGGAGTAAGATAATGTTTACCATTATAGAGTTATAATCACTAAAGTATAGATGGGATTGTCCCTTTAATGGAGCTGTCTCTAATAGAGCTCAGTGAATAGGGTTTAACGTCCTATTTTTCTGCTTCAACGGGGCTGATGAAAATATGGCATAAGCCATGCAGTGTGCTATGAAGGAAATGTTGCCCGTCAATTCTTCTGCCATGGGTTCTTTTACATGCAAGGGGGGGGGGGAATGTTTAGCGTATGCGCTTTGTATCGTAAGGTCTATCATTGAGTCAACTGGCGTGGTGTCGACTCCCCGGTTGTACGTGACAAGGAGTAGAGTCGCCTGTTCAATCCTGTGGGTTTTCTCCGCCCCCCCCCCCTGCTAAAGACCCCTAAGCAAGCGATTTTATTGAGAAAAATTTGAACCATAAGTTAGTCCCGAAATTACCTAGTTTGTGTCGAGTGAACGTTAAACCCCATCTCTCTCTCTCTTCTCTCTCTCTCTCTCTCTCTCTCTCTCTCTGACTCTCAGGCACGCCAATGTGTACACCGGAACTCGGGGTCTCGCCCAATTCGAACGAGTGGACGCTGTTCGCTACCAGGAACTCTGTCCAGCATCACTGGTAAGCGGAAGACCACGCTGGAAAATGACGGAGAACTTTCCCGGCCAACAACAGGGAGAGAATGGAGTTCGATCCCACGCTGTTTTCTCGACAGTGTCGCCTATCAATCAAGCCGCGTGGATTTTCCCGTACTGATAATGACGCCCGCGGGGAGACGAATTATTAAAACAAAATAAATATACCAGACTATTCCAAAGTTGACATTAAACGCCCCCACCCACCACCACCACCACCATCATTCACATAAATATACAAATAGAAACCAGCATAAACTAATGTAAACTTTAAATCGATAAAAGTAATTTTCATTATGTATGGTTTTAAATTCTATATTCACTTTTATACGGACATGACTGGGCATTAATACAAATACAAATACAAATTTACAAAATTGAAAACACATTTACAAAATCGAAAATTATTCTACAAAATTATAAATGAATTTTACAGAATTATAAATGAATTTTACAAAATTATAAATGAATTTTACAAAATTATAAATGAATTTTACAAAATTATAAATGAATTTTACAAAATTATAAATGAATTTTACAAAATCGAAAATTAAAAATAAAAATTAGAAATTGTTTTTCAAAATTAAAAATTAATTTTCACTGTATTTGAGCTTCCGTAAAATACAGTGAAAATGAGTTAATATCCGTAATGGATTTATTAGTGTAGATTATTCTAACATATGTTGTCTTTTTATTTTTCTATAATTAATTATATTGTATATCCGGGTATAGTACGGAAGCGTATAGGGGTCATGCAAAATTTTGTAGAAGACCTCGAGATCCTGCGATCCTGTGATACTTTCTTGAGATCTCAATTTCATTTTCTCGAAATACCCTAATAATTTTCTCGAGAATCTCCCATCCTGTGATAACAATCTCGAGAATTCGAGTTAATGTTCACGGGATCTTGCCATCCTGAATAAATTTTCACGAAATCTCGGGTATTTTTTGGTCTGCGCATTTCGGAGTTTACCCCACCAACCCACCTTCACCTTCACCCCTTTCAAATTTAGTGTAAAGCATTTGGGCCATAAGCGGACGGTCCCTGTCGCTTTTAGCGCACCTTGTCGTTCTGGAGTTACCCCCCTTTTCCGAAAACCTTGTTAACGAAATAGAGGCCACGGTTTTTTTTAACTGATTTTGTTTTTCAAATGTGTTGTAAAGCACTGGGGTCTTTCGATTTTCAGTACTCCGCAAACTTCTGTTCCAGAGTTACCCTCTCTGTTCGTATTTTTTTCAATTTTTCAAATATGTGACGATGAGAAGACGAACCTTATCGATATTCAGCATTCTGTGACCTTCTGTTCCTTAATATACCCCCCCCCCGCCCGCTCCCTGAAAGCCTTGTTCAGTTTAACAATTTTGTGTGAAGCTTTGGGGTCATGAAATTTATTGATATTCAATGGTTAGCGATCTTCCGTTTCATTCCATTCTTTAAAAACCTTGTTTTAATGGATTTTCGATATTCAGTGTTCCGCGACAAGGATGACCCCTGTTAATTTTCAGCCAATATAAGGTTTTCTGTCCCAGAGATATAACAAGCACGTGAACACGATAGAGATTGGATTTCTTGAAGAATGTTCGATCCTTATTCAATTTATTAAACGAAAATCTGCTGTTGAGATGCATAGATGCTGCGTGGGCGTATCTCCACACTTCGCGTGGCTATCGTTCAAATTTCTTTTGCATCATTAGTGTCATAAGCAGGGGAACCCTATTTATTTTCGGCGGAACAATGAACCTTATTGATTTGCAGCGCTCCCTGGCGTTTTGTTACGGCGTTATTCCTATTTTGCGGTAAACCTTGTGCACGCGTTAGAGCCCAGAGTTTTTCAAGATTTTTTTATTTAAAATCTGCTCCGAAGCATTCCTGTCACAAGACAATACACTCGCTGTCTAGCTTTATTCTAAAACAAAATATGGTCCGAAAACCATGCAAAAAATGACATTTTCAATTAAACGTCACCCACACATTAAATTGAAATAATTTAACCAGCATGTCTGTAATTCAAAGCTTCACACATTAAAGCTGACGTGGTAGGGTTTTGAATTTTATTGGTGTGAAGTGTTGGGGCCATAAGACGACGAACACTATCGATTTTAATCATATTTCAAATTTAGTGTAAATCATGGGTACCCTATCGATTGTCCGTTTATTCTTTCATTGGTTAGCAGTTTTCCTTTGTAACGAATGTTAGGGTATTTTTTTTTTTTTTTTTATCAAATTTGGTGCGAAGTATTGGGCCAAAGGTTACTTCACAACGTGGTGACACTATCATATAAGGTTTCATATTAACTCGGGATCTCAAGAAAATTTACATAGGATGTCAATATGTCGAGAACATTAACTCGAATTCTCGAGAAAATACAGGATGTCAATATCCCGGGAAAATTATCAGGGGATTTCGGGATCATTAAATTGAGATCTCGAGAAAATTATCAGATGATCACGGGATTTCGAGAAAGTATCACAGGATCGCAGGATCTCGAGACCTTCTACAAAATTTTGCATGACCCCTATACGCTTCCGTACTATACGATCGAGGAATGTTTTTACTTTTTGCGCTCTAACAAATTATAACACAGCTTCGTAAAATCTGCTTTTTAGAAGTAAATGTGAGGGAAACCGGTTATTGCGTTCTTTGGGTAGAAATCTGATGAAGACATGAATAACATCCGTAAAGAAACTAAAACGTCATCGTTTCCACATCATCTTATAAAGCTATAAAAACAAGAGTCAATGACATTGAGTTCAATGTTACAAGAAGAATAACTTTTGTTTAAAACAAAGACTCTCGACGTCTAACATTTGAAATTACAAGTTCCAATATAACTAATCAACCAGTATGAATATTAAATTAGCCGTTCTCGTTGTCTTAGCAACCTTGTGTAGTTTAGGTAAGTTGGTATTTTAAATTTGTATAATTAACTTTAGATGGAATGGATTTGGACGTTTCGTCAATCAAAAATATATTAAAGAGACTAACCTTTCGTTGATTTTCGGTGATGTAAAAATAATCCTCGATTAGACTATGTTGTTAAATCCGGATGGTTTTGAGAGAAAACTGCCTATCCATAGAAATGAAATGTCGTCGTGCTGTTCTGTACCAAGGATGTTTTGTGCGAGGAGGGGAACTTTGCCCAGACAACGACGCTACGGCCAAATCTTATGTCAAATTCCAACTGTCAAGAATTCTTTTACGTACTCATAAACAAACCATTGGCAGGTGGAATTGGACGAAGGGAAGGTACAAACGTCATTGTTAGGACAAAACGTTAAACCAATTCCTATTAGTTGCCGTGATTTCATGGGTCAAAAAAAAAGAGATCAGATTGAAATTGAACATTCTTTTATATAATAGCATATTGAAAATGTTCACCAAGGCAGTGACATTGTGTCTAGATCACTGAAATTAACTGGATGTTTCATGGTGTATGGCCCATTTGGAATCTTATAAACAGCCTAAATGTTCATTAAAGATGAGCGGGGCCACAGCAGATCGTTTTAAATATCACCAGCGACGCTCTTCGTGTAAATGGCTTGGCAAAGACGATTGTAGGAAAAGAAATTAACTGTCCGTCAATATATGGTAAAAATATGGTGATTTCAATTTCCATTGTTTAAGCGCCATTGTTTCAACTTATTTGTCTTCGAGGGGATCACGTGGCTAAGTGGGTAAGACGCTAGCTCGCTAGCCTGGAGGTCGGGTGTTCGATCCCTGCATTGGCCGAGAAAGTTCATCCAGATTTTCCGGCGTGGTTCTCCCTTGTCAGTGATGCAGGGCGGAGGGGCTGACAAGGAAAGCTGTCTAGTCGTTCGGATGGGACGAAAAACCGAGGTCCCGTGTACACATTGGCGTGCACGTAAAAGATCCCTTGGCAGTTGGAATTCGATATAAGAGTAGGCCGTAGTGCCGCTGTCCGGGCAAAATTTCCCTCATAGCACACTGTATGGCGTATGCCCGTCTTCATTAGCCCAGGTTAGGAGCAGAAAAGTAGGACGTTAAACCCCATTTCATTTCATTTCATTTCTCATTTGTCTTCGAATATACCTCCAGCGATTCAATCGTTTGGCTTCACCACCAGTGTACAGATAGGATTTAAATATCCGACATATTATAGTGTACCTTTAAATTTGTGAAACCAATTAAATTTGTGTTGAATCCCCAGACTGGGCAGTTGCTAGTGATAAATATTTTAATAAATTTGATTACTTTTTAAAAAAAGACTCTTCAAAATCGGTTCATTTCGCAAGGACGAATAAAAGAAACGGGGTAAACGCCAATAAATGCTATAAATTTTCCGAAAAAAAGGGCATTCCCGTAATTCGTTCTAAAAATGAAAAGGACCTAAAAGCAGATGGGGTGGGGGGTGGGGATTAGAGGAAAACACCACTGCTCTGGGTAAACGGCATTCCTATTTTGTCCATAGAAAGAAAATCAGTCCAAATTTTGAATGAGGAGTGAGAATTGTAATCTGTAATGCCGTGCGACAACTTCAAAAGACATATTCCCGCGACAATTCCCTTATTAATAAATTTCTCTCCACTCCAGACCGAACTTAATAGGTCACAATAGAGAGGACTGTAGGGTATTCTTGTTATGGGGTCCCTTCCAATCCTCTACCCTCACCATCAAAATGTAAGAAAGGTTTGTGACATAGTGCCAAAAATATTATAATCTTACCCCCCTCAATTTTGAGACCCCTTGCTTCAGTCTGCCAAGCATATAGCCTAGGTAAATCCCATACATTATTTAACAAACCTGAGCAGAGCTAAAAATAATACAATAAGACATATCATGATAAAAATAAACAATCCGATACTAAAAAGCTTCCTCGTACCGTGTTTCATAATGTCAATAATAAAGAATGAAGCAATGAGAGAGAGAGAGAGAGAGAGATGGAGAGAGAGTTTAACCTCCACTCGACACAAACTAGCCCATTTCGGGCCCAACATATTCAATTTTATTTCAATAATTCGCTTGCGCGTAGGGGTCTTTAGCAGTGGGCGGAAACCGGAGGACCCGGAGAAACTTGGACGTTGGACAGGCGACCCAACTCCTTGTCACGTACAAGCGGGGAATCGAAATCACGCCATTTTATTGTACTCAATTTGATTGTCCGAATTTAATTAAGAACATAAAAACACAGTACATGTAGTTAACGTCAGTTAATCGAACGATTTTACTTATGCAACAGCTTTAGGTGGCGCCGGCTTGTTTAAATCGTTACTAAATTTGCATTTCTCTATATACAGTATTTATCATGTTCCTCAAGCAACGACTGTGAGTTTCACAACATGTACGAAGTTAAAGCGAGATCAAACCTTCTATTGAAGATGGGTATTTATAAACACTGAACGGCATTAAACATTTTTTGGACTTTATTCCTTAGGGGATTCCACCTTCACAGTATTGTTTACGAGGGATTTATTAATACCGTAAATGAAACCAGGCGAATAATTTAAATTTATATACTTTTTTTAATATAAATTTTTCTTACGGGCTACATAATTTATTTCTTTAATTCATCTAATGTACATTTCTAAAATAATAACTCGTTTCTTTCTACAATGACGTCATAAGGGCGAGAATCTCTGTTATAATAAATAAACCGGTAGTCGAACCGGACGTAAAACTTACATTCAGATCGCAATAAAAACGTGTTCCATTATCTGGCGAATAGGGGGTTAGATGGCTTGCTCTCTCTTAAATAAACCGGTAGTAGAGCCGGACGTAAACTATACATTCGAAGATCGCAATAAAAGACGGGTTCCATTATTTTATCTGGAATAACAGGACATTGCGGCTTTAACCTAGTTTTTAAAACAGAGATTATGAATAAATGTACGATTTGTTTGAATATCAGTTTCAGTCCAAGCATGTTTTAACATTTAACACGCAGTTAACTCGTGGATCAATGACTAATCGTATTAACGGCAATGACGTATACAAACTGTGTTTATATTTAGAACAGTGGGTGTTTATTATACAGTCACAGTGGCGACTGACGTGATATATTACACACTATACAAGTACACTGTATAGTCATACACATGGAAGTTTCAAGTTTATTTTTAGTTCATTAAAGATCCAGGGTGAGAATAACAGTAATACTTGGCACAATCAATATTACTTTTTAATTTTTAAAAGGGTCAGTTCATTCCAACTTAATTTATGGACAATAAAGTAACAATCATTCATTTATTTCGTACAAGCTCTTTATTCTGATGACTCAATTACATTAAAATAGTGGGGTTTGTTTTTGTTTTTTTTTTTTGTTTTTGTTTTTTTTTTTTGGGGGGGGGGGATGTACGTGGACGATGAGTTTGGTGTAACGTTAAATTATTTGTTTAAAAGTGGAAATAAGTCTAGGCTATCAAGCCCACACACAGTCTTCTATAATAATTATGGTTAATATACATATTTAATTTTAAAATTCTAAGAGTTTGGCCTAAGGTATTGGCGTGATTGTCGAGCTGCTCCCCTGGTTTGTCTCATGATAACATCAATTACTGCAAGCAAACGTTATTTTTATGGTAGCCAAGTAATTTAAGAAATATAGTGACAATAATATAGTATGTTTTACCCCCATGAAAAAATTGCTACCTTAAACAAAATCATTTTAATTTAAACAATTTCATTTATTTAAAGTATAGTAGAGAATATTCTGTCACAATAGCATACTAATGTCCAAAAGAAAGTATACACTGTGCATTTTGTGCTGCATCAACCAAAGTCGTTTTTCCATGGTATACGGTATTTGGGTAGAATGTCAATTTGTTTCACATTTTTATTTTGCTCAGAAATGTTGAGGTTGGACGCAAGAGACAAACTCAGTAATGCTTTATCAAATGTATTTAATCTAAACAAAACTTAGTCATACTTTTAGTGTGTATACTTTCTTTTGGACATCAGTATAGTTTGTTTGCTTGAATATCAACTGATAAAAGAGACATTAAAACGCTTAAGAAAATATACTTAATTATGTAATTAATAATATTTATCTTGACCTCGATGTTCATGGATAGAAAAGAATTATTCTTTAGTTCACTGGCGTTCAATGACAAAATCGATGACGTCATGGAATAAATAGAAAATAACGGAAACTTTCGATGGTCAAACCTCTCCTTTTGATCGATCTATTTAACAAATTTTAGATCAAAATCCTCGTTAATAAAATGACTTTTATGTATTGTATGAAAGTCTGTTTCTCCCTTTAATTAGTTTTGAACTTTGTGTCTTTAATACTGACAATAGTTATATCTTTATCTTTACAGGTGAAGTGCTCGCAGCACCAACACAAGCAGCTGTAAGAGATGCTAACACCGCATCCGCACCAACTATTACTAATACAGACGGCGAGCTCACTCAGTTTTCTGATAAAGTTGAATTAGAGGAAGATGAATACTCAGACGACGAATACTCAGACGACGAATTAACTGATGGTGATAATGAAGATGAGTTTGGTGATGAAGACGGTGAACTTACTCTAATTTATGATGAAGACGAATCAGAGGAAGATGAAGGTGAAGGTGACGATGACGATGATTATGAAGACGAGAATGACGACGGGGAAGATGAATCAGAGGAAGCTGAAAGAGAATCAGAGGAAGATGAATACGATTTGGATGGTGAAGATGTAGAAGAATCAGAAGAAGATGAAGGCGAATCAGTAGAAGATGAAGACGATATGGATGCTGAAGATGTAGGAGTATTAGATGGAGAGGCAGACGAATCAGAAGAAGATGAAGACGAATCAGAAGAAGATGAAGACGATATTGATGGTGAAGATGTAGGAGAATCAGAGGAAGATGGAGACGAATCGGAAGAAGATGAAGACGATATTGATGGTGAAGATGTAGGAGAATCAGATGAAGACGAATCAGAAGAAGATGAAGACGAATCAGAGGAAGATAAAGACGAATCAGAAGAAGATAAAACTGAAGACGAATCAGAAGAAGATGAAGACGAATCAGAGGAAGATGAAGACGAATCAGAGGAAGATGAAACTGAAGACGAATCAGATGAAAACTCAAACGAATCTGAAAACTCAGAGGGATCAGATGATAGCTCTGACGAATAGTTGGAGACAATGGTGATTATATATGTGTTGACGACCTATAGCTACGTAGTTAAGATAATGCTTAAAATGAAATAACTTAAGTTAAAAAAAATTAGTTATATAAAAATGATACCGAAGATTAGATAACTGATAAAATTGGTGACCCCGAATTTTCAATAGATCACACAGAACATGAACTAAATGATAAATGCACTGGGAATGGACCAGTAAAAAAATTAACTTAGCTAAAAATAATAATTTTCTGTTGTTCGAAGAATGCAAATGAATTGTTTTAATAAATGTTAGTCTCAATATTCAGGTTTTATATCAGCCATTATTTTTATATTTTATATTTTACATCTTTATGGTTGATTTTAAAAAAAAAAATAAATAAATGTCTGAGTGCGTTGTTATCATTTGACTTAACGTGTGCAAATTTGAATTGGAGGACTCAACGTGTGGGTGTACACTGTTGACTCAACTTATGGGTCAAGGTGCTCTGCGCCAGCATCAGCAGGGGAGGGTAGGGGAGACCCCCTGGGTTTTTTTCTGGTCATTCCCACAGGAGTGACCCTTGACAAGTGATGATTCTTCTCAACCCAGAGTCGGATTAAGACCTTTAGTGGCCCTAAGCACTGATAAGATTATTAAATTGCCCCTATATGTAAATGAAATGGAGTTTAACTCCTACGGGTCTAATGAAGACAGGCATATGCCATACAGAGTGCTAATGGCCTACTCTTATATCGATTTCCAACTGCCAAGGGATCTTTTACGCGTACGCCAATGTATACACGGGTTCTCGGTTTTTAGTCCCATTCATCAATGGGTTTGAAATTAAATGGGGTTTAACGTCCTACTCCGACTGGGCTAATGAAGATGGGTATACGCTATATAATGTGCTATGAGGAGAATTTTGCCCAGGCAGCGGCTATATGGCCTACTCTTTTAAATCAAATTCCAACTGCCAGCGGATCTTTTAAATGCACACCAATTTGTTCATGGGATCTGTTTTTTGTCCCATCTGAATGACTAGACAGCTGTACTTTTTCGAGCCCTTCATCCTTCACCACTGACAAGGGGAAATCATGCCGGAAAGGCTTGATGATCTTTTAAGGCCAACACTGGGACTGAACCAACAACTTCCAGGCTAGTAGGCCAGCATCTTACTCACTTAGCCACCTTGGCTCCCCTCATCAATGGAATACTAAATGAAGACGACCACTGCATCTACATGTGGTCAAATTCTGGTGGAGAACACTGGTGGACCTTGTTTTTATCCCTAACCTAACTAGGAACACTTTTACCATGACCAGGCTCTCCTAGTACTACACCACTCAGCGGCATACTCACTGAGCCTCTGTGATTCTTAGAAAGTGGGTGATTTCGAGACTAAGAAATTTGAAATCTTTATTTCAATAATTCGTTGGCACCCAAGCATAAACTTGAGAAGTTAGGTAACCGACCCCACTATTTGATGTGCACAAGGGTGGGTGTGTGAGAGAGAGAGAGAGAGAGAGAGAGAGAAGAGAGAGAGAGATGGAGAGAGAGAGAGAGAGAGAGAGAGAGAGAGAGGAGAGAAAGAGATGGAGAGAGAGAGAGAGAGAGAGAGAGATGAGTTTAACTCTACTCATAATCTACTCATAAACTAGGTCATTTCAGGACTAACGCATGGTTCAATTTTATTTCAATAATTCGCTTGCGTTTAGGGGTCTTTAGCAGTGGGAGGAAACCAGAGGACCCGGAGAAAACCCATGAGGTTGGACAGGCAACTCTACTCCTCGTCACGTACAACCGGAGATTCGAAACCACGCCAGTTGACTCAATGACAGACGTTATGATACAGCGCGCTGGTGCTAACCATTCGGCCTTCCAACCCCCCTCTAAACATAGACAAATTAGTCCTACTAACCAGATTCACATAACACAAGATACAGCTAACAATGTTTTACCTTTTTTAATCTTCATCTTTGATTTAGAGTGTGATATAAATATGTTTGATGTACAATGATTATAATATACAATTAAAATATAAATAATATTTTATAAATAATAGATAGATAAAATAGATAACACAGCAGTGTCGTCGTGGATGGAATATTTAATCACATACTCAACTGTACACTAATAATAACACATCCATGAACGATTTTCAAAACAAAATTAAACATAAATTTTAAAATATTGGAATTTCAATATCACAGTAATGCTGATTAAAATACAGATGTGACGTCATCCTTTGATGTTGGCGTACCATTATTTCAAATAATCGTACAGGCAACTTGTCAATCGTACATTATCTATACTATATGTAATATTGGACTCGTGTGACGTATTTCATTGGAAAGCACGTGTGGGATAGTGTCTGTATTTTAAGTTGTTTAATGGTCTTGAGCTAAAGACATTGCGTAATATATTGAAACAACACTCGGCTAATGCCTCATGCAGTATCAATATATTACTTAATGTCTCGCTCTCAACCATAAAACCATACATCAACTTCATGTTGCTATGGATACAGATTAGGTTTTTATTTAAAGATTGGGAATTTGATTTGTTGGGGTTTGTGGTAAGGGGGGTTGGGCAGGGGGTAATATATGTCCTCCCTTTCTAGATAATAACATAATTTCATCTTTAAGGGCCTCGATTTCTTGAGCTTGTAGCTGAACTAACTGTATTAATCGACTCTTTTCATGAATATCTGCTTTACGCTGTCCAGAATATTCTTCACCCTGAAAAATAACATAGTTTTTATGTTTATAACTGAAATACATTGATAACTTCCATCATTTGGAGAATAAATCTTCAGAACTGTAAAAATAGTTGTGATTTGTGAGGGCAGTGGAATTACAGTTGATTAAGGATAAAAAACTCCACAATGGTGATGGCAGTCCAAGTCCAGTCTACTAAGAACAGAAAAGTCCACAATTGTCAGTGGAAGACCAGTCTATCAAGTACAGAAAAGTCCATAATTGTCAGTGAAAGTCAAGTTTATCAAGTACAGAAAAGTCCATGATTGTGATGTCACATGAGTTCCAGTCTATTAAATAGAGAAAAGACAGAAGAGACGTGATAATAATAAACAACAGAAGAGACGTGATAATAATAAGACAACAGAAGAGACGTGATATTAATAAGACAACAGAAGAGACGTGATAATAATAAGACAACAGAAGAGACGTGATAATAATAAACAACAGAAGAGACGTGATATTAATAAGACAACAGAGTACCATACTGGGTTGTGTAAGCTTCCTCATTTGTTTCTCATATTTTAAAAAAGGAAAAAATTCTGATTTTTATACATCTAATTAATCCAAGCAATCTGATTATAATACAGATCTATATTTTGTTTCGTTTTTTTATACTTTCAATGGCCTACACTACATAAAGATCTGACCAGTTATAGCGATAGGTCACGTCAGAGGTCATACAAGCGGCTTTTGACCCTATGATGTCAGACATTAATTAATCGATCAGCGTTGACGTTTCTAGTAGTATACCCACAGTTCCGTGCATCGCACGCCAAGAATATGTGGTAACAGACCGTTTCATTGGCTTATCCCTCACTTCAGCCAAAACGCCGGTAATATAACAACTCTTCCAGATCCTTGTGTAGTAAAGACAAGTAAAACAAAATTTTGAACTATAAAAAACGAAAAAGGATCTGTGTTTTCATCAGATTGTAATTCATGAGGACCAAAAGAAATTACAATAGTAAAGGTGATAAATTCGGAAATGTGTGTTGTTATTTTTTAAATACGAACCCACAACCCAAGCACCTGTGACACATATTTAAATATCTTCAGTTGTATCACTATGTTAACATCATTCTCCCTTCCATGGAAATAAAATAATTCTTACCAGATTTTTCTGTCTTGAGTCTAGTGAATTTTCTAAATCTTTTTTCTCTGTTGAGAACATACACAGTTGTTCTAATCTCTGCGTATTATCTTTTATTAATTCTGTTATACGCACCTTCTTCTCACTAACAATTTGCTGAAAATAAACAATAATTTATAGTGTTGAAATACTAAAACCACTGATTGTAAAATAGATTCAATTAAATTATGCTAAAAACATCCGTTACACAAACTAGTTCATTTCGGGACTAACATAGTTCAATTTTATTTCAATAATTCACTTGCACGTGGGGGTCTTTAGCAGTAGGAGGAAAGCGGGGGACCCAGGGGAAAACCCACAAGGTTGGGCAGGCCAGTTGACTCAATGACAGATCTTATGATATAACATGCATGCACTAACCATTCAGCCATCACCCCAACCTATAATAACAGTACATGTACATAAACAGATTGTCAAATAGTGGCTGACAGTTTTTAATAATGGACTTACTTAATTTGATGAAGGGAGGGGGGGGGGGGAGATTATTTTAATTATTCAAAACTTACGGATAATTCACTGACTTCCTCTGAACATTGGATTTCTGCCACTCGTAATTTTTCCTTCATTTCTTCGATACCACGATTAACAACAACAGTCTCTAGTTTTTCTAAATCAACAATACAACCAAACTTAGCTATCATCATTTCATTACATTTCTCATTCATTTCACTAATTTTCTTCTCAAATTCTTTTCTGTATTTCTTCAACTGGGAATGTTTCTTTTGTGCTTCTCTGTAAAATAATAAAATAAAACCAATTCAAAATAAATGTATGTAACATAACATAAAGCAGCGTGTTCAGAGATTCATGAATTTCTGTTGCTTAGAGATGTTCTTAATCACTTTTAAAGGGAAATGATGGTCAAAACTTGAGGAAGAGGGGTTGGATGGCCGAATGGTTAGCACATGTGTGCTGTATCATAAGGTCTGTCATTGAGTCAAATAATTCAATTAACTCAATGACAAACCTTATGATACAGCGCGCACATGCTAACCATTCGGACATCCAACCCCCGCATCGGGCAGTTCTGATTTCCTCTGAATCATATACTTAGACAAAAGAAAAATATTTGAATATATGTAAAAATAATTTTTCATCTACTTATATTATTAGCAATCTGAACAATATTTCACAAAATTAAAAATAATTGTTCAAAGATGTTGCTTATTTTTGAAAAAAAACCCCAAAAAAACAAACCCACCTCATTTGTTTTTTCTGTAAATGTTTTTCTTGTTCAAGTTCTTTAATTCTATGTTGTAATTTCTCTACGCCACTCGATTCAAACACCAGACATTTCGAGAGATCTTGTGGTAGAGCACTGTTTATAAAATATTGTATTTGATGTAAACGTAACGTAACAACGACATCCAGCTCATTTAACTTCTGTTGTTTCTCCAGCTAGAAATAAAAAACAATGGTTTAAATACGTGACTTGTTAATTACCTCTGGATATGGAGTTACTGTACAGTGCAGCAGTTGACAATTATCACAGGTCCCCCTGATCCATTCGTTTGATTTGATATTTGTAGTTCTTTGCTTACAATGTCCGTGTTGTTTGTATCTTGTCCGCAGGTTTGTCTTGTCGGTCCTGTATCCGTTTAGTGTGGTCCCGCAGCACTAACTATGTACAGTATTTACTTGTGCAAAATTTAATGAAATTATCCATATTTAGATAATTTTGGTATGAGAGCTAGGAGAGAATTATCAACTTTACAGATGTTGAAATTAACCTATAATAGGGTTACCAGATTGGAAAAAACTGAAGAAGAAGGGAGGGGGGGGGGGAGAGAGAGAGAGAGAGTTTAATGTCCACTCGAAACAAACTATGTCATTTTGGGACTAACATTTGTTTCAATTTTATTTCAATCATTTGCATGCGCGTAGGGGTCTTTAGAAGTGGGAGGAAACCGAAGGACCCGGGGAAAACTCACGAGGTTGGACAGGCGACACTACTCCTTGTCATGTACAACCGGGAAATCCAAACCCTGCCAGTTGATTCAATGACAGACCTTATGATACAACGTGCACGTGCCAACCATTCAGCCATCCCCACCCCACATAGATCAGATAAGATTTGGACAATAAACAAAGGAATAATGATCTTTAACGATTTATTTTTTCCATTAATTTACCTGGAAAGCTTCAAGATCACCCTGTGCATAGTTTAATGATGAATCAATAACTTTAGCTTTCTTCTGTAAACCTTCCAATTCTTTCTTCATGGCTTCACTGTTTTTCTTTTCTTCTGTTAATTCATCTTCATTTTCAAGTCGTTTTTCACGGATTTGACATGTTTTGTCGTATATTGCCTGAACAAGAAATGAAATCATTGTGAAGTTCAAGGAAAACATCATCCACAAATTTGTACACATCAAGTTATAAAATAAACATAGTCAGGTGTGTACTATTTCAAGATATAATTTTCTTCAAATGGATCTTGGATTTTAATATTTTAATAGGTGTGTATATATTTCAAGATATAATTTTCTTCAATTGGATCTGGGATTTTATTATTTGATTTGTGTGGGGTGTGACTATTTTTCAAGGTAGCTTTATTTCATTGTTTCAGACAATTAGAATATAGAAATTGAATATATGATTAATACACTATGATTTTTTATCTTTGATTGACTTATTTATTGACAACCTTAACGTATCCAGAAATAAGATCTTCAGATATAAGCTGGCTAGGCACATGCTTCTTACCACGACCATGATATTTTACTGTCGTTTGAAGAAACATTTGCCTTAAACACAAGATTATACATTTGTCCTTAGAACACCCCCTAATATATACCTTGAAATCCTTATACAGCATTTAGTAACTGAACATATAATATAAAACACAAATTTATATGGAAAACAATCACTGGGTTTATTTCACAAGTAATTACTTGAGAATGACAAGAATAATTTGTTGAAACGTAGTGTGAAATAAACCCAGTGATTGTTCTCCATATAAATTTGTGTTTTATATCATAAATAATATATACCTTTACAACAGAAAATATGGTATTCTAAAATTATATGATATAACCACAATACCACCAAATTATTAACTTGTGATCCTTGTCAAATAACATACAAGCACAACATTTCTTTTCGCTATATGAAGTTCTCAAATGAGAAAAGATATCGGGCATTCTAGAAAGAGCATACCATGTCTTAGTAAAGACACAGGACAGTTCTTACCGTTAACTGTAATCATGTTTTGAATTCGAAACTTGGCTTTGAAACTTCCATTTTGAGATGTGAGTGTGCAGTAATAAAAATCATGAGCATTCAACTTAATTTTATAGATCTTTTATGGTACTGTATGAAATTATAAATAATTAATCTACATTTATACAACCTTATAGACCTTAAATATTAAAAATAATTATAAACTATTATATTACCAATTCACAACCAGGTGGACAGACATCTAGATCATAACCTCCTGCTTCCGATTCAGATTCTCCATCACTCTCTTCCCAATCTGATTCATCATCCGAATCTTCATCACTATCTTCATCTGATACTAAAATTTAACATCAAAACATATTTAGCATTGTGAACTTGGTTTGAAAAATCACTGGGAATTGAGCTTCGGACATTCTCAGCTAAACATACATTATGCAAGAGCTAAATCTGCCTATCGCAGGTCTTTCTCTAAATTTAGAGTCTGAAATGTTATCTAAATTAGACATTAATTAACTTATCCAGACCATAATCAACTCTCGATGGCATCGATTACTCAAGATTTTAACAAGATTAGAACGGTTTGTCATTTAAAAATTTAATTTAAATTTGGGAAAGCGAGGCTAAGTGGTGAATATGCCAGTGCCCTGGTTACCACAATTCACACATCTTGTCAAAACTACATGATGAAGTAATCTGAACAAAATTTTCAATATTTTCATTTTACATTATTTATTTTTGAGCTATTAATAGGAAGAATGGTCAGCTATTTATCTAAATCCTACATAATGTATCTTTAAGTTCAGTACCCTAACAGCATGACTACTGCTGTTTGGTTAAAAATACATGTAAAGACCATGTTCAGAATAAAATATTTCATTCTTGTGTAAGAGACAAGCTTCCAATCCAACATAGAAAAAAGATTTGTCAACAGTAACCAAGATTTAGTCATATTACTTTGGCAATATAATTATTGTTTAAGCAGCCTTTAGTAACTGGATGAGAACACAATTATATGGAATACAAGTTACATGAAGGATTTATTTCTGGCGAAGTTTCTATGAGGGTTCTCTTGTCTATATCATCAAATCACCCAGTTTGTACGCAGGAAAGTATCTTTAACCCATATTAAACCATATATTTCCTGGGATTCCTGGAAATCTTTATGATGAAATTTGTACCAGACGCCTCCTGATTCTTACCTGCTCCATCGGCTAACTTCTTTTTGCTTCTCTTGATTTTCTTTTTGAAAACTTTGGTCAGGTAATCCACAAATTTATTGTTTTCACCGAGAGAGTTGAGGAAATCAGCATGAATTTTCTTTTCTTTATCAACTAATTTCTCAATATCTTTTTTCTTATTTTCTAATTTAGCTTGTACTTCCATTATCTACAAATAGTAAACATTGATAACTACGGTTGCTATTATTTGATTCCTGTTTTAAACAGTTGATTTAATCTTCGTAAATATCTAACTACTGCTTCATTAATTCTTTGTGCTTAGTTAAAAACATTCTTGACCAGAAAGGCAAGAGAGAGAGAGAGAAAGATTTGAAGGTATATTAAGGTTTAATGTTATATATACTTTTGAGACTGGTGTATAAAGGTAACCAATACCCTTTCTCTATTGTAAATTGTATGCTGGGAGCTGAGTTTTAACCAAACTACAGAGTTTCTGACTACTTTACATTCATGCTCCAAACTACCAAAGTCTATTGGCAGTTTCTGACTACTTTACATTCATGCTCCAAACTACCAAAGACTATAATTGGCAGTTTCATGTCATACACTGGACCCAAGTAAAATACAATTTGATGTGAAAATAAAACCCAATTTGTTTTATAAAATCTACCTTTGTCTGCATGTCTAATTTTTCTTGTTGTTTATTCGATACTTTATCAGCTAAAAGTTCTTCCCGTTTCTCGTATTCTTTCAATAAAACAAATTCTTCAAATAATGTCACTTGTCTGAAAATAGATATTATAATAATCAAACTGATATCAAATAAATATTATAATAATCAGAATGGTATCACAGGACTTAAAATACAAATTTACATTACATTTACATTTACATTCTACATAAATCAAATTTTAAATATTACTCTTTATTTTCATTCTGAAGTTGTTGGTGTAGAAATATGTAAATTCAATAAAAAAAATTAAAAAAATATGAACACACTGAGAGAGATGAGGTTTAACGTCCACTCAACACAAACTATAGGTCTTTTTGGGACTAACATAGGGTTCAATTTTATTTCAATAATTCGCTTGCGCGTGGGTGTTTTTTGGGGGAAACCAGAGGACCTGGAGAAAACCAACGAGGTTGGACAGGCGACCCTACTCCTTGTCATGTACAGCTGGGGCATCCAAATCACGCCAGTTGACTCATTAACAGATATACTTTGTTTTGTTGAACATGATCAGAAATATAAGAAATATTATTAAAGATTGAAATATATGATTGATTTATAACTAATGAAATAAAGTGGTTTCATTTATTACTGAGAGATGATAAAGTCACAAACCTTAAATCAGCGTTTTTCATGAGAATATCCATCTTGAATTTATCATGTCTCAGTATACGTAATTCAGCATCAAATGTTTTCAATAATTCATCAATTCTCTTTAGTAATCTGTCTTGTTCATAAACAAGTCTACAACAAAAAACAATGAAATTCAGTTATAATATTGAATTGAAGGGAAGGAAACAAAAGAAATTCTTACAAGTTTAGTTAAAGTGGATTTAAAAGACGTTTGATAATTGGTAAAATAGTTTGTGTTTTCCTGTAAATTGACTATATAGTTACATCTCTATAGAGGTAAATCGAACCTGTTCAAGTCAGATTGTATGTGAAACTCGTCAATTCATCACAATATGCTTTACTTTAATGTTTAAACATTAGGTTAATAAAGGTCTATTTTGAACATGACATTATATTAAATCAGTTGCTCAAAGTAATAATGTATCCTTAACTTTTTTTTTAAAAAAATTAGACACCAAAAATTGTTGTTTTTATAATAATGGCTAGGGTAAAATTAGGGCAAAAGAAGAAATAATCAACTAGCTTGAATGGTCAAACCTATTTCGACATCTATAAAACAATATTGAAGCAAAAACGTGACCTTTGACCTACCTAATTTCTTCAACTTGTTGGAGTTGTAATTCTAAAGGTGATGGTTCAACTGTTTCGGTCATTATTATTTCTTTATCATGAACTATTTGATGGGAACTGGATTCTGTTTTACTTATACCACTCATTAATGAAGATTTCTGACCAATGAGAGGGGGTGATGGTGTATGATTCTGAAAAAACAAAAATTTCAATTATAGTAGAGCGAGAAATAACGTTTAACACGCCTCACGAGAGGAGGGTGCAGCCAGTGCACCACCAGATGGCCCATAACGTTTAACACGCCTCACGAGAGGAGGGTGCAGCCAGTGCACCACCAGATGGCCCATAACGTTTAACACGCCTCACGAGAGGAGGGTGCAGCCAGTGCACCACCAGATGGCCCATAACGTTTAACACGCCTCACGAGAGGAGGGTGCAGCCAGTGCACCACCAGAGTCTATGGGGGACATGAATATCAAGGTTCAAAATTGAAATGGGCAATTATGCATGAATTTTTTATTGTTTTTTGAAGCTTATATAAGTAAGTACAGAAGTTTTCACTTTATCGCAATCTGCTAGTGAATCATCTAGATATGACTAGTGTTGGAAAGGAGGGGGACGGGAGACAAAAAAGGTCTCGCCCCAGCACATTTTTTTCCTCTCAAGGGCCCTGAGGTTTAATGTCTACTCGATTCTAACTAGCTACAGTTATTATAGAGAAACATGGATTAATTGTTGCACTAAATCAAATTTTGGTAGGCATCATCCTCGTACAGCTGAACATCCAAAACAATTTTCAAAACAAAACCGATGAGACAGCATGGATGACAATATACAACCACAACATTTTTCTAAGCAAATAAATGTAATAATCATTTTCATTAATAAAACCAGCCTCCACCCCTCTACAAAAAAAACACACCACAAACCATCCAAATCAATATTTTTGTATCACTTAATTAAATCTATGAAAGCCATTCAGTAAATTCTATTTATAACGTAGTTAGTTAATTGGCATGGTTTTGATTCCCCAGTAGTACGTGACAAGGAGTAGGGTCGCCTGTCCAACCTCATGGCGTTTCTCTGGGTCCTCCGGTTTCCTCCCACTGCGGAAGACCCCTACGCGCAAGTGAATTATTGAAATAAAATTGAACCATGTGTTAGTCCCAAAATGACATAGTTTGTTTCGAGTGGACATTAAACTCTCTCTCTCTCTCGCTCTCTCTCTCCCCACCCCCCCTTCTTCAGTTTTTTCCAATCTGGTAACCCTAGTAATATCCATACCTTATCTCCTCCCATACCACCAAATCCACCACCAAAACCAGATGATTCACCACCACCAGTTTTTTTTTGTAAATCATCACGTTCCTTTTCTTTCTTGAACTTTAATAATGTCTCTCTTGTATATTCTAGTTTTCTGTTGAATAAAATACAAAAAAAAATACAAGACTGTCTTGACACTCAAATATTGATGACATCATAGACATATGACATCATAGACGTATGACATCACAGATAAATGATGTCACAGTGCATTCAGGGGGAAGCATTGAATTTTTTTTTTTCAAGGAGGTAATGTTTTACTTTTATAACAATTTGAATGAATTGGAAATCTTTAGGGATGTAAACCTCTAAAACCTTGGCCTTATAATCATGTGTCAAGGTTGTGGGTTCAGGGATTAGGGTCGACAGGATTATCTTAATGGAAGACAGAGAGCTTTAATAGAGGGTATTCTACATGAAATTTTCAATATAAGGAAAGACATTCCATCACAAATGAAATTTCATTTATAATATTTAGTTGTTGATAGGAATTCTTAAATAGGGATTAGCGCTTTGAAAGATCTTTGTATGTCGTTAAATAGCTTTTGTTTTGTCGTAACTAGAGTTACATCAGTTACATTGTATTCGAGATATTTGTCAATTGATCAAGTGAAGCTTTGTCATGGCTTAATTGTATAATTACTTGATTCATTTATTTTTTTAAAGTTTATTTGATTATTTTGCCGTAAATGACACAGGTTTCCATGCATTAATTGAACAAACATTTGTATTTTAATGCTAATGTTTCAAATGTGACAAACTAGAAATAATTTACGATATTACCATATCAAAATCAAAATTTTCAGGTCTGAAAAAGTATTCTTGTCAATAATGGATGTAAATTATATCATTGTTTCTCTCAATTTTATGATTTGACAAAAAACAAGATAGAAATGAAATGGGGTTTAACGTCCTACTGTTCTGCTCCAAATGAGCTAATGAAGACAGACATACGCCATACAGTGTGCTATGAGGGAAATTTTGCCAGGACAGTGGCACTAAGGCCTACTTTTATATCAAATTCCAACTGACAAGGGGAATCACGCCGGAAAATCCCGATGAACTTTCTCGGACAATGCAGGAATCGAACATGCGACCTCCAGGCTAGCAAGCAAGCGTCTTACCCACTTAGCCACCATGGCCCCTTATCAAGATACTATCCACTATCTATACTTACTTTTCAGGTTGTTCTACATCCTGCATGTGTGGTATCGGAGGTATAGGTCTTTGTTTGCTACTATCTAATCTATTGTGAATATCTTCTAACTGTACAGTTAAATCACTTATTTCTTCAATAGTTCGTATTTTTTTATCTCTCAAAGCTAATAACTGAACGTTGAAGTCGTATCTGTATTCATGGATCTATAAATATAACAATTTTACAAATGATGACAATGAATAATAATTGTAAAGTTTATTTATCTCAGCATTTTACTAAATAAAGGCGATAAACTAAATATTCTGGTTCCTAAAAATCTGATGTTGAACGACGGTTTTTATTTTTGTGTTTATATTTTGTGAAAGGATGACTACTGGGCTAAATGATTTCTCATAAACATCAAGGTTCAAGGTTCAACATTTCTTTCATCGTGGAATGTATGATTATCCAGTATCATTTACAAATGTCAATAGCATTTATCAGGAATGCACATTTCCGGACTCGTTCTATTTTTTTTTTTTTTATACCGACAGTTACTTCCTAGGTAACCCTGGGAAAACATTTTCATGCAGTAATTAATAAGATTGTTTTTATTCTTATGAAAAACAAAAGTGTTATGTAGCTGAATATTCTAGCATGTTAGCTATTTTATTTTATCGTGTTAATTGTTCAATCTAGAATTAATCAGCCGTTATTTCAAATTCTTACTTTTTTTTTTTTCTTATTAAAAGTTGAATACATGTAAGTATTAAATTTATAATAATTTTGTGTATTTCTTAAAATGAAAAACGAACAAGATTCTGACAAAATAAAAACAAAAAACTCCTTCCCGCATCATTTTTTTTAAAAGGATTGTCTGGGAACCACATTATTTATTTATAAGCAGGATAGGATTTACAAAGAGTTCAAATATTACAAACATCTTGATATTCATTACCAGTGGATGATGCATGACATGTGAGTCATCATTCTGAAATGTACTAACATTATGGAATGACACATGGATCATAATTATCTTACCATATAATCATATAGAATTAGAATGGACTGTATGTATAGAAATCATAGCCTGTACAGAATTAACATGTCAAGAGATTTTTAAACTTTTCAACAAAAACTAAATAATTCAGAAACATTTGGCCCCCGTTTCACAAAACATTCTCAGACTTCAGTTAAGAATTTATTTAAAATTGTTTTTTTTATTTTAACTAAACTTTAGCCCTTTAAGAATTTATTTAAAATTGTTTTTTTTATTTTAACTAAACTTTAGCCCTTTATAAAACTTTTGTTGTTTATATACATCAAATACTTCAATAAGAAACTATAATGTCCTTGTTTAAAGTAAGATTCCCCCATATTCTCCGTTAATTCCACTTACCAAATCTTTTAATACCAGCAATCTACCGCGAGCTTTTTCCACGTTCATTCTAAGATGATCAGGAACAACGTAATCTTTCGCCGTTTTTAATTTATAATCTCCCATATTCTGTTGAGCATGTTTTATTTTAGCCACGTCTGCTGGATCCTCGTAATCATCAGCTGGTTTAGTTTCATATAATTCGGACCACTGTAGGAAATAAAAATATAAAATATTTATCATCGGTAGGTTTAGTTTCTTATAATTCTGACCACTTTAGCAAATAAAAATATAAAATATTTACGTAATTGTGCTTTTAAATAGAGGGGGGTTGGATGGCGGAATGGTAAGCGCATGGGTTAGGGTTAGGTATCAGCTGACATGGTTTCGATTCCCCGGGTGTACGTGACAAGTAGGGTCGCCTGTCCAACCTCATGGGTTTTCTACGGGTCCTTCGGTTTCCTGCTGCTGCTAAAGACCCCCACGAACAAGCAAATTATTGAAATAAAATTGAACTGTGTGTTAGTTCCAAAATGACCCAGATTGTGTCGAGTGGACGTTAAACCTCTCTCTCTCCCTTTAAAATAGTCTGAATAATTGCATACATTCATGCATTGTGTTTATATATTCTCACATTAAAATAAAAAAAGTATGAAGAGACCATAAATTAAAATGCATCACTGCTACTAAATTGAGTAAATCTGAAAATCCAAAACTTAAGCAACTTTCAAATTACAGCTGAAGACTCACTTATTTTAAGAATGCTATGAGAATTAAACTTTCTGTTCACTGCTTATATAACTATTTTCTCATTGCGCTTTGAGCATGCTTTTGGATTGGATTTAGCGCTCTACAAATGTAAATATTATTATTATCATTACCTGTGATCTACGAGCTGCTCTTTTCTTTTTTTTTTCCTCGACTTTTTGTAAGGCTTTTGTGACACGTTCGCCCATACTACCTTTTAATGTTGTTGTAACTTTAGCTCCTTTATCATCATCAGATTTCTCTCCCATAGTTACAGAACTTTCCGTCATTCTGGATTGTCCTGAATTTAAAGAAGCAAAAGTCTTAAAATATGCATTATTCTTCATAAAAACAATTAGGGGCCCATGATGGTTGGAGCAAGGGAACTAGCCACTCAACCAGAATTCATGGGTTGAGTCCTGTTTTGACCTGTTAGCAAGACTGACAAGGAACGATGTGCCTAATCATTCGGATGGTATGAGGTGCACACATGAACACATTGGCTTGCACGCAAAAGCCTCTTAGCAGTTGGAATTCGATGGCAAGAGAGAAATGGGGGTTAACATCCACACGACACAAACTAGGTCATTTCGAGACCAACATATGGGTTCAATTTTATTTCAATAATTCCCTTGCGCGTAGGGGTCTTTAGCAATGGGAGGAAACTGATGGACCAGAAGAAAACCCACGAGGGTGAACAGGAGACCCTACTCCTTGTCACATACAACCGGGGAAGGAATTTGATGGATAGAAGCTGTTCGAACAATATTTGACTGATTTTCCTCGTCAGCATCCTTTAGTCACTACCCCCAATATCAAGGATCTCAGTCTCTGATCTAGCATTAATAAAAAACGAGCAGTAATTTTTTGTTTATAACAATATTTATCAATTACCTGCTAATAAATCTCTGGTGGGATCACGCGTAAACTCATCACGAGTTATATACATCGTCCTCCGTCTCTCAAAATTAGCCTTCATTTTATAGAAATCCTCCGACAGTTTGGCAGCACGGAAACTTGAAACTTCATGTGGTGTTAAAAAGCATTTCAATATAATTTTTTCACATTCCACTGCATTTTTAAACCTAGAAAATTAAAAATTTAAAATTAAAATATTTTTTGGCATGCATGAATATTCTTTTAATTTTATAATTATAATTTTATAATCAAAATATTTTGATTTCATGTGTATTGAAAAATTATTAGAAAGCCAATACTCATTTTCCATATTGAATAGATATGGATAGAAATATCATTCAGGTGACGGCAAATGATTTTAGTAAAAATCTAAATCGCGTCCGGATATCTACAGACAGTAACAGGATAGACAGTCTTCAACTAACCAGCGGATGCCAGGCAACATACGCCCACATATAGCAGTTTTTAAAATTTTGACCTCAAGATTTGAATCATTTTTGTACCAACAGGCTTTTTATTATTATAGTCGGAAAGTCTACCGCTTTATTTTGCCTGGAATGTTGTGACTATTTTTTTGTTTAAATCCATATTTTCTGTAAGTTAATCAAGAGAATGTGAATTACCTTTTGCGTAATTTATCTAATGCTACTCGATGTTTCTCTGATTCCCATGCCATTTCTTTTCTAACTGTTTCTATCTTTTCCTCGGTCTGTCGTTCTAATTCTAATTTAATTTCTCGATCCATTTCAAATTCCTACAACACAAATATACATGGCATTAAAACGAATGAATGAAATGTGGTGTAATGGTACATCAGTTCCAACTGGGCTATATTACGCCAGCATTAAAACATTAGCTTCAATGATAATTTTGTTTCTCTGTCATCCTTTTGTTGCGATTGTGTGGGTCCGGAATGTTACAAAATGACCGACACAGAATAAAGTTTTGTAAAACCGAATGCGATTGAGTTAATATTGTATGCTTCATCTGTGGTCTTATTGAGGTTGTGTGCATTAGTCCTAGTTTATTGCCACAAATACTTGTATTTAGTCAATTGGCTTTCAAGGTAGGAAAAATGAATTTTAGAATACATACTCAAATTGATTATTTAACATTTAATTAAGAAAACAAAACAAAAATATCACTCCGCAGTTGATATTCTCCAGGCTTGGATTCAATCAGATTAAAGAGGCCCATCAAAAGATTGGACATCCAACAATTATAAATGATGTTAGTTTGTTTATATCCTCCACAGATGTTAAACCCCATTTCATCTGCATGCTGTGATATTTTTAATTCATCATATCTTTGTAGATAGGTACCGAACAGAACTGAACCATTTTGGGCCTGATACTACTTTTAGTGATTCAATTTTCATAATATTGTTTTAGTTTGCAACAGATTCAAAATCCCTAAAATGAGTATGAGGGCTTTAAATATTTCCAAAGTGTACATCTAAGAATTCGCCACAAAAATTCTACCCTATTTTACAAATTTCTTTGAATCAACCATTTCAACAAGAATGTTGGAACCCTATATAAGAGTGATGTATCAGATATATAAACACTCACCATTCTATTTAACTGTAAGTCTTTAGGCAAATCTTCATTCTGTTCTAAAATAGATTTAAACTGACGTCGTAACTTGGCAATATTTCTTCTAACATCACGTTTCTTCTCCTCGGCTTGTTTCATTAATTTATCATATTCTGCTTTCTGTTTCGCATCTTCAATACTATAATGATAACCCAGAATAAACATTACAGTGGATTGAGTTTTATTAAAATTAAAAAACATGAACTTAGCCCCCGGATCCATTCACTTAATCTGATATGTACATTTGTTTGTAATTTCTGCGTATTGTGTCGTGTCCGTATTTTTTATTTTGTGTAATTGTGTGTGACGCAGTCCCCCCGGCACTTACTAATATAATATTTTAAAATATTAATTCGGTCATCTGCACAAAAAAATTTGTACATACACTAATCAGTATATTAAATAAACTAAAAATATTTTACAAATTAAATTCTTTAAAGCAACGGCTATAACAAAGATTGTGAATATATATAAGGCTCTGGCTTGTTTTCAAATCCCATAAAAATATAAAATATTATAATATGTAAATAAATATTTATTGAATAAATAATGTTAGAAACAAAAATAGATACATATAAGATTTTATAATAGAAACTATAGTTAAAGAGGTGATAATGCTTGTTACTATGGTTACAGGAATAATATAATGTTAATAGTACCTGTATGCATTAGGATCATCAATATCATCAATAGGTTCTTCTCTATCATCCTCTTTCTAAAATATAAATATGGGTGGATATATCATTAAAATTAAAATATCTGTATTCTATTCACAGTTTCATTTTTCTATTTTAAATGTTATAACAATAATAATAATTCTATAGGGCTGAACATTCAGTCAGTCTGACTGCTCTGTAGGTTGTTTTTGTTTTTTTAACGAGAGATAAACTATGTTTTTGTTTACGACCAATAAAGATTTTCCTTATTTAAATTTAACAAAAACAAAAGAGTGAAAAGCATGTAATTAATGAAATGAATACAGAATAAACCTAGGTTAGATACTATCTTGACCTTGATGTTCATGGATAAAAATTAGTTATCATTTTTCAGACTGCTACAGAAACTTTTTCCAGAAATAAATAAAAAGTTATGTGACCTTAAGATGTCCACAAAGCATTGATCATTTTAATAATTTCTGAACCCATGTGCTTTCTGATAAAACTATTTTCTATTGTGTATGGTCTGGAAATCTATATCTAGTGTTTATTCTAGAACAGGCCAGTCGTAACAGAACAGTAGGACATCAAACCCCATTTCATTTAATTTATTCTATAACATTTGGGGCTTAAAGAAACATAAATTTCTGATATCTAATTTTTGCCTCTTTGTTAAATTCAGTTAATAATTAGGGCAAGTATTTAGATGCATGTATCTAACTTTTATATATAACTGTTTGACTTACCCTAGCTGATGGAATCTTGGCTTTATTTTCAGCAATTTTCTCATCTAACTTTTGCTGTTCCATATAATTAAACATGAAAAAGTTTCCATCGGCACCAACTGACAGTAATTTCAGGTTATCGTAACTTAGGGCAACTCCAGTAACATGACCATAGTGGTTGTCATGGACACTAAGCATCCAATGAGAAGCCATTGTCGATATGTCAAATACTTCATCTAACTGTTGGACTCGGATTTTACCATTTTCCATGCCAAATATAGCTTGTTGACCATTGTTACTAATAAAAAAAAGGTATGAAAATCTTTATAGGGGTGTCCCTTTCTAAAAATACATGTTACTTAATAAATATTGATTTATTCTTTCAATTGCATTTAGTCATTGAACTGGAATAAACAGGTCACTATTTTATGGAAGACAATGACTGCTTATTACTGAGCCACGTTTCAACCAGTCTTCTCATATTTTATCATTGTTTGATAAAAACTAGAGAAGCCTAGTGCAAACGTCGCTCAGTAATAAGCTGTCATTGTCTTCCATAAAATAGTGACCTGTATAATAAATATTGAACAAATCTTAGACGATTTAATACAATCAGTATAATAAATAAAAACAAGGAAATCAACATGATTTCATATTTTTTAATCTGCTACATTAAAATGATAATTAATTCCAGGGAAATTATTTTAATCTGTTACGTTAAAATGATAATTAGTTCCATTATGATTTTTTATTTTCGTTTGGAAATGAAATATAAAAATTTACTTAATGTTCGAAATGAAGCTTTTTGGTTGATAAATTAATTAAATTACAATGTTAATTTATAATAAGCAATATACCTGAATCTGATGACAGTGATGGGTACGTCTAAAGAATCAACAACAGCAACAGATTTGACTGGTTTGTTATATACATCTTCTGGTAGACTACTTTTATCATTATCACTTGCAAACTTACATTCGTACAGATAACCAGCATCAAAATCACCCTGTAAAATAGTTTTATAAACAACAGATTGTTTTAGCATTTATCAGAGAGAGAGAGAGAGAGAGAGAGAGAGAGAGAGAGGGAGAGATGGGGTTTGACCTCCACATATGGTTCAATTCTATTTTAATAATTTGCTTGTGCTTAGGGGTCTTTAGCAGTGGGAGGAACTCGGAGGACCTGGAGAAAACCCACGAGGTTGGACGTCTTGTCACATACAACCGGGGAATCAAAACCACTCCAGTTGACTCAATGACAGACCTTATGATACAACGCACACTTGCTCACCATTCATCCACCTACCCCTCGGAGGGTATCTGATAGGACTAATCGAGAGTGGATTTAGAATTTTATATGAAATGATATCCATCTGAAATGTTAATAATGACATTATATAGAAATTAAAGTATTTATTTACCATTGACAGCCAGAATTTTCCTTCTTCAATGGAATAAAAACCTTGTAAAATAGGACTTGGATCTTCGGGTATATACGGTTTCCATTCTTCTTTTGGTGTATCAGGTTTTTTCACTTCTGTAAATATTTTAACAAAAGTTCCGATTACCGTCACAAAAATATAACATTGCATGAATTGTATGGATTACAAGAAAATATAGGGACTAATATATAGTTTAATTATATTTCAATAATTCGCTTGTACGTAGGGTCTTTAACAGTGGGAGGTAACTGGAGAACCCACGAGGTCGGACAGGCAACCCTACTCCATGTCACATGCAACCGGGGAATTGAAATGAAATAAAATGGGGTTTAACGTCCTACTGTTCTGCTCCAACTGGGCTAATGAAGACGGGCATATGCAATACAGTGTGCTGTGAGGGAAATTTTGCCCGGGCAGCGGTGCTACGGCCCACTCTTATATCGAATTCCAACTGTCAAGGAATCTTTTACGTGCACGGGACCTCGGTTTTTCGTCCCATCCGAACGACTAGACAGCTGTCCTTGTCAGGCCCTCCGTCCTGCATCACTGACAAGGGGAAACCACGCCGGAAAATCTGGATGAACTTTCTCGGCCAATGCAGGGATCGAGCACCCGACCTCCAAGCCCGGGGAATTGAAACCACGGCAGTTGACTCTATGACAGACCTTATGATCTAAAGCACATGCATTAGATGACTCAAAAGAGAGAGAGATGGAGTATAACGTCCACTCGACACAAACTAGGTCATTTCAGGACTAACATATGGTTTAATTTTATTTCTATAATTCGCTTGCGTGTAGGGGTCTTTATCAGTGGGAGGAAACCGGAGGAGTCGGAGAAAACCCATGAGGTTGGACAGGCGAATTAGATGACTCAGTCCCCCCAACCCCGCTACCAAGAAGATAAAGAACCATCAACAGGTTAAACATAGAGTGAACAGTAGAATAATGTGTAATTATCATTTTCAACTCAACAACGTCAGCTTTCCATAAATAATGAATATCAAACGTATCAAACAGTGGATTTGAGTACAATCAAATTTAAATTTGTTGCTTCTCAATGTAAATCTATGAGATTTAACTGTTATTAAAATTCTACTGTAAATGATATAATTTGTATATAACAGAGATTGGGGGTATTGTCATCAACAAGCTGGATTTGAAAGTCATGCCATTTGACTGAATGACAGACAGTATGATGTAATCTACAGCCATTAGACCACTCAGCCACTCAATCATCGTATACAGCCTACTCATAAGGTAGTTTACCTTCTTCTTCCTCTTCTTCATCTTCTAAACCTCTTTCTCTTCTTTTCCTTTTTTCTTCTTCTTCTTTCTTTAATCTTATTTCTTCTTCTATTCTCTTTCTCTCTAACTCTTCTTCATGCTGAAATCACATTTTATCATAAACAATATAAAACCTTCAGTCATTCCCTCGATAAATTCCTCCAGTAAACATCGTTCAGATATAATAGTTAAATAATAACGAAAGTAGAAGTGGTTATTTCCCTCCTTGATGATTTACGGCAGGATAAAGTTCAGATATAAAAGTTAATGTAGAAAATGGAAGTGGTTATTTCCCCTTGATAATTTAACGTCAGGATAAATCTTACACAATAAACCCTGTAGTCTTACATAAATCTCTGAATGACCTTTGATACCTTACAGACAGACCGGTATTCATTGTTATAATGTCAGAGCAAAGACAAACTGGACTGGAGCAGTTGAGACTACATTTAGACTTGAAAAACTTCTGTCCAGTCCAATAACCGTTGTAGTAGAAGTGAACACAATTAGGACTGGAGCGATCAAAACTATATGTACATGATTTAGAATTTAATTGAAGGGACACAACTCATACATAAAGAAAATAAAACTTACCCTAAGATTTGATTTAATACTAGTAAACTTATATTGTTTATTATTGAGTGATGTTATATGGTAAGAATGTGATGTATCTATTTCCTTTGTATCTGGTGTTTCTAATTCAACTACATAACCATCTTCACATATAACTAATAGTGTTGTCTTAGACTGAAATATAAAACAACTAATTAAACATATAACTAATTCAACATATAACTAACAGTGTTGTCATAGACTGAAATATGAAACAACTAATTAAACATACAATCATAGAAAAAAACAGGAATTGAATTTGATGGGAGAGCCAGAGAAATGGGATTTAACAGTCACTCGATAGGTCATTTCAGAATTAACATATGATGTGGTTCAATTTTATTTCAATAATTCGTTTGATGTAAGGGTTTTTAGCAGAATACCCACAAAGTTAGACAGGTGACCCCACTTGTCAGAAACAAGTGTGGTGTTGGAACCACGCAACTTGACTCAATGACAGACGTCAGACCTTATGATTTAAAGTGCACACGTTAGACCACTAGATCGAAATGTATCCGAACGTATCTGCATGTACCAGATCGTGGACTCAATAGGGACAATCCTAGCGTAAAGCATCGCCCACAGTGGAAACCTAGCATCAAGTAAGAGGTCAGAAAATGTTCAATGTAGGAAATATTCCATAAGTTAAATAATACACTGAAGCGAAAAACTTACAAATTTTTCTGGTGACCATTGAAGATGTCTAACAGGAGCTGGTACACTAACAAATCCTATTGGTTCATAAGTTTCACCAATACCAATAAAAAATACTGTACTATCTGTTCCCTGTACAAATAAAATAATAACATACTATTGTGACATCATACTGATGTGATATGTCTTCTATTGTGATGTCACAATATAACTTCTATGGATATAGTGATATAATAATATAATGACCTCATCCAAAAAGACAATCTGTGTCACTAAATATTGATTTTAGAATATATCTTTCAGAAAGATATTTCAGTTTTAAAATTCTAATATTGGTTTGTATCACATGAAATAAATAAATAAATATGTCATGTAAAGCAGGGATGTATCTTTATATGGCAGTGTGTGGATCAGCTTTCATATAAATTTTATTTAGATATTTGGTAGACTAATAATACTATTTTATTTAGATATATTAAGTGGTTTATCAAGGTACGTGTATAGACGGTATAATACGATAAATACGTTGATCACTTAATTACCTAATAAATCTAGCCTATTATTAACGATAATCTGGTAGGTGTATAGACAGTATAACACGATAAATATGCGGATCACTTAATTACCTAATCGATCTAGCCTATTATCAACGATAATCAGGATGAGTAACTGTTATATACCTAGTACAAACAAATCTAGATAATTTTATATATTATTCACCATATCTTGATGTCCAATTGGTCATATTCCTGGTATGACGTTTGAGATATAGGGTAGGACATGTCCAGAATATATGCATGAAATAACATCCCTGACATGGAGTAAACAACAGAAACAAAAACAACTTACCCCTGTGGCTAAGTATTCTCCTTTACCATCAACAGCTATAGATGTTACACAACTCTTGTGTGGTTTTAGAGCTTGTCTTAATGTCACTTCACAGTCTGATTTATGTTTACGACCCGGCATATCAATAGTTTTATTAATGTTTAATATTCTTAATACACCATCCTCGAAACCTACATACATAGTACTTCCTTTAGTATCTACCTGTAAAAATAAAATATATTTTAACCACGATTTTAATGGTTGTCAGTCTATTTGAAGTATTTCCTTGTATTGCGAATGTGGATCACGGTGGCTAAGTGAGTAAGACGCTGGCTCGCTAGCCTGGAGGTCGGGTGCTCGATCACTGCATTGGCCGAGAAAGTTCATCCAGATTTTCCGGCGTGGTTCCTCCCATGTCAGTGATGCAAGACTGAGGGCCTGACAAGGACAGCTGTCTAATCGTTCAGATGTTATGAAAAACTGAGGTCCCGTGTACACATTGCCGTACATGTAAAAGATCCCTTGACAGTTAGAATTCGATATAATTCTAGACATCTTAAAGAAACTTACAATTTTTGGTGCCCACATGATTGTAGTACCTCCACCAGTAAACTTAGAATCAGTAACGAGTTTCTCCTGCATGTAGTCATAAACACGTACAGTATCTAACAGACAAACAAAAACAACATTAAATTATTAATAAGGCCAATCATCTAGTAATAAATGGTCGATAGAGTAATTCTTTATGTCGAGATCTACACAATAAAATCAAGATGGCAGTGATAAGGGTGAGAGTAGAAGCTCTGATTATTATATCTCAAGATCAGGCCCGTCAGGCCCGTCAGGCCCCAAGTTCACAAAACATTCTCAGACTTAAATTAAGAGTTCACTAAAAATTGTTCTTATTTATAAAACTTTTGTTGTTTTAATGTATCAAATACATAAATAAGAAACTATGTGCAAAGTTGAGTAAGTCTGACAATGTTTTGTGAACTAGGGAGGCTGGTATATGAAATAAATTTTGTCTACTTACGATCGACTCCTGTCGTTGCTACGAGATGAGTAACAGGGGAGGTAACACAACTAGTAATAGCACCAGCATGATAACTAGAGATTTTCTCTGGTTGAAGTGACGTATGAGAAAACGACAAATCTAATTTCCATATTCCTCCATTTCCATCCTGAGAATAAAATACAACTTATAAAAGTACATGCATGGCTTTCTTCTATGGTGACAACATCGTATAGAAGCAACATGGATCTATATGTCTGATGATATATTTTAACATGATATAATGAATTTATACTCAATGATAAATAATTACATGATGTCGTGGATCTATATATAACAATTACATGACATCATGCTTCTATGTCTGATATAAACAATTACATGACATCATGGTTCTATGTCTGATGATATAAACAATTACATGACATCATGGTTCTATGTCTGATGATATAAACAATTACATGACATCATGCTTCTATGTCTGATATAAACAATTACATGACATCATGCTTCTATGTCTGATATAAACAATTACATGACATCATGCTTCTATGACTTGCATATACATGTATACCTAAATTAGTCTTTTAACTGATTTTGTGTAATTTTTTTTTCCTTTATTGTAAATTATTGTTGTGCGTTGTGTAATTTATCAGCTGTATCTTTTGTAATATATTTTCTATGAAGGGTAGGATGTTAAAAAGGCTCATTTTCAACCCTTCTTAAATAAAGTCATTATTATCATTATTATTAACCATGGATTGCGAAAGCTTGAGTTACTGGGTAGAATTTAATCGATCTTACCTGGGCAAACCAAATTGTCGCCTCGTTTTCATCATCTATAGATTTAACAATATGTTTTAGTTGGACATCGTAACCTACACGAAGTTCATTCATTGGTTCCATTTCAAATAAACCTGAATCATCTATAGTATCAGCAGTATCTATTGTCTCAAAATCCCACATCTAAAAAATTAAACATCAACAGTTAGATATTCTGTAAGTTGCTCTACAGAGCTATCACGTATGACATTATCTGCTAAATAGCATTTACATGGCATAGTCAAAAAACACCGTGCAATAAAAAAACCTAGATTATTATTCATTTAACAACTAATTATTTTCAATTAATCAATATTATGTATGGCGGCATGGCCATTTTTTAAAAATAAACTGACACAAAGGAACAAACAACAGGAACAATTTTATCAGTTCATTCTTTCTTTTACTATCCCCCGACAAGGATAGTTGTCTAGTCATTTGGATGGGATGAAAACCGAGGTCCCATGTACACATTGGCGTGCATGTAAAAGATCGCTTGACAGTTGGAATTCGATATATGAGTAGGCCGTAGTGCCTCTGTCCAGGCAAAATTTCCCTCATAAAACACTGTATGGCGTATGCCGTCTTCATTAGCCCAGTTCGGAGCAGAACAGTAGGGCGTTAAACCCCATTTCATTTCATTTCATTTACTATCCAAGATGACAGATGAATAAATGTACTTACTCTAACAAATCCATCAACACCTATTGTCATTAATTCTCCTTCATCTAATAATATCTGTTGTATTTGACCATTATGACACAGTTTTTTACCTTTACGACCGATTTCAACCTGAAATTATTTCAAATCAAGAGCATGTCAAAATAACTATTCTTTAGAACAGCTTGAGAGCTTGAGTATGTCTTTTTTTGGGGGACAATATCTAGTTTTCACATTGTGTTCAAATTGATTATTTAACATTTCCTTAAACATGCATTATGCAAGAGCTAAATCTGCTTATTGCAGGTTTTTCTTTAGGTCTGAAATGTTTTCTAAAGTATTAATTAGACATTAATTAACTGATCCAGGCCTTAATCAACTCTCGATGGCATCAGATTTCTCCGATATTAAATAGATTAGAATGGTTCAGCGATACTTTGATTTAATCAAATATGGAGGACCGAGACTTAGCTTCGATCAACCAGTACGGTGGTTGAAATTATTGCACACGTCTGTCAAACCTTCAAAGGCTAATATCTTCGCTCGCAATAGAGTAATTTGAATGAAATTTTCAAATTATTCATTTTACATCATCTACTTTCGAACTATTATAGCAAGAATGGCTAGTTCTTTATCTAAATCTTACATAATATATCTTTAACAAAACAAAACAAAAATATCACTCATCCATTGATATTCTCGAAGCTTGCATTAAAACGAGGCCCATCAAATGATTTTACCCAAGATTTAAAGTGGCTATGGCTTGTTTATATCAGCACAGAGGATACCAAATATTTTTATAAATACTGCAGAATGGAGCCAAATCATTCTTTTTACTGATAAAACTTTAACCATATTGTAGTTTGCAGCAATCTGACTAAAATGTTTTGTTTTTATATTTCAAATTTCGTTTTACTTGTCTTTACTACACTAGGATCTGCAAGGCTTGTTATATAACCCAGGTTCGGGATTATGTGAGGGATTAGCCAATGAAACGGTCTGTTACAGCAAGTCTTTTGGTGTGAGGTGCACGGAACTGTGGGTAAACAACTAGAAACGTCAACGCTGATTGATTAATCAATGTCTGATGGCATAGTGTCAAAAGCGACTCTCCGGTACAACTGGTCAGATCTTCATGTAATGTATGTAGCACATTGAAAGTATAAAAAGACGAAACGAAATATAGATCTGTATTTTAACTAGATTGATTTTGCAAGGGATAAAAAAATCACTCAAAACACAATCAGTGGCTTTAAATTAATCATTTTGTATTTTTGTTATTTTAAATGTTTTGAAATATGATGAATATTTTATTTATATGTACCTTGATCAATCCACCTTCCCATAACATCATATTTCCTGTTTCAGCTCCAGATAAAACTTTACCATCCGGTAATTCAACATAACCTTCAATATCAGATATCTCCGTTTTACCAAATCTACCTAATTCTCCTTGTAATTTTAAACCTGTGAACGTATCAGCCATCTTCCAAAATCTACAAACATAAATCATTTTATTAAATCCATAAGATTAAACATACATTGTGGGAGATTAGATAAAGAGCTGGCAGTTCTCACTATAATAGTTCAAAACTAGATAATGTAAAGGGAATTTGCTGAAAATTTCAGTCAAATTGATCCACTATGAACCAAGATTTTAGTGATTGAATTTTGGGCCTAGGCTCAATCATCATTACTAAAGTCGGTACAATAAAAAACAGTCTCGATTATCCAATTTTTTGATTTAATCAGATACAGCAGACCGGGTTCTAATCCAGTAAATATCGCAGGCTAGCGATGGCACCAAGAACTTGATTATGGTCTGGATAAGTTAATTAATGTCTAATTAATAATTTAGATAACATTTTAGACCTAAAGAAAGACCTGCAATTGTCAGATTTAGCTCTTGCATAATGTATGTTAAAAGAAAGACTGACTTTTTAATGATAAACCTTTGGCATAATACCGAAATATTTCAAGTTGTAGGGAAGAAAATTTCATCTCTTCATCAAGAAACTTGTCATCTGACTATTTTTCAAGTTCTATCACTTGTGTTAGATGAAGACTGTTTGACAGATATAAACATCCAACGTTTTAATATCAAGAACAGGCATGGCCATTGTCAGGTTAAACAAACCACTCTCATACTAAAAAGTGATATGTTCATTGTCAGGGTTCAAATCCAAATAAAGAATATTAAGAGAGAGAGAGAGAGAGAGAGAGAGAGAGAAAGAGAGAGAGAGAGAGATGGGGTTTAACATCAACTTGACACAAACTGGGTCATAACGGGACTAACATATGGGTCAATTTTATTTCAATAATTCGCTTGCTAGTATGGGTCTTATGCAGTGGGAGGAAACCAGAGGACCCAGAGAAAACCCACGAGGTTGGACAGGTGACCCTACACCATGTCACATACAATCAGGGAACTGAAATCCACACTAGTTAACTGAATGACAGACCTGAAGATACAAAGCGCAGAATGGGGCAATTCTGATTCTTCTTCAGTGAACAAGGTTTCCCATGGATCATTTATCTTTTTAAAATTATGATAAGAGATTTTAAAGCATGTATGTAACCAATGGCAGATGAATAAGGTTATAAAAATGATCATACTTGATGTGTCCTGTACCAGCCGTTGTCAGTTGTCCTTCTAGTTCAGACGAGAATGATACTCGGAATACTTCTTGAGAAAACGCTTTCGTACGAAGCATGATCTTTTCTTGTTTCCAGTTCCACACAGTTAACATGAAATCAGGTTCTCCACCTTGTGAAGCAAGAAGCTCTCCGTCAGGACTGAAAACAATAATAGCAAGATAATGAGGAAGATAGATGGAAATAAATAGTACTCCATTAAAAAAGTTTTATTTGAATTGTGGATCTCCTACTGTAAAGTAGGCCTCAAAAATCTGATATAAACACTGATGTTGGCTATAGTTAGTTTCTTGGGCACTATCTGGGCGAATATAAATATAAAGATTACATACGCCAACATCAAATCCCAATTGTCACGCCAAGGAATACATGTGTGGACCTCTGTTTATTGTCCGATTCCAACAACTAATCATTCTTTCTGCTCCAATGACCAGAAGAAATCAGATGAACTTATCTCCGCTAATAGGATTAAACCTGGTATTCCAGGTTAATGAGTCAGCTCCATACCCACTGTGATCCAAGATGGTGCTTACTGCTTACCTGTAAGTCAAAGATGGTGCTTACTGCTTACCTATAAGTCAAAGATGCATATAATCCTTCTGTTCCTCCTCGTAAGATTCGAATCAATTTGAGAGAAGGAAATTCAAAGATGTTTATGTTAGGTGCTGTACCCTTTTCACCAACAGCAAAATATTTCCGACTTGGGTGAACCTGTCAACAAAAAAACATAAAATTGTTTCTTACAGCTGTTAAAGTTATCTGCAAACTTTTGTTTGAATTCATCCTTTCGCTTTAAAATGCTGTATACTATAGTATAGCCAATTGAATACTGAACGGCTAATTCCTTCTGCGTAGGTCGTGAAGCTTTCTCAAAATCTGCTATAATGTCACATCCGCACGGGCACACTTTGCAGGGCGATCACACATTATGAATTGACTTGAAAAACTCAAATCAAATGCCAATCGCTCTCTTACCAGAGATTATAAAATTATCAAGGTAATTAACAGAGACGTGTACCGCGCACAGATAATTGATTGGTGATTGCTTGTCTGTTAACACCCACTGATTGAAGGCCAGTTTATCCAATGTTAATTGAACGCAAATCGTGTGACTGGACCGCAGATTGATGTCGTAATTCAGAATATTCACAATTTTTGGGGGGTTGAAGTCATAAAGAAATAAATCGGGACATGAAAATAATGACGGATTTCACAGAATGCCGTAATATTCAGATGTCGGAAGTGACAGAGTCCAATGTAACTGTGTTTGCAAAATTATCACAGAAAAATCAGTATGTTGCATCAAGTTATCATGTAAACCAGTCAAATATTGGATATTGTTTTTAATTCTGTGATTATTCAGACAGAATACAAACATATTTATAAACAAGAATAAAAACTTACAGCAATAGCTCCAATACCACCTCCGCTGGTACTACGAATATATGTCAATTCTTTAGTTTGTATATTCATAAGTTGAACCAGATTACCAGCAATAAATAACAACGTATACTCATCTAACATATGTAAATTACATCGTTTCTTACAATCATAACCAAATGAATGTCTATAACATTAGATAAGGAATAACATAATTTAACTTTTCTTTAAACATCTTTTATTATAAAATCGATCATCGTCCTTAAGGGTATTTGAATTCTGTGCTAACTACTATAGATTGTGAAAGTTGAATATCACTTCAAAAAATGGTTCAATTCTATTCGGTAAATTTACGAAGATCTGATGAAATGGCACACCCCTGAGACATGTACCTGATACAACGACTGCAAGTTTTACAACCCCTGGACGTCGCTAGATTACTTTACAATTCCCTAACTTATAGCTACGTTATCTACAGACACGTGAACAGTAGCGTCCAGTCTGAGGTTGTGACATAGCAACATCCATGGAAACTTTGACATTGAACGAACCTTGAACTTTGGGACTCGATTATCACAGGTAGACATTTTAGCTTGAAAGCGTGGGACTTAGTATTCGCGATGATCGAGGAATCTGATAGGCTCACAAGCTGGGTGAATACCCAATCAAAGTTAGTGCTGAAATATGCAGGGTATGACGTGAAGGCCTTGATAAGATGTACGTAGTAAAAGCGAGATCAAGCCTTCTATTGAAGATGCTCAGGAAGATAATATAAACAAATCAGCACATTTTGGATACCTTATAAAGATACCAAAGACAATCAGTGGCTTTAAGTGCAGTCAAGAGTTCTTTGACTACTGCCCCAGCCCTCTTGTGGAGTCATATGCATCAAGTCTGAGTGGGAGACCTACTCCAGGTGCTGATAGAATTACCAATTCTGAGGCATGATGTCATATACCAGGAATCTGTGAATCATGAAGATATCCAATGACACGTGTAACATCAACGCGTAATAAGGGCAGAACTGATCCTGAAGGGTTGGTCCATCTGAAGAAAAATAACAATTCAAGTCAAGTGAAACATTAATTGTAAAAAGATACTTTAATGATAGTAAATCCTGCGGTAAGCCTGAATCATCAGTGACTTCTGCTCCAGAAATATGATCTTCTAAATTATAAAAAAAGTCATCTGGTATCAGAACTTCTTCAACTTCCTTTGCTGAAAAACAAAATATAAATATTCATAAATATGTCTAAGCTTATTCTGTATAGTACTTTAATTTTCACATCAGATCATCAGAGTGAAACGAGGTAATGATTTATCAACATCATCAGTTCTATATTTCAAGAGTAGTCCCTGATATATTTGTATGAATAAAACTGGTTAATTCCAAAACAAAAAACTTTCAGTTTCCATGTTAGACAGGCCTCATAAGTCCAAAGTTTTCACACTATTTAAGTGACTGGATAACTGTGTCTGTAGAGAAATACTTAACGATATAAACCACAACATTTAAGGCATTTCATGTACTTGAATCCATGTGAAATATGGGACCGTACAAAAGGAAAATCATAGTATGAAAAAACCTTTATGAATAAAGGCAGCGAGGCTATTTTGACTATTTGTCTAAGAGACAAAGTAGATCAACAGAAACAAGTGTAAACATGAAATGACCATAATTTAATAATAATAGTAGATTTTTAAAGAAAAGGAAATTATTCTTAAAAAAACAAAAACCCAACCAACCTGCACCATCTTCATCACCAGTTTCACCTTCAACCAATTCTTTTTCTTCATCACCTTCTTCACCTTCAACCAATTCTTTTTCTTCATCACCTTCTTCACCGTTGGCTGTCTTTTCATTTTCTTTATCCTCTTGTCCCTGTTCATCTGTAACAACCTTGTCTGTTGATTGTTCAACTTGAGCAGGTTGTTCATCAGTTGCTTGTTCAGATTCTGCTTTTTCTGCCTCCGAAGCAGGTTTAGTGTCGTCTTTCTGTTCATCAGCACCAGTTGCAAGATTTTCTGATGTTTCTTTTTCTTGACTAGCATCAGCTGGTTTGTCCTCTTTTGTTTCTTCATTCTCAGTGTTAGATGAAGGCTTCTCTTCAACAGCATCTGCTGGAGACTTCTCCACTGTTTCTTGTTGTTCATCAGCAACAGATGTGGGTTTATCAACTGGTGTATCAGCTGGTTTGTCCTCTTTTGTTTCTTCATTCTCAGTGTTAGATGAAGGCTTCTCTTCAACAGCATCTGCTGGAGACTTCTCCACTGTTTCTGGTTGTTCATCAGCAACAGATGTGGGTTTATCAACTGGTGTATCAATTGGGTTTTCTTGTTGAGCTGTATCAGTTGAAGGTTCAATGTTTGCTCCTCCTTCTTGTTGCAGTTCCTCAGGTGAGAGTTTTTCTTGTTCAGATTTCTCCTGCTCCTCAGAAGTTGATGGTTTCTCTGTCGTTTCAGACTGTTCTTCAGCTGTTTTATCTAAATCTTGAGTTACATTTGGTTCCTGCATGTTCCCCTGTACTTGTGTGTCATCTGAATCTTGTGTAGGCTGAGAACTTTCATCTAGTTTGGTTTTGGGGTCAGCAGTTTCTGAGTTTTGGGGTTCTTCTTCAGCATTAGGTTCAGAAGCTTCAGCTGCAGGCAAAACATTTTCCATCTCAGGTTTTGAGGAATCTTGATCTCCTGAAGGAATGTCTGTTAGTGGAACATCAACAGCTTCTTCAACAATTGTAGCAGGTTCTACTGGAGTTTGTTCTGAAAGTTCTGTTTTCTCATCTTCAGTTTTTACATCCTCAACATCTGGTTAAAAGAAAATAAAAAAAAACTTGATGAATTTAACATAATTGGATGGAAATAAAAGCTAGTATGTCTTATCCTCTACAGAATTAGGCGAATTTATGACAAACATAAGCTAATTTCTTTTCTTATGGTTAAGTGTGCAGATGACGATAATTCTCAAATAAAACATACATTTTAATCAAAAGCTCAAATGCTCACAGTTTAAAAATAGCAATGTGAAGGCTTTAACTAATATATGTGATTGTGAATCTAACACTATTAAATGCACAACTTCATGCTTTTTGAGGTAAATATTGTTCTATTTAAACTAAATCCCAAAAGAAATAGATGACACATATTAATTAATAGCACATTTATTTTTTTTCAAAAGTATCAAGCAATCAAACTGATTATTAACTATACAATACACTAAGTTTCATCACTCTCTATCAGATTGAATCAAAGTTATCTTGTCCCAAAGCAATGAAATTGCTTAAGTCTGCTTAGCTTTAGCGGGAAATGTTAACAAGACATTCACCTAATGAACATCTATATCAAGTTTAAATATTCTATCTCAGTTAAAAACAGAGTTGTTATGTTCCAAAGTCTCAACCAATCAAATTGCTTATCACTGCTTAGCCTAAGCAGAAAATGTTCATCTTTGAACTCCATCAAGGCATTCTAGCTCAATTAGAAGGAGAGTTATTGTGTCCCAAAAAGTGTGATGGGCAGACAGACAAACAGACAGACCCATTTTAATAGTCCCCTGATTTCTTCGACAAAAATACAAAAAAGAATGGAATATCATCAGTGCAGAAAAACAACAAGTGAATTGTGTTTTACAAATCAAGTTAAAACCAGGTTTACTGTCAGTATCAACTGTGGGAATTCATGTTAAAAGTGCTATCAAAACATAAAATAACTCAAATATATGTAAATCATCCAACATTATTCTCATCTAAAATAATCTAAATACATCTAACTCATCCAACATTATTATTATATATAAAGTTTTTGGTACATTAAACAGATTCTAAAATCGTCAACCACCTGTATGCATCTATAAATAAACATTTAAATTTACAGGTAAGATTAAATAAGCTTACGGCAAGTCTTAATTACGATATACAAATAGGAAAGGGAGATAAGTACATGTAGAATCTGTAATACAAAATATAGAATTATATAAAGTTTGAGATACATGTATTAAGCGTTATTAGATATTTAGCAAGGTCCATTAAATACCATTAAATTTATTGATTTACAAATTACAATTTTTTTTGTCAACCATTTGTATTGCTAACCAGTCGAGGTCTTGGGTTCACTCTCGATGTTGATAGAGAAAAATTCTCAAGGTTTTCTAGCATGGTTTGCCATGTCAGTGGTGTAGGAAGGCCTGGCATGGATGATTGTCTAATTGTTTGGATGTTACGAAAAAAAACCGAGGTCCAGTGTACACATTGGCGTGCACGTAAAAGATCCCTTGACAGTTGGAATTCGATATAAGAGTAGGCTGTAGTGCTGCTGTCTGGGCACAATTCCCCTCATAGCACAGTGTATGGTGGATGCTCGTCTTCATTAGCCCAGTTGGAGCAAAACAGTAGGACGTTAAACCCCCTTTTCACTGATGATAGATGCCAATGCCATCAGTATGCTACATGACACTAACTATTATCTAGCATTGTCAATTCCTTTCTACATGACACACTATGCTTTAAATGCATCAAAAATCATCCATTTCATGCAATTTTGGTGTCAAGACATACTAATTTTAAAAATCATTACAGAATATAGATCACATTATGCATTTCAATAAAAGTAATAAAAATGAGAGGAATGATTATTAAGTATTAATTCGCGATAGAAAGAAAACAAAGAATAAAGATTGTTATGGTTATTTAGTGCTGGAAAAAGATGTTAGCTGAGTTAGAAGTCAACTCGGACACAGAGTCAATTATTAATACCTTTAACTATGGTCAGACTATCTACAGAATCAAGTTTAGTAGATTGGTCAACAAGGGGACTGTCAGTTTGTCCATTAATAGGGTTAATATTTGTTTCGTCATCTTTGATGGTTTCTGCTGAATCTTTGTTTAACTCAGTTTTAGATGCTATATTTTCTTGTTCAGTGTCCTTCCCGACACTTTCTCCAGCTTCTTTACTCTCGTCCATCTCGGCTTTTATAGCCTCCTTCTTCTGTTCCTCTTCTTGTCTGATCTTGTACCGTCTTAACGCTTCTTCTTTTAAATGTTGAGCAGCTTCACCTAAATTTTTAGACTTCCTCTCCTTATTAGGAGGGTCTGATTGACCAGCACTGGTTTCTTGATTGGCTAGATTGTTAATAGAACTAATTATTGTTATCAGTATTATTAGTACCAGATAGCGAACCATTGTTAAAATCAAGTAAGCAGAATACAGGAAGAATTTCTCAAAATATTCTTAGAAAATTGAAATCAGTTGGTTTTTTTAATCAAAATATGTTTACAAATTTCAATGACAATTTTCTGATTTAGTATTATGATGGAATTTGCTCCGAAAAATTGAAAATGGAAGCCTTAGGGGCAAATCTGATTATAATACAGATCTATATTTCGTTTCGTTTTTTTATATTTTCGATGGCCTACACTACATGAAGATCTGACCAGTTATAGCGATAGGTCACGTCGGGGGTCAAAAGACTGACTTATGACCCTATGATGTCAGACATTTGATTAACCAATCAGCATTGATGTTACTAGTGGATTACCCACAGTTCCGTGCAAAACATGCCTAAAGCTCGCCGTAACAGACCGTTTCATTGGCTTATCCCTGACACCATTCAGAACACGAGTTAAATAACAACTCTTCCAGATCCAAGTGTAGTAAAGACAAGTAAAACAAAATTTTGAACTATAAAAACGAAACGAAATAGGATCTGTGTTTTAACCAGATTGCCTTAGGGGTTAAAAAATTAATCTCTGGATGAAAATAAAAGTAAAAAATATCCAAGTGTGGTACTGGTACCACAAACGATAATTCTTCCTGTAATTCTTTCTAAAGTAAGCACATCTAATCAAAATAACTTTAATATTTCTATTGTATTAAATTCTCTCTAAAACAAAGATCAACTAATTCTTTACTCAATTAATAAAAAAATGGTCAGAAATTAGGAAAAGATAATTTCAAAGTACTCAGAGATTTATCAAAGGGTTATTTTGAATATTGTATTATGATGATCAGTTTGATACTTGCTGAGAAATGTCAGCAAAATATCATCATATAGATTTCAAAAATGGCCACAGAACAAAAACTATGGATAATAATTTGATCTGATTGGCCTAAAATTAATATTTTCATGTCATGGTGAAAGTGATATCTATGATAATCTTTTCCTTAATAAAAAAAACTAGACGTTTGATTTTGTTCTGAAGTAAAAGTGTTGATTTCCTTTGGTAAAATGGCAATCTGTCCTCATTGAAATTCAACAGTCTATCACTCAGTATCATGCCAAAAATGACACTGTACTGTAGAATCGAACTATTGGGCCCTAAAATCTACAAGTTTTGTATCTATATTAATATCATGATTCATATCGCATATCCATCTATCTAAAAGGATGTCAGCTGTTTCGTAACCTGGCTGTTTCGTTACCCGGCTGTTTCGTACTTAGTTCATTATGAGCCGTTTCGTACCTTGGTTAATTTCAAGAGAACAGGAGAACTTTTACATGCACATGAGCCGTTTTGTACCTTCACTAATTTCAATTATTGTCAATAATCACAACTCATTGTCAATAATCGCAACTCACCCAGCAGAATGGGCTCTATAATCAATACCAGATTAAATATTTTTCAATCGCTTTTTAACCGCTTTAACCTTCGCCAATCAATTATCGTCAAGAATCACAACTCGCTCGACAGAATGGGTTCAGTAATCAACACCAGATTAAAAACAGCAAAAGGCAGGTAGCAGTGTTTGTTGTTTTTTTGGTCAATCGTCCAATCATTTATTTTCCTATATGTTTATTTCAACTTATTTTTAATTTATTTCAAAAACATACTTAAAAATGTATAAAAGTCTGTGTTGCAGCCATTTTCATAAAATTTGTGTTGCACTTGCAGTTGGATAATATTAAATCGTCATGTTTCACCTTTATATTTCAACAACGTGTAGGAAAAGGTACGAAACTGCCTGCACCCGAAGTATAGCGGCTAAGTTCTCAACATGTAATCGAGGGCGGATGATAGAATCAATAGAGGCGCCACATATTTATGTAGCAGTTGGATATTATTATTAAATCGTCATGTTTCACCTTTATTAACTTTAACTTTTTTTCAACAACGTGTAGGAAAAGGTACGAATCAATCTGAGGTACGAATAAACTAAGAACGAAACAGCTTTATTATGAGGCTAAATTAAAGAAATGTTAAACACTCACTCACTGACAGTAACACTAACAAAGTAACACTGTCACTCAGCCTCAGACTCTGTGCTGGGCTTGCCACGAGCGATCACAACCGCAAAAACAAGTTAGGGACTAGGACTAAGGATAACGCCACTGTAAATAATTCTAATGCAACAAAACACAGACTACACGAATTTATGAAGAACGTGTAAAGTACATTCAAAAGTATGCTTACCAGTCGGATCCATTTTCGGTGGAGAATCCCGTTTGTCTTTGTCCTCCATCTTTCAACAAATTAATGTTGTTATGGGTACGATAGCCGCGGTCAGCAGGAATATATTTTTATACGCCTTGTTCATTGGATGATCGAAGCTGTCAAGGGAGCTAATCCTGTATTTTATTTTAGAGTTATCCCAATGTTTACAAAACAAGGGTGGCGTGGCCACTTTATTTTTAATACGCCATGATCGGCCAATCAATCTCGTTTTCTAATTTATAAAACAAAAACAACTGAAGATTAAAACTGGTGATATATTGTATAAAATTAACATGTATGTACGAGTCAAGTATTAGTTATTTGAAGACATTTATAACCAATTATCCAATACCAGGCAGACGAGTCAACCAATAGTTGTGGACGACTTAACTATGTCTGAGTTTGTGTATGGGCGAGTTAACTAGCTTCCGGTCTGATTAATAGAACATTCTAAACATGTTTTTTTGACGCACACAACTACACAAAACGATTTTTGCTTTGGGTTATAGATATATTCTGCATGACAAAAACGTGTGTTGGAAATACTACCGTTGAAATAAATTACAGACTAAAGTTTGGAGTCAATAATTTGCTGAAAAAGTGTAATAATGGCTGAAGATAGGTTCGATGGCATGCTGCTTGGCATGGCAACTCAGTGTGAAAAGGGTGTTCAAGAGCTATTAGATGTGATCTTCAACTTTCTGGCCAGAAAAACAGATTTTTACACTGGAGCCGGTGAACAATCAGCTGAAGCTATGATAATGGAGAAATTTAGAAAGTATGAAAAACAGGCTTTGGAAAGTCAGAGGAAATTAAAAGCTGAAAGAGAAGCAGAAGATAGAAAGAGAAAAGAAAGAATAGCCAAGAAAAAAGCTGCTGAAGAAAAAGAAAGAAATGAAGTATCAGAATCTAAAGTTACAGAATTGACAGATGAAGAAGCAGAGAAATTACAAAAAGAAATAGATAGGGAAAAAGAAGCTGCTACAAATAACACAGAAAACATGAATACAGATAATAATGATGACAAGACAGAAAAAGAGGATGAAGACGAAACAGAAAAAGAGGATGAAGACGACAAAGGAAAAATAAAACCAAATTCTGGAAATGGAGCTGATTTACCAAATTATTCCTGGACGCAAACACTGGGAGAAGTTGAGATCAAGGTTCCATTTAAAGTCAAATTTCCAGTGAAAGCAAAAGATGTGATAGTAGAATTTTCTAAAAAGCATTTAAAAGTAGGATTAAAAGGTCATCCACCTATAATAGATGGCGAATGTTATAATAGTATTAAAATAGATGAATCAACATGGGTTATACAAGATAAAAAAGATTTACTCATTAATATTGAAAAGGTAAATCAGATGGAATGGTGGAGTAGAGTTGTTAAAACAGATCCAGAGATTAATACGAAGAAAGTCCAGCCAGAAAATTCCAAGTTATCAGATTTAGATGGTGAAACACGAGGTATGGTGGAAAAAATGATGTTTGATCAGAGACAGAAAGAAATGGGATTACCTACTTCAGATGATCAAAAAAAACAAGATGTCATGAGCAAGTTTATGAGTCAGCACCCAGAAATGGACTTCTCCAAATGTAAATTTAACTAAACAAATCCTAGTGTGATTCAGTATTTTATCAAAGAACAATATTTACATTATTAATTACTGCAATTCCAAAATCTCACGAGTTTCATTTTTTTTCATTCATGATCAGTACAAATCAGTATGTTCAGGACATTAAATAATTTGGAATAGTGCACTTTAGTGTTGACATTATTTAATCATTGTGTAGGCCTATACTTGTATTGTATTGTCAATATCACAAAGATGTATGCAGATGTGTTATTATGTTGATTTATTCTTATTCTCTGACTTATTTCATATTAAATTGTTTATGTTTTATACTGTCTTCAACCATTCAGAAACGAATGTATCCCTGCTGGATCGGCACTTATTAATTATATTAATGAATGAAATGAAATGGGGTATATTTTCCTATTTCTCTCCATGGGCTGAGTTAACGGCTTTAACTAGGGGTTGTTGTATGTCCACGTCACAACAGGATGTCAATATTTCATTCTATATCCTAACGACTAGGCATTGTTCTGGCCAGAACCTCGGTCCTGCATCGCTGACAAGGGGATACTGCGCCAGGAAATCCCGAGGAACTTTCTCTGCAAACACTGCAAGCAATCCCTGAGACCTTGTTAGAGATCCAGTTTGGCTCCCTAATTATGCTGAACTTGAAATGTTACCAACAGGCCTGGAAATAATGGTTTTAGATGTACCTGACAAAATGTCAGGCACTATGAAATTATTTCCATGCTTGTTTTATTACAATAATGAAAGGACTTGGTGTTAGTTCTATCAACCCAAAATTAGTGATATGCTACATATTCAAGGGTAATTAGTCAGAGAGCTGTTGGGGGTTGGATTGTGCGGGGCGGGGGGGGGGGGGGGTTGCCAAATTGTTTATAATGCTTAAGATCATAAGGTCCGTCATTGAGTCGAGTCATTCGATTCCCTGCTTGTTTGCATGTGACAAGGGAGTAGGGTTGTCTGTCCACATATCTCGTACGTATTCTCCGGGTCCTCCACTACTAACGAACCTGATGCACAAATGAATTATTGAAATAAAATTGAACAATGTTAAGTCCTGAAGTGACCTAGTTTATGCCAAGTGGGCTTTAAAACCTGATCTGTAATATCAAAAATCACCAGTATACATATTATTCATTAGTTGATCTTTAAAAAAAGTTTTTGTCTGTTCATCCTTGAGCATTTTCTCCAGGTCCTCTGGTTTCCTCCCACTGCTAAAGACTCCTACGTGCAAGCGAATTATTGAAATAAAATGACCGATTTTGTGTGGAATGGATGCTAAGCCCCATTTCTCTCTCTCTCTTTCCCCCCTCTCTCTCTTTTAAAAAAAGGTTTCAACTTTTGGAAACTGAAAATAATCAAAGAATGAAAAAGATAACAAAATGGTGAAACAAAGTTTTATTTTCTGCATCACATCATTCTGTAAAAAAACATAATGTCCTGCATACACTGACATAGTATTGCTTACAGCTAATGTATTTAGCTGATAGTCCGATAAAACATAAATTTATATTTCTAACAACATAAAAATATGACACCTAATTGACCAAATAAAAGACATTAAAACAAAAGTGGGGGTGAGGGTAGAATAGAATATGTCGAACCTCTGTATAGGTGTTTACTGGTTTCAATGTAAAATTAAAATCTAAATATCAATCCAGCTTCGACATCGATTAAAATTAAAAAGAGAACCCACCAAGATTATAGGTGGGGCTGGTTTGCTTTGACTATTTCCATTTTATAGCGTCTGAAAATGATGCCAAATTGATATTTCTCTTGGAGATCCGACTTTCATAATCCTGTAGTTTGCAAGGGATTAAACACCTGTCGAATGACAACCAGAGAAAATGACCGGAGCTACTGGGACGGAACTAAACCTCTTTAATATAGGTCCAAATAAAATATTCAATTGTGTTTATCTTTCAGAAGAACACTTGATCGGAGATAGTCTAGTTAGCACATATGATGTGGATTGTGAGTTAATTAGGGCTGCAGATTTCGTCAAGTTCTTGAGATGTAAATAGGGCTAACCCTTACCCACATATGACGTCATTTGTGCTAGACCATCTTTGATCTAGCATTCTCCGTTCTTTTAGTTAGTAAAGGGACAACACTAAATCGGAGATGGTCTATCACATGTGATGTCATAGGTGGGTTACGGCTGCCGATTTCGTCAATTTCTCGAGATGTAAACAAGACTAGCACTAACCCTTACCATAATCCTTACCCACATATGACATCATTTGTGCTAGACCATCTTTGATCTAGCGTTCTCCGTTCTTTCAATTAGTGATGGGATAAGGTCTATATCTTTAAAGTGTTTTTAAAAAGATTTAACAAAGACAGATTATCATCTAACAAACTGAACAAATAAAATCCAGTGAAATAAACCATTTAATTTTTGACCCACATCAATGAGGTAGTGACATTTTCAATTAAAACAATTCCCTACGGCTAAAATGAATTAAGTAGCTAGAAAGGCCTAAAATGATTGTTTATTATGAATGTAAACCCGTTTATTGCAGGCCTTTTTTCTGGCTTCAGATGTTACTGAAATTATTATTTAAACATTTATCAACATGACAAGCCTATAATCAACTTGGATGGCTCCATTTTTAAATAACAATAGGACATTAAACCCCATTTCATTTCATTTCATTTTCTATTTTAAGTAGATTATAAAACAGCCGCCCTTTACGACTTTACAATAAAAAAAATAATCGAGACATAGTCTGGATTGTTCAAGTACTGTTGCCACGATAATAAACAATCTACGCTACATCTTGTTAAAACTTTAAACACTCTTAACTTCACACAGAATAAAGTAATTTGACTGAAATTTTCAATATATTCATTTTTTATTACCTTTTTTCGATCGTTTAGCTCTTCTTCTAATTCTTACATAATTTATCTTCAAGAAAGTTTTAGAGAATTTTAAAGTGAACTATTGAAGCCTTAATTATATACAAACAAATTCCTGCACAAAAAGGTGCATTCGTTAACAAGTGTAAAATATACAAATAAAAGAACAATTGTTCTATATATACAAACAATTTCTAAGGTAAACTATACCAGATAATACAAATATCTTGTATTAAGAAACTGATCATAAATAAGCTGGGTTTTATGCTGGGTAAAATAAGGATCTTTGATAATTTTAACATATATATACTATTGCATTTAGCCATTTATATAAAATATTATACATTTTTATGCTGGTTTAAATAACGATCTATGATAATTTGAATAAAACTGTATTTAGCTATTAATAAAATATTATGAGTTTTTATGCTGGTTTAAATAACGATCTAATTTCAATATAAATGTTAAATACTACTGTATCTATGAATTATTGGGATGAATTGATATTAAAGTTGGTTTTCAAGCTGGTTTAATAAATAATGTAACATATTTGATATTTAGAAATGCGTCCATAAAGCAAGACAAAAACAACATTGTTCTAGAAAAAAAACAGGTATCCCCAATATCTTTTAGTGAATAGAATTAGTAAATTTGTGGTTAAAGACACTTTCAATCCTTTATCCTTATTGTGTTTACCTGTCGCATGCCCAGAGACACTTTTTTGAGGCAATACAAACTTTCAGTTTCCATGTGGGGTTGGCTGTAAGTCCCAAAAGTCTATGCAGTGCAAATATTAAGCAAATCTGAACTGAACAGTTGAATTTTTTGATTTAAAATTTTCCATGTTTTGGCATTTAATTTACGATTTCAACCAACTTTTTACCATGTCCTGTGACATCAGGAACTTCCACACCAACATGCCGAGTTACATGTCCTGTGACATCAGGAACTTCCACATTAACATGCCGAGCTACATGCATTTAAAGAGAATAAAGGAATATATTTGGTTTTAAACATTTGGCACATACATAAATTGAAATAGCGTGAACATTAAAATTATAAAATATAATTAAAATTATAATTAAATACTAACTATAAAACATTATGAAACAATTCATTAATAACAGAGAACTACACAAAACAATTATAACAATACTACATTACATTATTCTAGATTTATATTGTAACATGGTATATTTATTATTCTAGATAATAAATATTGTACCATGGTATATTTATTATTCTAGATCTATAATTATTGTAACATGGTATGATTATTATTCTAGATTATAAATATTGTACCATGGTATATTTATTATTCTAGATTATAAATATTGTACCATGGTATATTTATTATTCTAGATTATAAATATTGTAACATGGTGTATTTATTATTCTAGATTATAAATATTGTAACATGGTATGATTATTATTCTAGATTATAAATATTGTACCATGGTATATTTATTATTCTAGATTATAAATATTGTAACATGGTATAATTATTATTCTAGATTTATATTGTAACATGGTATAATTATTATTCTAGATTTATAAATATTGTAACAAATACTTTTAAAATTGTGCGAATATAAGCTTAAAACAAATAGTTTTAAAATTGTGCGAATATAAGCTAAGCTTGAAAAATATTGTCTATTTATCACAGAAACGTTTCAAGAATCCAACAAATAACAGTGATAGTTGTATTATATATATATTTTAAAACTGTTTTGCATATAGCATGTGAAACATATCTATTATTTTCAGTTTAATGATGATCATAGGGTGGTTATTTCTATATACAAGCTATTAAAAATTATGCAACATAAAAATAAGTAAAAATACAATAATTCTATTAAACAACAAGATATTACAAAGTTCTTTTAGACATCTGGTGTTTATTAATTTAAGGTTCACATTTCAAGGTTTTTCACGTTTCTTCTTTATCTCAGGTTTATAATAAAGACACTTTAATTCTAAGAATATGAAATTTTTAACATAATCTCAATTTATTAAGTGGATTTAAACATTAAAACTATAAATTTCACTACACAGCATTTATCATGTTTTAACTATAAACGCTTTGACTGGACATGACATTTCATTTGCAAAAATATGACAATTTTTAAGATATTCTCAGTTTATAATCAATGTTTATGTGCTTTTACACATTAAAACTATAAATTTAATGGTATTTACGACGTTATTAACATTGACCGGAAAATTTATATATGGATATGTCCAAGAATATGACAATTGAAGAGTCCTGGGGAAGAACGATCTAAGTCACATTTTTATCTTTTCGCATAAAAGGCAAAACAGACTTTTGGACTAGAATGCTTGATGCGAACAAAACAATGAGTGGGTTTAATTACAACTTCAAAATGATGTTTAATACGAATCATAATTACCAGTACAACAACTGACTTCCACTTTTCAGGCAAATTGCGGTCAAATAAAGGGTACGATGGACTTGTATTTGTCCGTGGAGCCATTTTAGAAGGGCATTGGATCGATGTGACTCCGATCGTTTTTACCTAAAATTAGTTCCTCCACAGAAAGCTTATACAATTTGCTACCAGATGGTGCCATTAACTGGGTTTCGTTGAAAAAATGACTTAGATCGTTCTTCCCTGGGGCTCTTCAATTCTTAATATTAACTCAAATAATAAATAATACATTCATTTGTAAGTGCTTTTTACACTCTAGTATGAATTTAACTGTATATATTGTATTGTTAGCTTTCAATGTTTTAACTGGTAAATATATGGCTGAAATAATACTACTATGCATAAATAATTTGTACTTTGAATAAATCTACCCAAATTAAATTGTTTTCAGGAAATGTTCAAATTGACCAAAATGTTAATTCTGTAGCACATTACTACAAGAATTCATAAATACTTCTGTGTACTGAAATCAGCAAATTAAGAAGTGGGCATGCTACATATTTAGAACAAGTCAGCATTTCTTTATAACATTTCCATCACAGAATAAAAACGGCAACTGCTACGTTAAGAAAAACTTTGATCCACCTCTCGTGACTTAACACATTTATCGGATATATGATCACAATTCATGGTAACCATGGCAATGTTTTGTGAAAGTTCTTTAATATACTTGTCAAGTTTACTAAAAGTAAAATCTACCGAACATGATGTCCCTGACTTGCTTTCTTTTGTATTGTTTATCGATGGTATTTTTGAACTATGTGTTTCTACTGTAGAATGTTCTGGTTTTCCACTGCAATGGTTCTTCACCATACTCTCCTTCAAATCATTCAAACAAACTCTGAAAAATAAGAATGTTTGAAAAGAAGTGTGGTTTAACATCCTACTGTTCAGTACCAACTGGGATAATGAAGACATGCGTACACCATACAGTGTATTATGAGGGGAAACTCATGAAACCAAAATGTAGAACTTTGCGAGCGCATTTGGAACTCCTAATACGAGTATTTATTGCGCTATATAAATTTGGATGTTATGTTATGTTATGTTAACTTTGCTTGGACAACAATTGAATTCAAACTAAATTGTTTGAGCAGCATTTAGTAACTGGATGAGAATAACACATGACACAATTATATACAAGTTACTTGAAGGATTTATTTCTGGCGACGTTTCGATGAGTGTTCTCCCGTCTTTATTGAGAAAGAGGGAGAGGAATGGAGTTTAACGTCCACTCGACACATCCTAGGTCATTTCGGGACTAACATATGGTTTAATTTTATTTCAAAACCTTGCCACGTACAACCGGGGATTCGAAACCTTATCGAGAAAAGAATGGCAACCATAGTATAATAAAGATATACCATGGTTTCTAAATGATTATATCTGATTATATATTAATGTCTTTCTTTGTTCCATATTGTGTGTATATATATCTTTATTATCGTTGTTCCCATCATTCTCTCTACATCCACGGAGCGATCATTCTCGGTATTCCCAGTGGTATTGTTCCGTTCTACTCCACTAACCTCTGGGTTTATTCACAAGGTTTTCACAAATTCAAATTATCTGCCCACGATCGTAGCTTGATTCTACGAACCAATCAATAAACAGTTTACATATCAGTGTTTACATTCACTGGGGATAGTGAGAATGGGGAGTAGGCATCCAAGTATTTTTTGCCCAGTCCCAATTGCCCCCACCATCAGGTTACCACTTTCAAACTATATTTTTTCACTTGTTATAGAACTACATATACTAAGGTGTACTAACCTGACTTTTTTTACTTTATCTTTCATACCATCACAACGTTTTTTAGTATCTATAACAATATGATGAATATTCTGCCACGCCTCTTGTTGTTCTAATAAACAACCTTCTGTAACAGATCGTAACTGTTTCTCTTGTTGTATCTGGGCTTTTAATTTCTCTACATTATTATACGTCTACAACAGATAAACACGCTAATATTATTATACGTCTACAACAGATAAACACGCTAATATTATTATATACTAAACTTATAAACAAACCAAGAATTTGTACTCTAGCTGGACATTCTGGAAGAAATTTCTTAACTCTCAACACAACACTAGATTATTTCAGACAAACATATGACATATCTTTATTTCATTAATTAATTTGAGTGCAGGCATCTTCAGAAGTGAGGGGAACCTGAAGAAAACCCCAAAATGTTAAACGACAGACTAATACAAGCATGAGATCAAAACCACAATACTTGAATCAATGACATACCTTAAAATCTAAATTACATGCATTTGACATTTTTGCCACACACCTTATGCCCCACTAAAATCTCTAATGGAACCATCAACAGTTGACCAAGTTTAATTACAATATGATTCTACGCACACCACATCTGTTATCAGGAATAACAGAACTATGGCAGGAATTAATTCCTTGCCACCCGATTCCGAATCTTGTCTGCTTTAAATCTAACATGCCAACAAGATGGTGTTACCTGATTTAACTGTATGGCCATCTCCTGCATTTCACCTTCTAATCTGTCAGCATACGCTCTCTCTAGACCAGTAGCTGATAACGGTGCATTACTATGCCAACGTGCAATAGCATTCGTCATTTTCTTCCTTGGTCCAAATAACCTAAAATCAAATTTAAATAAGTATCAAGAAGTTCTAATTTACACGTATAAATCTATAACTATTTGTGTTAAAGCCACAATATTCCTGTGTCAAATATAAACCCTGTGACAAAGTCCTCTATAACTTTCATCAAATTGAATGATCATTTAGGTGCTTGGAAATTATTAACCCCAGCTGATAAATTGTCTCTATGACTACAGACATATAACAACCTCTACCTAACACACCCATTGTGACTGGCTAAACACACAAGCTATAATTATACGACAGATGTAATAATATGGCCTCGATATATACATGACTATATCATTACACTGATCGAGGTCTGAAACTACAGAACATCAAATCAACATGTATTCAATTACTTATATATAGAGGATCATTTAAATGACTAATTTAATAGTGCAGGATGACCGCACTACACAAAAATCTACAAGATAAACCTGCGTACAAGACAGAATATGGACATTGCAAAAAATAAACAAATATCAAATCAAGTGAATGGATCCGGGGGCCAGCCGTAAGCATCCACTGCGCTGTACAGAAATAAAACCTATAATGAATAAGAAACTTACTTAATGCCAACCTCCTTTAGATCATTATCTGTGAGAGATAAAAACACGGTTAAATCAACATCTTGTTCTTCAAATATTGGTAAATATTTACACAATCCATGTTTCTCTAATAATGATGCTAAATCTTGTGGGTAACTAGGTGGGATAATTGGTTGCCCTGGAAACATACCTGTTGCTAGGGGTGGAATTATGGGATCTCCCGGTATAACATCACTCATATTGCTACTAGCAACCACAGTATGTATATTTTGAACTGTCTCGGTAGCAGCAGAATCAACGCCGAGGATGTTGTCTGCTATAGTATTTGATAAAACACTAGGATGTTTATTAACCGTGGTATCATGAGGTAAGCTGTAATTATCTACCACTAATGAAGCAGAAATTCCCGTGGTTAGTGGGTTTGCAGCCACACTGTAATCTTCTGTGTCATTTGTAGAAATACCTGAATCTCTTGTGTCTGGTGAATACGCCATATCTGTACGTATGTGACCCATTTGTGATTTCCAAATATTTTCCGAGTTAAGATGATTGTCGAACGCAGAAACTAAACTTCTGTAATTGGTTTCAAGCTGTAAATCGGCCGAAACTGGACATGTTTTTATTTCTTCAATATTATCACAGTGAACTTTTAAATTTTCCCTTACTGCGTTTAAGTTGTCTTGAACGCTGTCATATTTTGATTCCGAGCTAGGAGCAGATGAGAATTGTTTTAATTTTGAATGATTTCCCATTATAGTTTCAAGTCGTTGATGAGGATTAAATGGAGTCAATATAGTTTGGTTGTCATTTGTCACATGCTTTTGATCGATTTCATCTTCACCACTACTTGATGGAGTTAGAGTTGCTATGGGCACACCACCATACATACTATTGCCATAGTGATTCTGTTGGATGCCTTGACTAATGTTTCTATGGAGATTGTTGGTATGTTGACATGGAGGAGGGAAGTCATCACTCTCTAGACTATTATCTCGACTCAGGCCAAGAGCTGCTACTAATCCACCACTTGAACTTGAGCTGCTCTTGATGGTAATGGCACCAGTTTTAGAGAAAGCATTGCTATCCTCTTCATTTTCATATGATTCTGTCAATAATAAAAACAAGTATGAATATACCTATTTTTTCTTACAGTTAAATTTTAAATGTCTATTAGGTGAAACAAAAGTAAAGTATTTGTAACTTTTTTGTTCAGAGCTTCTTAATTTTAATTGGTAACTTAAAATTTCTCTATCACAGTTTTGGGACACAGCACATACACTTGGGTCATTTTGCTCAAACGTATCTGTGCTACATTAGAGAACAGAACTGACACAGTTATATGGGATAATAATCACTGAATTATTATACACAAGCACAATGTTTCGATAAGTATCATCTTATTGTTATCAAGCTAAATGCCACTAAAAGATTGTATATTAGAAAAGATCATAAGCTTGACACCAAACCTGCAGCAGTGTAGTAACAGATCTGGTTTGTTTGACTGCCAGTTCATATACGTTATACTAGTACATAATTTATTTCACATTAAAATTTAATAAAACAAAGTAAACTTATGAGAGGGAGAGTAGAGGCCTTTAGCAGTGAGAGAAAACTGGAGAACCCGGAGAAAACACACGAGGTTGAAAAGACAACAATACTCCTTGTCATGTTCAAGCAGGGAAATCAAAACCACACTACATGACTCAATGACAGAACTTATGATTTCACACGCAAGCATTAAACCATTAGACAATCTCCCCTCCATTAACCTATGAAGTTGCAAGCAAGGGGTGATGGATCCTATTTAATGGACTGAAAATTTCACAGCTTTATTGCTTAAAGGAGTTGAATCCTCTTGTTAGTTTTGGATGTGAAATAAGTAAAGTAAAACAAACCCTTTCCACCAGAACTATCTAGAGTATAATCTTCAGGATTAATAGGTGAGGTAACATCTCTATATGATAACTGGGTCTCGTCATTCTGTTCACCAGTATTCTGGGGAAAAGTTACATAACCTTTTGGTACACAGGCCTCGACTGTTATAAAAATAAATAACCCATTAATTACAAATATATATTCATACTCCTGTAATAACATGCTGGAATTTCAAAAATAATTTGTAAAGTCATTTTAGTTTCCATTAATAGGGCACGATATAAAGATTATTGAATGGTAGTCAATCAGAGACTAAAGTCTAGCTAACAACCCACCGTACGCGTTTTGACACACGCAGGTCGCAGTGTCTGATAATTCGCAGACCTGCTGCAAGAAACCAGGTGAAAATTTAGTATATGCTGGACCAAAAGTCTCTACAGCCAGTCTGCGACCTTCTACATTGCCGAACACATGCAAATGACGTGTAAGTCTCACGCACAGGTTTACTAAAATTTCCCCCGTAGACTGCACGTAGTATGGCAGATGGTGAGCTAGGCTTTACACTGTTACCTTTGTCTACGATTACTTGGGTAATACTGGAAGCAATTTTACCAGACTGAGGTACCAGTATTTCCCAGCTTCTCTTCCTCACATTTGAGTGTGTACCTTTTTCATTATTCCCCCCATCCTTAGAACTAGGTCCACGTCCATTGGCAGTCCAACATGTGTCACATTATGTAGAAGAATAAGAAGTTAATGATTTACCTGTAAATTGATGTAATGATTTACCTGTTAATTAATGTAATGATTTACCTGTTAATTGATGTGAGGTATTAGATGGTTTCGATCTATCGATTAATCTAGCTATAGCATCAGGACCATCACGAATACTAGGTCCAGCTGGAATAATTATAATTCATTATTAACTACATGATTTACAGATATCAATTTCTCCTTTTATTAGCTTATTTGTTCATTGTGTTCGTTCAATCTTCATTCTTCAGTTTGAGCAAACATTCCCTAAGTTGTCTTTACGTGTAATTGACAACGTCTGTTCTATGTACCATTATTTGCTAATATCATTAGGGTCCATTTATTTGACTAAATTTGATATGCTTAGAGAAAGCACATGGTGTTACAATTCAGACACTCTAAATAAATCACCATCAAGAATACAACAAAGAAATACAAATTTCAGAAAACAGGGCATGATCTAAAATAAACTATAAATGCCAAGAGAATAAAAAGAATATATATCTGATAGATGAGTCCAGTGACAAAGATATCAGATCCTAGCTAGTATACTTACATTTTATTTTCATTTTGACACCTCGCATATTCTGAGGTCGAGGTCGTCTAACAGCTTCATCAGATGAACTACAGTCAGCTATAAAAAGAGATAAAGTATAATGACTGGTTAATGACCGGTTAATGACTAGTTATTAATAAAGTATAATGACTAGTTAATGACTAGTTATTAATAAAGTATAATGACTAGTTATTAATAAAGTATAATGACTAGTTATTAATAAAGTATAATGACTAGTTATTAATAAAGTATAATGACTAGTTATTAATAAAGTATAATGACTAGTTATTAATAAAGTATAATGACTAGTTAATGACTAGTTATTAATAAAGTATAATGACTAGTTATTAATAAAGTATAATGACTAGTTATTAATAAAGTATAATGACTAGTTATTAATAAAGTATAATGACTAGTTATTAATAAAGTATAATGACTAGTTATTAATAAAGTATAATGACTAGTTAATGACAAGTTAATTACTGGTTAATGACTAGTTATTAATAAAGTATAATGGCTAGTTAATGACTAGTTAATGACTGGTTAATAATAAGGTGTCATATTTTGTATGAACTACAGGAATACTAAGTTTATCATGACTTTATCATAATGACAAAAAACAGTTTAAAATCTCATGACCTTACCCTTGTTTACAAGCCTATACTGTAAAAACATGATCTATAGTGTAGGTCCAATATCCTTTTATCAACAATAATGTAGCAATAATCATGGAAGAACTTTTGTGAAAACACTCAGAATCAATAGGGGTCTTATTTAAGTCTAATCAGTGAATAATTGATTTGTTTTAGAATGAGAATGACTATGAGTAGCTGGTACGGTTTATCAACAAAAGTATACCAGGGGCAGTAACTCATATAGTATATCAGGGGCAGTAACTCATATAGTATACCAGGGGCAGTAACTCAAATAGTATATCAGGGGCAGTAACTCATATAGTATATCAGGGGCAGTAACTCATATAGTATATCAGGGGCAGTAACTCATATAGTATATCAGGGGCAGTAACTCATATAGTATATCAGGGGCAGTAACTCATATAGTATATCAGGGGCAGTAACTCATACAGTAATATTGATAAAAGAATCTAGTTGTATACATACCTGGTCCTGACCTAATACTCAGTGGCATCAAATGATTATCTATAAGACTAACGATCTTCATATAACCATTAATTAAAGCTACAGATCTAGCCATATCACCATTATATGTCTTAGCATTTACATTGACACCCTGAAATATAATACAACATTATAAATACTAGCCCTGTATACATAAATACAAATATATCTCTCTCCATATATACCATCACTACAATAGATAATACTGATTTACTGGGATATGTTTGTCTGGATTTTGAAACCAATTAGTGGTAAACGTTCAGAGCATTTCGTCCAAATCCTGCATATAGTACACTGTCCAATGAGTTAGTTTTAAACACACTTAATATAAGAAACATGGTTTAATAGCTAGGAGAACTACCAAATTCTGATAACTTACAAATTGTAGAAAGAGTTGAACAATAATTTCATGGCCTTCAGCTGCTGCCTCCATTAAAGGTGTTACACCACTACATGGTACTCTGTAAAACATAATATTATCTTTCCTCAAACTTCTTATAGTACTGGATTATTACTTAACCTTAACGTCCATGCAACACAAAATAGGTCATTTCGGGACTAACATATGGTTCAATTCTATTTCAATAATTCGCTTGCGTGTGTAGGGGTCTTTAGCAGTGGGAGGAAACTGTAGGACCCGGAGAAAACCCACGAGGTTGGACAGGCACAATAATATAAAAATGTACATAACTTCCCTTAAAACATTTCAAAGAAAAAACTTACACAGCATCCATATTAGCCCCTGATGTAAGTAAAAATCTGACAAAGTTTTGATGTCCTGAGTTTGTGGCATGAAATAAAGCTGTCCATCCTTTTTTATCTAAAGATTCTAATTCCGCTTCATGCTGAAAACAAAATATAAATATATTAAATATACAACGACAAATAATTGTTATTTTACTGTCTCTCTGTGCTAAAAAGGATATTTGAAGACCAGTTTAGTCATTAAGATGAGATGTATTCATCCATATAAAACATGACAGTCATTTGGCTAAATAGTATAAATGAAATGAAATGTGGTTTAACGTCCTACTGTTCTGCTCCGACTGGGCTAATGAAGACGGGCATACGCCATGCTATGAGCGAAATTGTGCCTGGACAGTGGCGCTACAGACTATTCTTATATCAAATTTCAACTACCAGGTGATCTTTTACGTGCATGCCAATGTGTACATGGGACCATCCAAACAAATAAACAGCTGTCCTTTTCAGACCCTCTGTCCTGCACCACTGACAAGGGGGAAACTACGCTGGAAAATCCAGATGAACTTTCTCGGCCAATGCAGGGATCGAACAGCCGACCTCCAGGCTAGCGAGCCAGAGCCTTACTCACTTAGCCACTGTGGCTCCCAACAGTATAAAACATTGCACCCATGACCGTAAGCGTTTCATCTATGTAAACTATGAGTTGAACCCATTAATTATTCATGACAATCATTGATTCTGCTAGAAAACATCATAGTCTATCTAATATCTTCCCACTGCTATATAGGGTATTAGATCTGATCATTGTATAGTCTCGGTCACCCAGAACCTCCTAGTCTTCAACATACGGAGGGTCTGGGACCGTTGTCAATATTTGACGTAAAGTCCATTGCCCATGCGTAACCGGGAGTTTGGTTTTTAATGTGGTTGATTATCAAGTCTCTTTAGCCATGAGTTTCGCCCCTTCCCACAAAAAATCCCATAATTCTTGCATTAATATAAACAAACATGAATCGTGACGACGAATTAGGATTTTAAAATTTTCAAAGCATAGATATGGCCAATAAATAAAGAAATTTTACAATAAAAAATCAAAAGTGTTAGATATTGAACTCGCATGAAATCAAATGGATTTCTTGAAATGACATTCTTAAATTAATTTCATGGGCGTAAACATCTTGTTTTAAGAGGAGTTACCTCCCTTAGACATTGTTTATGACAATGTAATATACCAGATTATCTAGTCAATTTTTCTCAAATGTTGACAACGCATCCAGACTAATATTCGTAGAATATTTTTCTGGATGATAGAGACTAATCATTGTAAAGTCAAAGTTTTATTAGGAATTACTTTGGTCGAATCATAAAACAGCTGTACAGAAATATATAATTTAGTTTACCTTGACTAGAAGATGACCAACTGCCTCGTTACCACAACTTGCTGCAAGCATTAACGGAGTTTGTCCTTTATTATTCTTCATATTAATATCACATTCGGCATCTATCAATAATTTAGCAATAGCTTCATGACCGATATAACACGCATACATCAATGGTGTCCATCCTCCTCTATTTCTTTTATCAATATCAACTTCACCCCTTCAAACAAAAAATTATATAGCTTTAGATCAATCATTTTGAGATTCAATGTAAATCTACAAATTCCCTGAACGTTCATAAGCTAATATGTTCATATATATGTAATTCTAAAAACAACGGCAGTTTTAATCCACAAAGAATACATTTACTTATTTTATAAATCATTTAAAGATACATTATGTAAGATTTAGATAAAGAGCTGACCATTGTTGCTATAATTGCTTAAAAATAGATAATGTAAAATGAAAATATTGAAAATTTCATTCAAATTACTTCATTCTGAGCCAAGTTATCACTGGTTGTAGTTTTGACAAGATGTGTGCATAGTGGTAACCAGGGCAATGGTATATTTGAGACTTGACCTCACTTTCCCATTTTAAAATTAACTTTTTAAATGGCAAAACGTTCTAATCTAGTTAAAATCTCGAGTATCCGATGCCATCGCGAGTTGATTATGGTCTCGTTTTGTTAATAAATGTCTAATTAAAAGTTTATATAACATTTCAGACCCAAAGAAAGACCTGCAATAGACAGATTTAGCTCTTGTATAATGAATGTTTAATCTAACAAATAAATATTTTTTTGTCATTGTCCTACCTGTAGGCCGACAATATGATGAATTAAATAAAAAATATTCTAGTAATTCTAAACTTACTTGTTTATTAATGATCTAACTGATTCATATTGTCCGATACTAGAAGCTGTGTGTATATCTATTCTAACTGGTGAGAAATCATCCTTGTCAATTACACTTGGATTCCAACCCCTCCATACTGATAAACTTTTATCCAGAAGTTCATTTTCAGATGCTTCATCGGATGCTTCATAAGCTAATTCTGAAGCCATGTTGCATTTGTCACTTGACTTGATAATTTAACTCCACAATTTCCTAAAAAAACAACAATCTATTAATTAATAATAAATATGAACATTCTACCTAAGACTATTATTCAGCGGGAACTACCCTATCTTCTACTTACGTCTACAGTTATAGATCCAGCAGGCAGCAGATGTAATTGGTTTTGTTTTTGGGGATCCAGGCTCGGCCTGGGGGTCGGGTGTTCGATCCCTGCATTGGTCGAGAAAGTTCATCTAGATTTTCCGGTGTGGTTCCCCCTTGTCAGTGATGCAGGACGGTGGGACTGGCAAGGACAACTTTCTAGTCGTTCGTCGGATGGGACGGAAAACTGAGGTCCTGTGTACACATTGGGGTGCACATAAAAGATCCCTTGGCAGTTGGAATTCGATATAAAAGTTGGCCATAGCGCCACTGCCTGGGCAAATTTTCACTCATCATACATTGTATGGTGTATGCCCGTCTTCATTAGCCCACTCGGAGCAGAACAGTTTAGTTATCCAATCTAGATGATATCTCATCGACTCATCACTTGATATTAGTTATTACTTACAAAAATACAACTCATCAACTGATTACAAATATAACTGGTTTCAAAGGAATCGCAGAAAAACCTATCTCACTCATACCCAATATTTATATCAACCACGATTTTGGAGTAATATTTTAGATTTCAATAATCTTATTTATACAGTAATCAAACTATAATCACCTCAATTATCAAAGATCTGGATGAAATTGACAATTTTAGCCGCCATGACACAACACGGCTGCGGAGATGTTCAAGGGAGAAAACTCTAATTTACCATATTGGGTATTGAGAGTTATCCACCCTCTAACGTGAGATCAAATCAAAATGAAAAACTTGTGTTCTTTCTGTAGAGCATTTCTTGTAAGAAACTACAAAACTTCAAAATTTTATTTACCAAGGTTTGTAAAAGTAAATGCTCAAAATTACGAGAAAGTTAATGGTCAATAAAACAAAAATAACCCGATAAAATGGACATGTAATAAATTTCAAGCCATGTCAGTCTGTGGCACTGTTGGAATAAACTAAAAGCTACCGGGTACTACTTAAACTAGTACTAGTACTTTAGTACTTGTCACTAATGTCACAACTCTTCCCCCCGTGCTCGATTATCAGAATCCCGCATCCCCCACCTCCCCCCACCCCGCACCGTACTTCGAACCTTGCTTGAGCTTTACATATCGTGATTCACAACGACAAGAATTGAAAGAAAACTACTAAATCATACAATTCCTTTTATTAACTTTTATTTAATTCCATGATACAATATTTCTTATTCCTATGTTATTGGAGCTATGGTGGGTAAGACGCTGGCTCGCTAGTCTGGTAGTCACGGGTTGGCCAAGGAAGATCATCAGGATTTTCCGACGTGGTTTCCCCTTGTCATGGGTGCAGGATGGAGGGCCAGACAAGGACAGCTGTCTAGTTATTCAAATGGGACAGAAAACTGAGTTCCTGTGTACCCAATGGCGTGCACATAAAAGATCCCCAGACAGTTGAAATTTGATATAAGAGTAGGCCTCATAGCATTCTGTATGGCGTATGCTTGTCTTCATTAGGGGGGTTGGATGGTTGAATGGTTAGCGTGCGCACGCTGTATCATAAAGTCTGTCATTGAGTCGACTGGCGTGGTTTCGAATCCCCGGTTGTACGTGGTAAGGAGTAGGGTCGCCTGTCCAACCTGGTGGGTTTTCTCCGGGGCCTCCGGTTTCCTCCCACTGCTAAAGACCCCTACGCGCAAGCGAATTATGTAAATAAAATTAAACCATATGTTAGTCCCGAAATGACCTAGTTTGTGTCGAGTGGACGTTAAACCCCATTTCTCTCTCTCTTTTGTCTTCATTAGCCTAGTTCGGAGCAGAACAGTAGGATGTCAAACCCCATTTCATTTTATATTCCATGTTATTTGACATTCCTTGAGATTTGCAGTGTTAAATTTATAGTGTGATCTATTTTATTTCATGCTTGAAATGGGTTAAAATCGCTTGCATTCTACAATCTTCACCAAACATATAGCTCTAGAGGCTAATTGTAACTAAAACTTATCTTCTTATTTTACAGATATAGTTTTAATTGTGATAGATTTTATTCAACGGACAATTTTGGCAGCGGAAGAAAGGTAATACATCTTTATAATATTCAAAAATTATACTATAAGATAATATCGTTAATCTTATGAGTTGGCATTTTTCAAATCTAGTGTACCGGTACTTAACCCGTTAAGCGTGACATTTTTAAAACGTTAACTACCCCCTATTGTGTAATTAATTTGACGAAGTGACGAAGAACTATGTACTATGTTCTAAGAATAGGTTGGGGAAAATACCTCCAAGGTGTTATATTACGCCCTACACACAGTGAGTGGCAGTTGTCCAGGACGTAATATAACATCCTACACATGCTACGATCGTGGGGGAATTCCCCCAAGTGACGAACTATGTTCTAAGAATAGGTTGGGGAAAATACCTCCAATGCGTTATATTACACCCTACACAGTGAGTGGCAGTTGTCCAGGACGTTATATAACGACCTACGCACTTAACGTGTTAATTTAGGTAAATATTAACCAAAGTTTGAAAGACTCCTGACCAGTAAGTGGAAGAGTTTATGGGTAGTTTACAAAAAGAAACTTAGTGAAATTTAATGGTTAGAACAATTAAACTAAGCTTGTTAGAAAATAAACAAAGATTGTTGATTCATCATTTATTTAAAGGAATAAAAATATTCTGTTTCATATTAATTAAAGCTATTCTGTTTCAGATTTCTACAGATTTATCACAATATCCGGTTGAGAGAATCAGGAATTTTAGTATAATAGCACATATAGACCATGGTAAAAGTACACTAGCTGATAGATTACTAGAAATTACAGGTAATTATTAGAGATACTTCTATCTAAGAGATAGAATGGTCTAATTAAAGCCTGTCTTCATTAGCCCAGTAAAGGAGCAGAACAGTAGGACATTAAACCCCATTTCATTAGATTTTGTCTAACTAAAGCGCTACACCTCAGATCTTCTGTTACTTACCCAATAAGTAATAAAATGACAATTGATATAACGAAACATATTATCTAAAGCCTCCACAAGGTAGAAATACTCATACCTATAAAAATATGCTAGTTGTTGGGATGATACAAAAAGCAAGATCTGATAAGAAAGAAGTAGTACCACTGCCAGGACAAAATGTCCCTCGTATCACCCTGCATGTCATCTATCCTTCTGTTTTTATTAGACCAGGTGAGGTAGTTATTTGTTTTATTTTACAGGTACTATACCAAAAGATAAAGGTAATAAACAGGTATTAGATAAACTACAGGTAGAAAGAGAACGTGGTATAACAGTTAAAGCACAGACAGCATCATTAATATATAATTATAAAGGAGAAGATTATTTATTAAATCTTATAGACACACCTGTAAGTAGAATAGGTCTTAAAACAAGTTATCTCCCCATGTGTATTGGCAGATGTTTGACAATGGCTATATCTATTTGTTAAGGCCAGCTCAATTTTTCTCAGTGAGATGTAAATAAGGTTAGGACACGTGATTGTTGGTGAGATTGTAGGCTAGGGTTACGGTAAGCAAGGTCTAGGGTTAGGGTTGGGATTAGCGCTAGCCCTGTTTACATCTCGTGACCTATGTCAAAAAATTGAGCTGGTCCTATCATTTAGCACAAATCGTCTGATAATGGCATCTATCACGACAGGACCTCATTATTTGAACAAATGGTGGTGAGTTACCTTGATCTGGCAATCCCCAATTTCACATACTAGTAGATATACAACCACATAACTTGAGTCATGACATACAAGAAGACTTGATCGAGAGTTGTAATTCGTTGTAGATGTATTATGTCTGTATCCATTTTGCCTGAATTCTGTTTATTAAGCTTGAAGAGTATTGTGGTTCATCAATCGTTCATGAAAATATCAGAATATTCTCATAACATCATTGATTAGTAGAATTTATTTAAGTTTTTTTATTTCAGGGTCATGTTGATTTTAACTATGAGGTATCTAGATCGTTGGCAGCATGTCAAGGTGTGGTATTATTGGTTGATGCCAATCAGGTATGTATGGGCCATTGTCTTATATAGTTTCAATTTCTTTTAGATAATATTAACCTGTTTTGAAATGATGATTAATGTTGAATTATTAATATGATATTATTTTATGTGTTTCATTTATACTTGATTCCTGTTCATCTGTTCAATGGGATTTTCTGACGTGGTTTCTCCTTGTCCAAGGTACAGAACGGAAGACCTGACAAGGACAGCTGTCTAGTCATTCGGATGAGACAAAAACCCATATCCTGTGTATACATTAGCGTGCATGTAAAAGATCTCTTGGCAGTTGGAATTCAATATAAGAGTAGGCCATAGTGCTGCTGCCCGGGTAAAATTTCACTCATAGCACACTGTATGGCATATGGCCGTCTTCATAAGCCCGGTCGGAGCAGAATAACCATGTACCTCATTTCCTGTTCACCTGTGATATGTTCTGTATTTTGTATTGTTGACAACTGACCAGCTATTAATGATTTAATATATTGATATGTTTACAGGGAGTCCAAGCTCAAACAGTGGCTAATTTCTACCTGGCGTTTGAGAGTAATCTAGTTATTATACCTGTATTAAATAAAATAGATTTAAAAGGTGCTCAACCAGATATAGTAACACAACAGATGAAAACATTATTTGATATAGATCCACAAACTGTTCATAAGGTAAGATAGAGAAATGGGATTCAACCTCTACATGACACAAACTATGTCTATAGCAGTGGGAGGACACCGTAGAAAACCCACAAGGTTCGACGAGTGACCCTATTCCTTATCACATACAAGCTTGAAACCATACCATTTGACTCAAGCGCACCAATTAGACAACTAGGCCCCCCCCCACCTCCTATAAAGTAAAAAAGTTAATAATATAGATGGGTGGGGATGAATCTTTCCAACTATTATGGGTTTTGTAAGATTAGTCCATTGTAAAAAGAGAGAGAGATATTATCTGTTTTATTAAAATCATCTGTACATTGCCCTGACAGTAAGTAAACATAGGCCACTATTAAAATCATCTGTACATTCAAGCCTGGAAATAAGGCACCTGTCAGGCACAGATTCAGGCTTTGTCAGACACAAAACCTCTGGTGCCTGTCATTTTGTTTGGCACTGATATGTCTTTTTTATTGATATTATTAAGTTGAAAATATCAGGTACTATTTCATTAGTGTCTGACATTTTGTCAGGTACATCTAAAAGCGTTATTTCCAGGCGTGAGTACATTCCCTTGACAGCAAGTAAACATAGGCCATTATGAATATGTAATAGTGATCTTGTACTAAAGGAATGGCACATTTTTTTGGTTCCAATTTTTACCTTGAAGTTTATGTTAGAAAATATATACTTGGTTGATTTGGCTGGGTAGTTGATGATGATTTATTTGAATGTTTTAGATTTCAGCTAAAGCAGGAACTGGAGTAGAAGAATTATTACATACTGTAATAGAAGATATACCACCGTAGGTAAACAGTATCTTTATCAATAAAATAAATATATTTACATTCTCACAAATTACAATAGTTATGTTTCCTGCAGTTAGGTTTTTCTGGTTCTAGTTTAAGGCAAACAGACAATACATATAGTTAATAGATACACAAGAAAATAAATAAAGGTTTAATATTTATTTGAATATCATTGCAAGTTTTTCTAGACAGGGTTTAGCCTCTCTCTGCCTCCATATAGTCTGGTGTTTGGTATGCTGTCAATAACTTAGTACTATTCAGCTTGTTCTAAGTCGTATGAAAGCGTAGGTCCGATCTTTATATTCGACTGGTTTAGAAACTTTATAATTGTTTTTATTGTAGACCTAATGGTAGTAGAGAAGCTGTAACCAGGGTTTAGGACATTATTATTGTATTGTTTTTATTGTAGACCTAATGGTAGACGCTGTAACCAGGGTCTAGAGTATTATTATTTATTGTTTTTATTGTAGACCTAATGGTAGTAGAGAAGCTGTAACTAGAGCGTTATTATTTGATTCAACATACGATCAATATAAAGGAGTTGTTGGTTATTTCTCATTAATAGATGGTATGGTAACTAAAGGTAAGATAGAGAGTTAATCAACTCTATAAAGCTGCTTATCACTTCAATGTAAGCTAACGTTAAATAAAGCTATTTCACACACTTAGTTGATTACCCTTCCCTTGCATCATACCGTAGTGTACCGTAAGTATATTCAGACGTATGAATTATATTAATGGCTATGATTTATGCGATGGTTAAAGTGATGCTGCAGTATGTACTACAGGAAGCTTTCACAACAATATTCCAGTACGTTTCCAACTGACTAATGTTGTACATAATGTTGATATCTTGTTAATTTGTAGATGTGTACCAAGTTATTCATCTATACTAATAGATGTCTGTCTGTCTGTCTGTCTGTCTGTCTGTTCAAGGTTGGTAGCTGCACTAGGATAGACTGAAGTTTTGTGTATAGGGGTAGTTTGGACCAGAGAGTAGCATAGGCCAAGTGGCGATGCCAACCACTTCCAGTTTTCCTAGTTACATTACATCCGGTTCATGGTTATAACGCCAGGTCAAATGCTAGTTCATTCATAATATTTATCATCTGGTTCCTCTAACCGTATATAATTTACAGTAACAAAGTCTGTTGTTATTTCAAATTCAGTGAATCTGTTGCTATTTCGAATTCAGTATCTCTACGTGGAGTTTTTTTTTTTTTCAGGGAACAAAATAACATCATATCACAATAAAAAAACATATGAGATACAAGATCTAGGTTTTATGCATCCTCTAGAAGAACCAACCAATTCACTGTAAGTTTAATATCATTTATGGTTGTAGACCAGTGTTGTCTGTGTATTATATATTTATATCTATATACCATCTGTTGAGAAAGGTGTTTATATTGATATACAACAGTCTAGTTTGTATTATATACCCTGTTGTACGGGGAGAGGTCGGATGGCTGAATGGTTAGCATGTGTGCGTTGTATCATAAGGTCTGTCATTGAGTCAACTGGCCTGGTTTCAATTCCCCGGTTGTACGTCACATGGAGTAGGGTCGCCTGTCCAACCACATAGGTTTTCTCCGGTTCTTCTAGTTTCCTCCCACTGCTAAAGACTTCTACGTGCAAGCGAATTATTGAAATGAAATTGAACCATGTGTCAGTCCTGAAATGACCTAGTCTGGGTCGAGTGGATGTTAAACTCCACCTCTCTCTCTCTTTCTTTCCAAGGTAAATCGACTCGTTTTTTTTTTTTACATTTTGACTATTACCTGCATAGTTAAATGTGTATAATTATAGATATGCTGGTCAAGTTGGGTATATTATATGTAATATGAGAAATGCTAAAGAAGCACAAGTAGGAGATACGTATTATTTACAGAATACAGAAGTTCAACCTTTACCTGGTTTTAAAGCTTCTAAACCTATGGTACGATTAAATTATTCAATATACCTGTCAATTATTCAATATACCTGTTAATTATTCAATATACCTCTTAATTATTCAATATACCTGTTAATTATTTAATATAAATGGCAATTATACCTGTCAAATATTTAAACAGAGCTAAATCTGTCTATTGCAATTCTTTCTTTAGGCCTGAAATGTTATATAAATTATTAATTAGACATTAATTAATCAACTCTAGATGCCATCGGATGGTTCTGATTTTAAGTGGATTAAAATGATTCAGCCATTTAATAATTTGATTTAAAAATGGAGAAGCAAGGCTAAGACTCGAATGACCAGTACGGTAGTTACGATAATGCAGACATCTTGTCAAAACTACAACCATTGATAACTTGGCTCAAAAAAGAAATAAATTGAGCGAGATTTTCAATATATTCATTTTGCATTATCTATTTTTGAAATATTACAGCGAGAATGGTCAGCTCTTTTTCTAAATCTTACATAATGTATCTTTAACTGAATTAGTCTAGAATTATTTAACAAAATAGTGTTAGAAATTAATTTTGAGGCAAGTAATGTTAGAAATGGTCTTCTATGTTTAAAATTTATTTAAACTGTGTATTTATAGGTTTTTGCTGGTATTTATCCGTCAGATCAATCAGAATTTAGTTCTCTACGTAATGCTATAGAAAAATTAACATTAAACGATGCCAGTGTTTCTGTTCATATAGATAGCAGGTGAGGTATTGTTTATATAGCAGGTGAAGTATTCTCAACAGTTTAAAAATTTGATCCAAGTTGCACTATGGCCTACTTTTTTATCAAATTCCAACTGTCAAGGGATCTTTTATGTGCACGCCAATGTATACATGGTTCAATGGTTTTTCGTCCCATCCTGCATCACTGACAAGGGGAAACCACACCAGAAAATCCTGATGAACTTTCTTGGCCAATGCAGGGATCTAACACGCGACCTCCAGGCTAGCAAGCCAGTGTCTTAGCAACCATGGCTCCCCACATGTAAATGACATTTAGATCACCCTACAATACAATCACTGGTTTCACTGACATAGATCTATATTTACAATCTCTTTATAATTGGTTGGGATGGCCTAGTGGTCTAGAGAGCTACGCTTCGACCTCTAGCTGGCTGGTCACCACTGGCTTGCGGCTGTGTCGATCCCAGGTGTAAGTGTATGTGGCCTGGAGATAGGGGGAGCTTGTGGATTTACTCAGGATACTCTGAAAGACCCCTGCGTGTGTACTAAGATAATAAAGATGAAAATAAGACAACTTGTCTGTGATATCACCCTGTGTATATAGACGACTATTCACACTAGTCTTCATCCGCCAAGAATAAAGTCCTGTAGAGGTGTGGAGTTTTTTCTTTTACAAGCGTTGGAAAATATATTTTATAAAGATAAAGTTTATCAAATAGTTTTTAATTTCTTAAAAATAAGTTTTCACCCCTTGACATAAAATTCATATACTCAACACCTCATTAGAACAGGAAGGCATGAGTTTATATTTATTTAACTTAAATTTATTATTTATTTTAGTCCCGCTTTAGGTCAAGGTTTTCGACTTGGTTATCTAGGTTTATTACATATGGATGTATTTAGTCAGAGATTAGAACAAGAACATAATGCATCAGTTATAACATCTTGTCCTAATGTACCATATAAAAGTAAGTTATATAATATATAATACATCAGTTATAACATCTTGTCCTAATGTACCATATAAAAGTAAGTTATAAAATATAATATACATCAGTTATAACATCTTGTCCTAATGTACCATATAAAAGTAAGTTATATAATATACCATACATCAGTTATAACATCTTGCCCTAATGTACCATATAAAAGTAAGTAACACGTCCATATTCTAAATAACTCATTCTTCATCGCCTCAAACATTGCTGACGTTCTCTGCAACCTCGTGGATTTTATCCGGGTCCTCCGGTTTCCTCCCACTGCTAAAGACGCAAGCAAATTATTGAAATAAAATTGAACCATATGTTAGTCCCGAAATGACCTAGTCTGTGTCGAGTGGACTTAAACTCTCTCTCTCTCTCTAGGTAAAACCAACCAAACTATACTCCTGTTTACTAGTGGAACTATTATTAACAATGGGGTATAAATATCTAAAATTAATACTAAACCGATTAAACCAGATTGAAATAATGGACCATGTTTGTCTCACTGATATATGGAACATACATACAATTGTCTACATTATATTTACAGTAAAGATTAAAGGTGCTAAAAATATTAAAAAATATACAACAGATGAATTAACAATTTTAAATCCATGTCATGTAAGTATGGAAATTATTCTAGAATTATTAGTATATATTATTGTTAGGAACCTAAAGATATAAAGATGGTGGCATAGAATTAATAGAAAGCAGATATAGCTTAATAGTATGTGCAGAAGGACCTCACCAACATAGCAAATAAATTAACTCAAAACAACCTATTTAATAGTAGGAGACTTTGAAACCATTAGCCAACTATGTGCAGAAGGGTCTCACCAAAATAGGAAATGAAATAACTAACCTCAGAAAATCCTATTTAATAATAGGGGACTTTGAAACTGTTAGCCAAAGAAAACTATCAAACAAAGTAATTGGCTATCAGGGTTGACGACTCGGTCTGCAAGAAGTAAAATGTCTAATAGAATATGTTTAAAACACAGATTTTATTTCATTTCTTGTTTTCTGTTTGATTAGCCAATAAAATGGTCTTTTATTCAAACTTTATGTGAGATGTGTATGGAATTGTGGGAGATAATATTGGTTGGTCTATCAGGGCGCTTGTTAAAGCACTGATTCTGATTATGTTCAGCTACATGTACACGGTTCCTGGCTTAAACTGTATTGACAACTTGTTAGATCTGTATCTGTATTTTAATGTAAAATATTTATTATTGTATAGTTACCAGATAAACAGATAATAGATGAAATGAGTGAACCGATTGTAACCGGTACTATATTAATGCCTGATGATTATATTGGAGATGTAACATCTTTATGTTTGGTAAGCTATTTATATCCTAATTATTAACATTTAAAATATATGTGACCCACTCCCACGAGACCCGGCGCTTGTCGAGCAACTTCATTTTGTACTACGGGCACGGAAGCATAAACTGTATGCCTTCTTGTTGCTGTGAATGAGCCGAACTCCAGATGATACGACAAATTTAAAAAGAATTGCAGTTTTTGGAAAGCTTAGGCTGTGGACTATTTAAATATGCTGCCAGCTCTATTTTTATAAAAATGAACTAAAAGTCTGGTGTTGTGGGAGCAGCTCACATACAAGGTTAATCAGATCATCTGTTACTAACTGATTGCTATAGACAAAGTGATTACTGGTAATAAGCTATTTTAATCACACATTTTACAAGAGATTTTTGGTCGTTAGAACACAGTATATACGTGTAGATATATGATAACAAATATTGTTCTCTGTAGTTTTAATATATTTACTAGTGAAGGGTTTTAACCCTATTTTTAATATTTTTGGGGATATATATTAAGTTTATAAAATGCTTGAAATACTCCCCATTAATAGAAGTTTTAAGTAATTTAATATTTTTGTGCCCTTGTTGTTTTGTATATATTTATAATAGGAAAGAAGAGGAGAAATTATAGATCAATCCTATATCGATAATAAAAGAATAATGATCAAACTACAATTACCACTTAATGAAATATTGATAGATTTTTATGATGAATTAAAATCTTTAACTTCAGGTTATGCCAGGTAAATATAGTTTTTATAGACAGGTTTCATACTGGTTCATGCTGTAAATACTCTCATTTCTAACAACTGGGATGATTTCTATGTATGGCCCTGAAGATGATTTTACTGGTCGTCGTGAGAGTGGTAGCTCTCACCTGTCATCATATTGTCGCCCAATTAGCATCATCTTAGAGGGGTGTTGATTGGCTGAATGGTTAGCTTGTGCGCGCTGTATCATGAGTTCTGTCATTGAGTCAACTGGCGTGGTTTTGATTCCCCGGTTGTACGTGACAAGGAGTAGGTTCGCCTGTCCAACCTAGTGGGTTTTCTCCGGGTCCTCCGGTTGTCCTTAAACAATTGTTGACCGTAATTTTGTTTTAATCTTTTTTTAATTCAGTTTTGATTATGAAGATGCAGGGTACAAAGTTTCCACTCTTGTAAAGGTAAAATATAGATATAATTTTATTCGCCCACATTTTCATGTAGACGAATATTGTAGTCGCCTCTGTCCGTCTGTCCACAATTGTTTGTGAACACTCTACAGGTCAATGAAACAGGTCGATTGCAATGAAACTTGAAATATAGGTTTATCACCCTAAGATCTCAGTTCCTTTCGATATTGGCATGTATCGGACTGTAACTTCATGGATTAAGGCCCCTGATTGTATGAAAAATCACGATTTTAGCTTGTGGACTCTATAGAGGTCACAATTTTTATTCGATTTAAAAAAAAAAGTGTGAATATATCACCATTACACACAAAGATCTTGGTTCGAAAAATTGCATTTTTAGCTTGCGGATTCTCTAGAGGTTACATTTTTTTTCTGATTTTAAAAACCGTTTAAATACATCACCATTCCACCATAATGAAGGTTGAATTTGAATTTCAGGAAATCCTCCAGACCAGCATTCGTTATAATAAAAATAGAGAAAATGTGGTCTGGTATGATCAAGACTACATTTCACGTCTAATAATTTGACTATTTCAGGTTGATTTTTTTATCAACAATAAAGCTGTAGATGAATTATCAATAATATGTCATACAAGTCGAGCACGAGTCATAGCTAAAAATGTTTGTATTAAACTAACGGAGTCGATACCCAAACAGTTGTTTACAATCTCAGTACAAGGAGCAGTTGGTGGTAAAATCCTGGCGAGACAAGATATTAAAGCTTTAAGAAAAGATGTTTTAGCTAAATGTGTAAGTAAATAGAAACAATTTTACGTTAGTTTATAGAGGACTTTGACCCTGACATCATCCTCATGGGGAGTCCAGTCTCAGGAAGAATCTAATACTAGAACACTTATAGTTCTAAGGGGGAGGGGCGGATGACCGCATGTGTGTTGCATCATAATAATAATAATAACAATAATGGACATTTATAGAGCGTCACCATCCAGCTAGATTAGTTGCTCTGGTACTCTGTAAGATCTGTCATTGAGTCAACTGGCATGGTTTTGATTCCCCGGTTGTACATGACAAGCAGTAGGGTCGACTGTCCAACCTCGTTGGTTCTCTCCAGGTTCTCCAGTTTCCTCCCACTGCTAAAGACCCCTAAATGCAAGCGAATTATTGAAATAAAAATTAAACCATATGTTAGTCTTGAAATGATTTAGTTTGTGTTGAGTGGAGGTTAAACCCCATCTCTCTGTCTCTCTCTCTCATATGATACTTATATCTATAGGGTTTATTCCCATACACTTAGCTTGTATTTAATTACCTGTGTTGAAGGGGTCTTTCTTATTGTCTGTCCACATTTTATATTTAAGTTCTTTTAAAAAACAAAAAAAACAAATCCAGCCTTAATTTAGCCATATTTTTTCTAATTTTGTTTTTAGACTGTTAATAAGTAGGTATTCTGCAGGAATTTCGAGTCAGTCGAGGCTGATGATCATAAGTTTCCTTGTAATACATGAAAACAAAACCTGTTAAAAAGAATTTACTCAAATATTATTTGTCAAATTATTTTTACAAAAACTGATTTTGGCGTAATTTGGTGTTGAGGTAAAAGATGAAGAAAAATCAGTGGGAAAATGAACCAGTAAATTCTTTCAACATTTTTCTTTGTTCAATTTGTTCACATTTATAAAATGATAGATGTCAAATTAATAAAGTTTTATAATTCTTTTCAGTATGGTGGAGATATTACACGTAAAGAAAAACTTCTTAAAAGACAAGCAGAGGGCAAGAAAAAGATGAGGAAAATTGGAAAAGTAGAAATACCAAAAGATGCATTTATTAAAGCGTTAAAAAGATAGTTTTAACTATTATTGAAAATAGACTTATATCGTGAATACTTATTAATAAGGACAATAAAATACATGTGAAATCACTTATTTTACAATATTTTTTACAGAAATAAATTATTATAAAATATATCTCTGTGATTATGAAATGAAATGAAATGAGGTTTATCGTCCTACTGTTCTGCTCCGAACTGGGCTAATGAAGACGGGTATACGCCATACAGTGTGCTATGAGTGAAATTTTACCTGGGAAGTGGCACTATGGCCTACTCTTATATCGAATTCCAACTGCCAAAAGATCTTTAACGTGCACAATAATGTATACGTTGGACCTCGGTTTTACATCCCATTCAAATGACTAGACAGCTGTCCTTATCAGACCCTCCGTTGGAAAATTCCGATGAATTTCTTGGCCAATGCAGGGATCAAACACACGACCTCCAGACTAGTGACCCAGCGTCTTTTTACCCAATTAGCTGTGTGATTATGAAAATAGTGTTAACTGAATTTCCTTTGATATGGAACAGAATAAATACATTATTACCGGGGGGTGGGGGTGGCCGAATGGTTAGCATGTGCGCGTTGTAACATAATGTTTGTCATTGAGTCAACTGGCGTGGTTTGCGATTCAACGGTTTTACTTCACAAGGAGTATGATTGCCTGTCCAAGAATCAAGGAATTAAACTGATTATCACTTATACACTAAGTTTCATCACTTTTATCATATAGAATCAAGATTATCTCTCACTCTCTCTCACTCAAACACACGCACATTATTACCAGATTTTGATATGGCTTTATTCTTGGTAAAGATAGCGGTGTCTTGAAATTACAGGAAAAAATGAGGAAGGAAAGAGTAATCTGGTCTATTTATATTTTAATGGAATTATTCCATAATAATACACAAATTATAAAAAAATGTGAAAATTTAAACAAATACTAAACATAATTTTAATTCTTCAGTACATGTCATATCGTCCCTTTCCATACTTTACCATGTTTTTTTTTTAAAAATATACTCAATTTAATATTTTCACCACACTTCACTTACAATATTTAATTTAATCTCCACACACCATGTATATGTTTATAATATTTTCAACAGTGAATTTCTTTCAAATCACATCAATAATGATATTCGTCAAGAAATAAACAAAATAGTGGTCTGTTTATATAACTTTCTTTTGTTTCAACTACTGTTTACTGTACAGGATTGATTAGGATTAGGCTACTGTTTACTTCAACCAAGCAATGTACAGGATTGATTAGTATTAAGCTATTAATCAATTATTGAAATGTAGTAGTTACACAATTATTATTTCACGGGTGTAGTAAATCGAGCGTTAACGGTCCAGGACTAGTGGGACAAAATTTTATATGAAAACAAGCACTGCCACCTTGATTCATTTGTGAGAATGGTCAATGTTAAATATCAACTTTAACAAATTAATTTATATTCCCTTGTACATTGTACTATTTTTCATCACTTGTTTTCAATGAATTTTCACATAAATCATATCAATGATTAAATAATGTTGATGGAGATTGTGGAACACCAAACAATCTTACATTGTACTGTAATCAGTTCCTGGACTATCAATAATCATGGTGTCCCACAAGGGTCAGTTTTAGGACCATCACTCATTATAGCCTGATGTCTATCCTTTAATTCACACTTCAGTACCTCCAAAATTATATTTAATCTTGGTTGTGTTTTTTTTGGGGGGGGGGGGGGAGGATATAGTGTGTCATTAGATTCCAGATGCAACAACTATATGATACAAGTTCATCGTGCCTGTACTACCGATATTCTATTTGGTTTTAAAAAAGGTGAAACAGATAAAACCAGGATACACACAAATAAAATAAAGAGGTACGGCCAACTGAAAAAAAAAATTACAAAATTATTACATTTATTTGTTTGTTGGGTTTTTTTTTTACAAATATGCGAGTTTAAATTCCATGACTATGTTTCAATTTGAGTAAATGGTTGATGATTTCCAATTTGTTTCTGTATACATTTATCTTTTACAGCAAAACTTTGGATTTCCCTGTTCTATATGTTGAGACGCTTGGACGAAATCTTGGTAACACTCCCAGACTAAGCGCATTTTTTCTGCACAGCCAAATTAATGATAACGTTTTGACGCCAATCAGCCAAAATAGCAAAATTTTGTTTTCTTGGAAGAATTCAAGAGTTGGCAGCATTTGATTTAAATGGATGATTTATTTATCATATTAAGACATAACTAACATGTTTTAAACACCATAAACTATCATTTTAAACCAAATTTTCCTTGAAAATCACTTTCAATTTGAAAGTAGCTCACAATCCGACCATCTCTCATACACCCACTTTTATAGATGAAATAACCAAAATTGTTTAGACTTTCTCTATAGAGACCTTTAACAATTCCATACATCATATTCATGATTAAGGGTTTGGTATAGTGACCGCGGGGTCAAATGTCAACAAAAGTTACCCTTACCCCTAAAAGTAGTATTGATCTTAATTTGTTAAATTGGCCCAACATTGTATGTAAGTGTGGTATGAAGTTTTGGTATCTATACATGAGTTTTTAATAGCAAGCTATTCAGTGGGACCATATTCAACACCCTTTTATATTGACCTAATTTGCATAATTTCAAAATGGCCACCAAAACCTCCGGAGCATAGACTAACATTATGCAGTCGTTAATTTTTTGTGTCGCAAAGTCGTCCAAAGTCAAGAAAGAAACTTACTATTCCAGCCATTTTATATCTGAATAAGAAATCTCCTGGACGAATATACTGGAGCCATATTCTGAACAACAGTTTCTGTAAGTCTGGTTACCACAGCAATAATAATCATTCTTAGAATAAAGTTTTAATTTTAATGGACAAATAAAACCGGTGTGTAATTTACCACTACTGTCATTATACGGGGGACAATACTCTCCCATCTTGTATAACCTGAAAATATACAAATAAAGTTGTTAACGTCCGCACATCTTGGGACTAACATATGGTATATTATCATAGCTTGATAATGACTAGAGAAGCCTAGTCGAAACGTCGCTCAGTAAAAAGCAGTAATTGTATTCCATAGAATTGTGACCTGTATAATATGGTATATTGTTATAGCAATAAATCACTTAAAAAGTTGGAGAAAGCACGTGGCCTTGGAACATAATATTTCTTACGTTGTAAACGGCGATCAAGTTTTGGATACTTGTATGGTTTCTTCTTACGTTGTGGACGGTGGTCAAGTTTTGGTAACTTGTGTGGGTTTCTTCTTACGTTGTGGACGGTGGTCAAGTCTTGGGAACTTGTATGTTTTTCTTCTTACGTTGTAGACGGTGATCAAGTCTTGGATACAGGTATGGTTTTCTTCTTAGGTTGTGTATGGTGGTCAAGTTTTGGTAACTTGTATGGTTTTCTTCTTAGGTTGTGGACGGTGATCAAGTCTTGGATACAGGTATGGTTTTCTTCTTAGGTTGTGTATGGTGGTCAAGTTTTGGTAACTTGTATGGTTTTCTTCTTACGTTGTGGACGGTGATCAAGTCTTGGAAACTATGGTTTTCTCATATTTTGAAGATTTCCAACAGATCTATAGAGATGTTTAAATATTGACAATATTTTCATTGCGAAGATCGATTATCCACGCAATATTGATTGCTCTGTGTTTATCGATGTGGAAAGGAAGGGGAAATAATCAGTAAATTGAATTATTGATATATCAGATACACCGTCATTAATTCTTGTCACAAGCTCAAGAACCGTGACAAAAATTAAACATTTATCATTCCATTGTTGTATAGTTCCTTTTGAATGGATTTCTATCTTAGTTAAGATGAAGAAAACGGATTTTGATTAAAATTAAAAACTAACAGAGAATAACAGCACATTAATTAAGCTTTGACTGACGTTGTTTGAAAATGGTTATATGTTTGTTTACTAATCATAGCCGTTTTATCGTCGAAATTACTCTCCTCATCCCCTATATGTAATATTGTTTAAAGATAGATTGTCAAGGTAAACAATGATCATAACCCAGGACCGGACTTGTGGGCCAAATTATCAGTGGGCCCCCATATTTATATGAATGTTGGCGTGTTTCAGTAAGTATTTATGTGCCCTATACTTATTGTATAGGGATCCTTGTGGTTTAAAGATACATTATGTGAGATTAGATAAAGAGTTGGAGTTCTCACTATAATAGTTAAAAATCTAGATAATGTAGAGGGAATTTGTTGAAAATTTCAGTCAAATTGATCCACCCTGAACCGAGTATTTAGTGACGGAATTTTGGGCCTAGCCTCGATCATCATTACTAAAGTCGGTACGATAAAAAACAGTCTCGATTATCCAATTTATTTATTTAATCAGAAGCAACAGACCGGGTTCTAATCCAGTAAATATCGCAGGCTAGCGATGACATCGAGAGTTGATTATGGTCTGGATAAGTTAATTAATGTCTAATTAATAATTTAGATAAGATTTCATGCCTAAAGAAAGACCTGCAATAGGCAGATTTACCTCTTGAATAATGTATGTTTAACTTGGAATATTATATAACGAAACGATGTACACTTCGAACAAGGTTGGTTATACGCTGAGCGACATATTAGTTTCAGTGAGCCCCCAGAACCCTAATATAATACCCTACGATGCGTATTAGTGACCCAGTTCTAATATTTCTGTCAGTTATATAATCAGGTACTCTTTAAGTCCAATTGCAATATGTTCCTTATTTTGCTTATTTGCGAACGATGCATACAAATGTCATGTAGACCGACCATTTCTAACATGGGTAAAAATTCTGAAAAGTATTATCGACTGAAAATCATTGGATTCAAGTCCATTTTGAAAAATAGATTCAATTTGATATATTCTTGGTGAGTAACACAAGTTAAATGAAATAGAATTAATGGAAATGTTGAACTTTTTTATACGCCCACATTTTCATGTGGACGTATATTGTCTTCGCCCCTGTCCGTCCGTCCGTCCGTCCGTCCTCAATTTGTTTGTGGACTCTCTACAGGTCACAATTCTTGTCCGATTTTGACGAAACTTGAAATATAGGTTTATCCCCAAAAGATCTCGGCTGTTTTCGATATTGACATGTATCGGATCGAAACTTCATGGA